CTCATGTTCAACGACAAACACAGCCTACCTCGACTGACTTTGGCTGCGCATGGTACATAGATGTGCATACTAAGTAGGATCTGATTTGTCGGATCATTTGCTGATCTCGCCACCCGCTCACCGGCGCGCTGCGGTATCCAAATGATCACCACAGCCTCCTTCCTACTTTTAAACCCTATCCCCGCAATTATTTCCCTTCATCTGACGAAGAGACTTTTTGATTAGTCCCAGGCTCATGCATATTTGACCGGTTGGTTGTTATGGCCACCACAATTACAACGACCCCGCTATCCCGCACTGGACGCAGGAATATCTTGACTCAAATCCAGGCACGCTCCAGGAAGCAATGTTGGCCGTCCCCACAAGACTCTGTGGGTCGTTTCTTGGTGAAGATAGGTGGCCAGAGCTGCTGGGAGGCCATCGGGCCGGCACGGGATATCTTCCTCGAGATTGGTCCTGTCGTAAAAGAATACCTCGATAAGCATGTAAGTGGCCTCTTGTTGTGCTCATACCATCTGTATCTGACATTTTTGTGTGAATTGAAGAGCGAACCAAAACCTAGTTGGATTACTTGGTCATTATACATGATCGGAGTTGCTCCAGAATCTTCGACTCCAACGATCATATTCTGCTCTGAGAACGAAGAATACCGTAAAGACACCAGAGACATCATCAAAGCCAGTGGTACATTGCGGAGATATGCTGCAGATGGGTTTGCTTTGAAACATCTACCGCGGGCCCCAGACTATAATCAGTTGGTTCAGTCAGCCTCAGTATCATTGACTAAGGGACCGAAAGCCAAGGCTCCAGACGAATCTTTATTCGGACCATCTGTCATGAGCACCTCAATCCGTCTAGACTTGGGTCAGAGGCTATACATTCATACAATAATCGACAACATCCAGACCACACGAATATCGACGGCCGGCCCGATGATATGTATCAAAGGCGTTGAGTGTCTTCTTACGGCTGCTCACGTTTTCAATGATACACCAATACAATCTCACAATATCGATAATCAGCTAGAAGATCTTTTCTTCTCTGATAGCGACAGCGACGATGCTCTAGAGGAGCCAACCCCATCTTTCAAAACCATAAACCCGCTCACAGAGAGAGACACCACACTGAGCCTGCATACGGAAGTGACAAATACTGAGGAAACCACCGAGCTTGTTGATAAGAGCTCTACCGAATCTACATCTGTCGAAGTTCCTGAAGATGCCTCTTACATTGGCGATGCGTTAATCCTATCCTCCGAGGGTCCGCAACAGGGGCTCGATTACGCTCTTATCCGCTTGCGAAATCGATGGAGAACGGATAAGGGAGAAGATTTCTTGTACCCCAAGGACATCTATGTGCGCCAGCGTCTCTTTTCCCCACATGGACATGTGATAACTGTTACTGCTTCCACCGGCCTCAATCATGGTATTATCAGCGAGACTCCAACTTACATGCGAGTACCTAATGCCGCCGTGATCCAGGAAGTGTATTGTGTACGACTGGTTAATCCCGTTGCAAATGGCGATTGTGGATCATGGGTATTTGATGTCAATTCAGGTCGCTGGAGGGGACATATTGTTGCAGGGTGTCCGACCATAGGGACTTCCTATATCGTTCCTGTAGAGACAGTTCTAGAAGACATCTGGAAGAATTTGCACAGAATTAAAGATCGTCTCAAACAGTTCGAAGAACACGAGAAAGACAAAATGATGGAAATGCTCAGGCAAATGATACAGGAGACTAGTCCGCAGAGTGATGAATACAATAGGGGACATATGTCGGATGATGAGGAGTATATCATAGAATCTGATGAGGAGCATATCATAGATTCTGATGAGGAGCATATCATAGATTCTGCTGAGGAGTTAGCGATGCAAGAAAGGAGACGACGGAGACAAAATGGAGGTGGACGACAAGGGTATGATGAGAATGTGCGACAAACACGTAAGGATGGCGTTCAAAAAACAGACGATAAGAGTGGGCAACAAAGCCATAACGATGAGCAGCTTTATTGCAAGAAGTTAGGACAAGACTATCATGGGCCAAGACGCCAAATTCCTCGCAGGGAGGCCCAAAAATGGCTACACGAGGAGGCACGACCAAAGCGTGAAAGAAAGATTCAACGAGAACGCAGCTGGAAAGACCCTTGGTATTATGAGATTCTCCAGAAATACCATAGCAGGCAGGATCGCAGCGGGATATGTTCCGGGAACGACCTCCCCTCACGCCACATCGATTCAGCAGAAGATATTGAATCGCACCAGATTAGTCGCGATGCTAAGACAGGAGACGGTACAGATGCTTATCCGTATCACAACCGACCTCATTTTAAGCCGGCGGAACCTTCAGACCCGCATGATAGCAGCGTTGACTTTAGACTGGAAGGTGATCTGAAGCCAGGCTATAATACGGAATCGCCGCAGGGCGGCCAGGATGCCAAGCTAGGCGATAGTACAAGGCCATCACAGGAGGTACCCTTCCCGGTATTCTCGAGTAGTGCAATTAATACATACTACGAGTCCGCGAGCCAGGATCTTCCCTCAACAAGATTGAGCACACCTGAGCAGGATCCTTCCGGTCCGATCACTGGGAATTACCGCTCCGAAACAATACCACATGACCACAGCAACCGACGTCGTCCTTTAGCACGTACGGAATCCTCTGCACTAGTTGTGAAGCAAGAAGAGGAAGATAGAATCGATTACCTAAGCCTTTGTTTTTAGTTATCGTTATTATCATGGCGGAATACCATCTAAATAAACTCCATACTCTCTAGTTTTCTTGAGGTGAAACTTCGAAACTCCATAAAATCTTTTTTTGGTTCTACTTCCCGACTTTATAGCGTATGACACGATAGCTTTGTGATATCACCGCCTGGCAATGCAATGGGCCCTTATAACCGAAACAGAGCATCGCACAAAAAATGACGAATGGTTTCAATTCTAGAATCTTTGAATCGTGCAATCCTCAGAACGGTAGGCTAGTGCCATGGCGATACCGAGTTACGGTAATCCTAAGAGTTTTGAGACCCTAAAAACGCAAAACCTCTTAACTTTGTTCCCCATACGCGACATTAGCAACACCATTAAGCAAGACGTCATCCATCCATCCCCCATCCGCGGAGCACAAACACCTTCCCACCCAGCAACGCCGTCACACCCTCGCTTAACACCCCGCATCCATAAAGTCTTGACATCACACTTGCACTTGCCTCAACCCACCATCTCGGATCAACAAGAACAACACAACGCCAATTCCCCACAAAAAAATGCTGATGTCAGGCACAGCGTCTGGCAAATGCACCCCAGATGACGCTAATGTGGGTCCCGGTGGCTTGTGAAAGGACAGACACAAGATTGGCGCCCTTCGCTAATCTTATAGCCGGTGACGCGAGCGGTATTGCCGCGAGGGAGGTGCACACTGGCCAGATGCGGAGAAGAGGCCAACGGCATGATTTATCCGAGGAGCGATGATGTTGATATTGAGTGCTTGGTCGCGGAATGGGCGTTTTGTTTGAGAGCGTACATGGTAGAAGCGACGGGGGTTATCAATGTCTTGATGTCACTGATGAGGTAGCTCAGAGGGAATTGAGAAGGAGGCGTTTATTTTGCCGTTTGCGAACGAGGCAATACATGATCCTAGGATTGGGAACTGGGAAGATGGTATAAAGGATAAAGGAAGCCAGCTACCCACACTTCCATACGCTCAATTCACACTTCTCGATACGGAGACGAGAGAAACATTAAAATGCTGTCCAAATCTCTCGCTCTCCTCGCTCTAGGCGCTCTAGCCCAGGCTCAATCCCAAGTCCAAGAAGGCGCCCCAGCCCCCGTCCTCCTCAACGCCGCAAAATCTGGCGTCATTCCCGCTACACCTACCGCAACCCCTTTCACCGGCGCCGACACAATCCAAGGCGCCATCGTCTCGCCCCTGCCCCCAGCCCCCGGCTACCTACCCGGCGAAACAGGCGGCCTCCTCGGCACAGCCACCGCCTCTACGAATCAACCCGCCTCCACCTACCTCGCCGTACTACCCCAGGTCCAATACAACCCCTTCGTCGACAGCACCGTCTCAGGCAGCATCCAAGCCGTCGGTGGACCCCAGGGTGTATCCTTCACTGTCAATCTAACCAACCTACCCTCACAAGCCCAATACGGTCCTTTCAACTGGCACATCCACGCCCTCCCCGTCCCCAGCGATGGAAACTGTACCGCAACAATGGGCCACCTCGACCTTACCAACCGCGGCGAACTCGTCATGTGTGATGCTGCGTTGCCTGCGACGTGTCAGGTTGGCGATTTGGCCGGTAAGCACGGCGGCAAGATTATGACGAATGGATCGTTTGCGACGAGTTTTGTGGATCCGTATTTGAGCGTACAGATGGGGAGTCCCGGGTTCTTTGGCGGGTTGGCGTTTGTACTGCATACGGGGAATACGACGAGGATTACTTGTGCCAACTTTGAGGCCGTGAATGGGAACGCGACGGGCGGTGGGAATGCGACTGCGGGTATGCCAAGTCCGACGGGTAGTGGTACTATGCCAGAGTATACGGGCATGGCTGCTAAGCTTGGTGGAAGTGTTGTTGCGCTTGTTGGTGGGGTGGTAGTCGCGCTGATGTTGTAGAGTGTTGAATTGATCAAGATAGTCGATAATAATTAGTTCTCTTAATATCCTTGATCCAAATCTTAACCAAACTGTTCCCAAGTCTATTTCTGTGTGGAGATGTTTCAGCTATACGAAGATTCTTGTACTATTTCTTCTTTCTCAATTTTGTACTACAAAAGGGAAACAGATGACTAAGCCTTGATCTGGTGATAGAAATCCAAAAGAAGAGTAAATACATGCGTGGGTTCAGACCACTCGATACTCAAACAGTCTGTTCACCAATTGGAGCAGCTTTACGTTTGGGTTGCCATGCTTGATGCAAATAACTCGTGCACTCCCTTCCACACGCTTGAGTGTCGGGACAAACCCAAAATCGAGGTCCAGTACCAAGGGATTTGGTACATCCTATTCTTGCACATTTCCTCCACTTCTTACCGTTGGCTTTGGCGCCCCTCGTGAGCAGGATATGCGTGCTTCTCTTTTTGATGGACAGTATCCGTTCCGTAGTCATCTCACTACAACTACGACACACTGCTCTTTCTTTCAATTCCAAAACACGTGGTTTCTTCGATATAGACATAACGCTGAAGATGAAACGCCCCAGGGCACTTTTCGGTGGAGCTGGGAGGGGCCCGCAGTGGCAACTTGGGTTCATGAACCTTTCTGTATGTGCATGCGGAACATTAACAACGTGTTCATAGTGACATGATGTGCAGTATGGTATGCAGGTCTCCAGGTGATAGAGAAAGGTTTCTTGCGGAATTTCGGGGAGCTGGTAGCACTCGCTGCAAACTGGCGTTGAACATACCCAACAGGAACGCTTATCGTCGGCATTGCATGTATATAGCTTATAGATGGGCAAGCGGCGAGCGAGATCGTATGAAGGGAGGACGGATTTGCGAACAGACTTGGATACAAGAGCCAGGTTCATGACATCAATGTAGTGGAGGTCCTTGGCGATTAGGATGAGTATGTCGTAAACGCCGAGAAATTGTGCCAGCTCAGTGTGACTACCCTCGCCGCCCTGGTACCGTCCCGGAGACTTCTTTGATTTGTTCGACATCGATTTGGACTTTTTCAGTGCAATTTTGGTGTTCTGCTCTGTACCCAGCCTAGACTTGATCATATATCGCCGCGCGCATCGTATCGGAGCCTTTACGCTCAACGGTAAACACCGGAAAGATATGAGCGGAATGGCGTACAAGATCAAAAAGAAGATTAAAAAGGCTTTTGGTATCAATAAGAGACACCAGCAAATGTCATTGCCCAGCTCCCTGAACATGACCGATACTGATGTGCCCTGTTGCTTGGCATCGCGTATAGCACCAAAGAAAAGGATGATGCCAAGTAGAGACATGAGTGCGTAGAAGAAGCTATCGTATTTAGAAAAGCGTGATATGCATGCAGGTGTAATACTCACGACAGGGTGACTCCATATTGCCACTCTTTGACAAAACTCAGACACATATTGGTTGGGGTGCTAACAGTGGCATTCAGCCTTGCGGCAGCCTCGAAGAAGCTCTCATTAGTCCCTGGTGGTCGCTGCATTCCGGGAAATTCAGGATTGTGGCAGTCGCTGTTGTTGCGAGGCGAGTATGCGCTCTGGTAATGCGTCGCCATGGATACAAATACGGCCAGTGTAGTATCGACGACGGTGAAGGGCAGATGTAGAGGCGGCATGAAGACGAAGGATGGGAACCAGGATGCGAGGCTGTAATAGAAGACTGCTGCACCCCATCTTTCTGTAAATCTTTGGCCTGTAACAATAGCTGTGCCGTAGGTGCCGTTGTACAACTGGGCGTGGTTGTTGATGACATTGCTGTGGTTTGTCGCGTGAATATTGTAGTAGATAGTGGGCGCGAAAATAACGAAGCGTATTAAGATGATAAGCCACAGGAGCCACTTGATCCATTTCGCTGGCATGTGGCCACGCACTTTACTGGTACAGAGCAAGAGCATGTTGAAGTGGGGGAACGACCAACAGTGATTTTCACTGTAGGTGACGCAGTGGAAGGGTAGATTCAGCTTGTGGCATGGCTGCAGAATTTGATGGTTGGACGAAGAAAGCTTGGTACCGACTCGGATGCATGATATAAGGGTTCACAAGGCTGGTCGGACTGCTGTTTCTGCATACAACGACGCATCTGTAACATGTTCCTGCTCCAATTCGGGCTGATTTATGAGCAGTGACTAGAAAGACTTTAGTGTTGCGATTTCCCAGCCCCAGGGGCGTGAACATGGCGATGCAAAGGGCGCGGTCAACTCGCGTGGTTTAGGCTGAGCACCCATGCCAAGATGCGGTCAGTCTAAAGGACTGCTGCCATTCGACACGAGGTGCATGTTTTCGTATTCATTCGGGTCGAGACGATATTCAGTTCCACATTTGGGCATGCGGATGACGTATGCAGAGTTATGGGACCAAGAAGGCGAAGAGAGTGCAGAGCCATGTGCGCTAAGGTTGCCCATCGTGATGCGGGCACTATTCTACTTGGACGGTATGCTTGTGAGATGAAATGAGAACAACAGTTGTGTGGCAAGGAGCAGGTGGCTTTGTAGGTGAGCTGTCAGGGCGGTTGCCGAGACTAGTAGCGCACGGCTCGAGCCGCCAACAGTGGGTCGGCATTGCCGTGGCGACGGCGGGTGTTTATCGATGCGACAACACCCCCGTGCTCTCTTGGTATCCATCGTTCTCACACGGCCCAAGGCGCAATTTGGTGGCCCACACACAGCTCAAAATCACATGTCCTCCGCAAAAAATCAAGTGTTAGCTGCATATGCGCATTAACCCCCTCCCGTCTGACCCTACCCGTTCCTGTGTCCCCCTCGACGACGCCTGATCTCAACAACAACCAGACCACTTCCACCGCCACGGCACATCCCAACATTTATTCCTTGCCGCCACCATCATACCGCCACGACCGATTGTAACGCTATCAAAAATGGAGGCACTATTGTCCCTCGCCTTCGACAACATTGCGTCCAAGGATACGCAGAAGATCCGCAAGGGACTGCGTCAGATTGAGGGCATGCTGGCACAGATATGTCTCTCCAGCGGCAAACCAAAACCCTCGACCCCAGGCCACCGGCGGAATGCCTCGGCCGTCAACCTGGGCGAACAGCAACAGTCGATGCCCAAGAAGCTGGGTCAATTGGCAGAGGATCTCGCCTTTAGGGAGTTCTTCCGGTTGCAGGAGGGCTTTGAATGGAATGGTGGGTTGAATCGTGATAGATGACCACATGCGACGGTACACTAACATGTTATAGTTGCGACACGAGTAGCCGATTGCCTAGACCGATTGCTCGGCATGGGCAGTAGCAAAGGTGAGAAAAGAAGATGCCCCACTAGGGACGACCTCGTGCTAACCATCCCAATTGCAGACGGCCAGAACGATATTCTCATCCTCTCGTCGCTTTCCAACCTCCAAGGTCTCCTCCTACTTCATCCGCCCTCGCGCATCATCTTCGGGCGCGAGGTCTACATGAACGTTCTTCTCGACCTGCTCGACCCCTATAACTGCCCAGCCATACAATCCCAGGCCCTCCTCGTACTCGTCACCGCACTACTCGCAAACCCGCAAAACACGCGCATATTCGAGCACATGGATGGCTTACTCACCGTAACGAGCCTTTTCAAGGACGAAGAGACTACACAAAACGTCAAGGTCAAGCTGCTGGAGTTCTTATACTTCTACCTGATGCCTGAAGTCCCAGTCACCGGCCCTCAGCGCAGTCCAAGCAAGCTGGCGAACGCCTTCGAGCGTCGCGGTAGCACGGCGACTGGCGATGAAGGCCGAGGTACGGCGAGAAAGAACACGCGGTCGCAGGAAGAGAAGCAGCATATGCTGGGTAGATACCTCAGCAATGTTGATGCTCTCGTCGAAGATCTCCAGGAGAGTGCACCCTTTACTAGCGTGGCCTGCTAAGAGCAATGACCACCGAACCGAACCGGTCCCTAATACCGCCACAAATCGGATGATCCGTCTTCTTTTCTCTGTCCATCTACTGTTCCACCTCATACTGTCCCTTTCCCTTGTCCTTTGGTTCTATTCAGCGAGGCGTTCAGGAATCTTGGAGTCATTCATAATCATGCGATCCATGCGTTCCATACGCCACAGATCCTGCTGTTTCCCTTTAGTTTTGCATCTTCCCAGACTGAGAAAGACCATCAGCTTCACTGCATATTGCGATGGATACTTATACTGTAAATCATATTTCCTTGCGTTGTACGACCCAGCCTCTCGTCAGACGCTTCGGATTGGCTTCGATCATTGATACCGCATCCACAAGCTTTCTGGGCTGACTTGCCAAGCTACTTATATAATCATTCAATGCTATTTGGATAGATTCCAGTCTTAATATCTTTCGGTGGTGAAGCATTCATACATATCGATCCTACCAGAGTCTATATTGCGTGTATCACAAAGAAGAATTGCCATATCCGCTCCGTCCCGCGCCGTCCTTACAAACATCGTCGTACTCGGCTGAATGCTATCACGCCCATGGCAAGCCGCATAAACTTTCTTGCATGCATGCGCCGTAAGCTTATCATGCAGTCCCGCCGTCTGCTGTCTGACAGCGTGTAGATGTATGGACGAAACTCTGGACAAGATGTGCACCACATGAAATCTGCATGGTACAAAGGAGTAGATCAAGTTTTGCCCATCAATCGAAACCGGACGAAAGAGACAAGGACACACAGACACCAGCCTCGTCAAAGGTTTACACAAAGCCAGTGTGACGCAGGTGGGCCGCGCCCGGCGATCGGCGGAAGCTAAACCTTTGATGGTCGCGTGTCATCTGGCACCACACCTCGCAGGAATGAAAGTTCTACGCGCATCCGAGACCCGTCAGCATCTTCAAGATAAGGAAAAATCTCTTGGAGCAATGTACAAGTTCTGCTTGATTGCAATCGCCAGTAATGCGCCATCAGGAGTTGAAGCGCTGAGGTCAAAATGCTGATATAGCAATGACGTAGTACAAAAATTGACAGCACGCGACACTAAGCCAGCAACTGCAAGCAGTCACAGTCACGTCGGAAGCCGGCTGCTTAGGATTCCATGCCAGGGAGGGGCAAAGACGTCGCCCAGCGAACGCCGACTCGCCCGAAGGCCATCAGTGGCCGATTGTGGTATTTAGTCATCTATGCGCTTTACAATGCCGTCTTTTCCGCTTGCTTGATTTCACTTTGCGCCAGACGTCACTCTAGTGTCAGGCCTTCCCTTCGGCATCGGAGTATATCATCTATCCGTTCCTTGATCTTTTCTTCGGAACTCTTCCTCGATTAACTTTATCTTTCGTGATACCCCCGTATTCGTTCCGGTGCCTTTCAAAAACAAGTCAAGCGGAAGGCACGACACTGAGCTGCGCTTAGCGTATCGGCATATTGATAACCTGATCGATCGGCTTTGACTGTGTTGTTAGCACATGACCATTCTTTAAATCCATACATCGCTCTCGTTGAAAGTCGGGTCTCGAATCTTGATTATCTTATCTCTCCGACACCTTCAACTATCGTTTCGTCCTTTCGCCCATCTCGCCATCATGGGCGCAGGAGCCTTCATAGAACCTCTCGTTGTAGTAACCTTACTCTTCGGCGGCACATATGTAAACCGAAACACAGAGTATCGCCTGCTCGGACGGCGGAGAGTCTACCAGAATTCACCGCGTTCAGGCTCACCCGATTCGGGTCGATCTAGTCTATCGTCGAGCGCATCGTTACTAGCGAACATCGACGAGGAGCCGAAATGGAGGAAACGCGAAATTTCGATACTGGGTATGAAGAAGGGTGTCATGAGTCCTAATACCATGAGATTTCAGGATTACTTCTTGTCACGGCTACTCAAGAAGTTTCCGTTTCTGGTCGAGGCATGGTACTGGGCACTGATCTACTGGGTAAGTATTCGGGCCGACGACCATTCGCTCTGGGGAGATATACTGACTATCGATAATAGGTATACCAACTTGGTCGCGCATTTTCAGCTGTAACAATGGTCGAAGGTACCGTAAACGTCGCCCGCCGTCACGCCCTTCAAATCATTCACCTTGAACAACGACTCCACATCTTCTTCGAACTCGACGTGCAAGCCTGGTTCCTCAAGCACCCCTTCATTCTCCACTGGACGAACCGCACATACTCATTCATTCATATCCCGGGTACAATCTTGTTCCTGGTATGGCTATTCTACTACACCACGACGCGCAACCGCATCGACCTACCTCTCCACAACAAGTCACTGTGTGAGGCAGATGGCAGTCCCGCAGGGCCCAAAATCTATGCCGCGCGACGCAGAACAATGGCAATGTGCAACCTCATCGCCTTCATCATCTTCACGCTCTGGCCCTGCATGCCACCGCGCCTCCTCTCCGACCCCGATGTACCAGGCGCCATAGGTAAAGAAGCGCGCAGCTACGGCTTCGTCGACACTGTTCACGGCGCCGAGGGCGAAAGCAGCGTATGGACTCAAAATAAATTCTGCAACCAATACGCCGCCATGCCGTCGCTGCATTTCGGTTACTCGCTCCTCATCGGACTTACCATCATGTCGATTCCGCTGGCGCATCAGCACCGTCGCTCCCGTAGTGTCCAGCTTACCATGGGCTTGAGAATGCGAATCCCGTCTCCTCGCCGCTTGCTCTGCATCTTCCTCGGTGTCGCATATCCTACTATCATCCTCATCGCTATCGTGGCTACGGCGAATCACTTTATCCTAGATGCGGTGGCGGGCGCCATGGTCTGTGGGCTTGCGTGGACCGGGAACCGTCTCTTGCTTAATTTATTGGTGCTGGAGGATTACTTCCTTTGGTGTGTGAGGATTCACAAGCCGGTGCGTCGTGTGGTTTACTGGGAGGACGATGAAGATGAGGTGGATGGGTACAGAGGAAAGTCTGGGCCCAAGGGCGTTGTGGTTGATTAGACGGTGGGGATGTGGGAATGGATGTGGTTACAGGTTAGATTGTATCTGAGCCGCTGTGGGGAACGTCAGAGTGGGGGTTCCACAGAATGGATTTGGTAATTCAGTACCTGAGATATGTCCCCTACTTTGTTGCGGCGATGTTGTGTGCCGTGTTGGAGAACTTGAGATACCCTGGATTAATGAAAGTTGGATGTTCTTCTACTTCACTCATCTCCTGTGTGATCTCTCGTGTGGAAATGAGTCGGAAGTAGAACCGAAATATCTCGTTTGATTTCGTGGCCTTTCGGTAAGAGTACCTAGTTACACATGGCTCCATATCATCGGAAGCTGATAGACAGATCAAGCCACCTTCTGGCCACAGACTTCCTAGCTCCACAAACGCCCACATGTGCACTCATACCACTCAAACACCCATCTCACCACCTCCCGGAAGAGGTCCTGCAGCAGCAAGCAACTGGCTCTGCCATCCCAAGACAAACGAACACTCAGCCTCCTTCTGCCTACTCGCCCCATTCGCCTCTCTCCCACAATCCAACTTTCCCTCATTCCAATCTCCAACATTACACTGCCCACAAACCAAGCCTGCCTCATCCTCCTTCCAATCACACTGCCACTCTCCATTCTCATAACCAAAGCCCATAGCACTCTTCTCCCAGTTGTACGGACCCATGACAATCGCCGGCGGGAACCCAGGCACATGGTGCGCCATCAACAAGCCCCTTGAATCTTCGAGGTAGAAAGGCTGGATCCAGTCGCCATTGGTGTAGACGCTATTGATGTGCGTGATGCCGTCGGCGCAGAACTCTGAGGTGGACAGGTGGTAGGAGAGGGTGATGAAGGGTTCAGGGTCTCCAGGGCGAATTGTCGCAACGACATTGACGGTGCGAGTGGATGTGGGCTTTGTGGCGGCATTGACGTCGGCGCCCATGGCGAGGGCTTCGTTGGGGGCGACGGTGGGTGTGGGAGCTGTGGCGGTGTAGTGGATCGTGGTAGTGGTGTTTTTGATGGCGTTGGCGAGGACGACGACGTGGGCGGTTTCGAAGGGCATGGGCGGTGCGCGTGCAGCTAGAGATAGAGCGCTGCATGCGAGGGTCAAGAAGATGAGGAAGTTCATGATGGAACGAGCTGGGGGGTTAGATGGGCTCAGTGTAGAGATTGGATATACTTGCTGACTGTGTGTAACCGTGGGGTGGTGTGAAGCGAGTGTTTGCCAACGAGCGTGAGGATAGAGGTGAGAATGAAGTGTTCGAGGCAAGATATATACTCGATAGGTGAGCGGAGCAAAGCGGGGCATATGTGAATGGGGCTATGGTCGTCCACAAACAAACGGGCGGATGCGACGTCACTCAACACCCATCGCGCGACGCATTTCGCGACCTATCAAAATAATTCGTATCCAAAAGGTTCTTTTTTTATAGTTGCTGCTGCGCATCTGCAGGGACAAGACTAGTGGCAGCTACCAAAGATGGAAGCTAATGCAAGGCAGGCGCAGACGACATCCGTGCGTGAAAGGTACATGCAGAACCAAACAAGTAAAATAGTCCGTGTGTGAAAGGTATATTCGGACTGGACAGGTGAAAGAGTCCGTGTGTTACATAGAAAAGATTACAAGGATATGGATGACATTGCTGTATAATGTCAACAGCGCTAGGGTATAGTATCAAGGAGAGACGAGCGGCCACCAAGTAGTGTACTATACAAATATCCACGCACATTTGGTGGCCATGCCGACAGATAGTAAGAGAAACGAGGCTAGGAAAAGAGACATAAGAAAACTCATCAACGCCTACTACTCCTGGTGTTGTTCCGGCTGGGCCTATCATCCCTGCGCGATCGTTGAGTGTCGTGTCGAATACCCATTTCTTCATCCTGAACGCGTCTTCCGTTATAAGAGCGTTGTGGCTGGCGGACGTTCTCGTGTTCATCGTCATAGTTCTGGTAGCCTTGTTCCTGGTCAAAGTCGACGAGGACCGAAGCAGGACGCGGCCGCGACTCCCTTGGTAATCTGGCATCCTTGTCTACAAGCTCTTTAGGCTTGTAGACCTTGTCTAGGTGTTCCTCGAGCAGGCGGACATTCTTGCCGTTGGCCTTGATGGCAGCGTCGGCAAGGTCACCAACAAGAGGAACGAGACCGACAAGGAAGTCAATGGCAATGTTGACAAGCATCATGATGAGGACGGTAGCTGGTAGACCGCATTCGACCTGGCGCATTTTGCGAACGAGGTTGAGAGCGAGTGCAGAGTCTGCGGCGTCGCCAACCACGGGGAGAATTCCAATGACGGACGAGTAACCAAATCGCATGCCGAACAAGTTGAATAGGGCGTAGTCGAGCCTGTAGGCCATCTTGCGGGCTTTGGCCAGTACGTTTGCGTCATGCTGCGGAATGTAGCTTGGGATTTCCTTTTTAACTTTCTTCGTCTTCCCAGGCTTGGTGGGATGAGGTATCTCGACATAGAAAGGGTCCTGCCAAGACGATCAGCAAGTGAGAATTAAAGAAGATCATGTGTATGCTTACGTAAGGACCGGCGACACTTTTGCCCTTGTACTTTTCCATTTCCTTGCCCAACGCTTTCTTCATCGCGTACTTAGCTACGAGGTTCGCCATGTTGGGTGTGGTGTGTAGTTGAAGATTTGGCGTAGAGATGTGGGTGTTTGTGTGAATGAAGCCTAAGGAAGATGTCTCAAGAGGCCTTATATGCCTTTGAAAGCCCAAACACGTCTCTTTGACGTTGGGGAGTGGGGTGCGGCTGTCTCAAAGCGCGCGTGTGGTCTGGTTGGCGGGCGGTTATCCTACTCCAAAAATGTGAAACGGGCGCGTCGCTGCCCTATGTATAGCTGTCGAGTGCGACTGCGCGGTGAAGGCGACAAGGTGAGAGCTGTGACAGATGAAGAGTGAATGTGCGACAGAAAGGAAAGTTGGCGAGTCTACTTATCGCCGTGAAATTCGCTGGCGGTGAGTCTGGATCTTGATTCTGTGACGAAGATCCCCGACACGAACGTCATGGCGTGCCGGCATCTTGACTCCTCTCAAGCACAGCCACAGCCGCCACACCTTACGTCGATCGCTCTTGCCGACACCAACCATTAGTCGGCCACGATCAAGTCCCCGATAGGTCTTCAACAAGGTCAACAACAACCAAAACCTTGCCGGTACCGACCACGGCTTCCACTTTACTTGCGGCTGTGTTCGCCTCACTGACACGTCTGCATTCTAGACCACATCGCTACCTACTACCTACCTGCCCGCTGCCCGCTGCCCGCGACGCGACTGCTGTCTGGCCCGACGCCCACCAGCTCCCCACCCTGCGCGACCGAGCCCAAAGGCATGCTTGACACAGGCCAAACCTGCACCCACCATGAGCTACTCGAATAGAAGTTTAGTTGACTGGCTCGACGACCTCTGTGTCCGCTTCATTGTCAATTTACCCCAAGAAGAATTGCAGTCTGTAGAGCGAATATGTTTCCAGATCGAGGAAGCCCAATGGTTCTACGAAGACTTCATCCGCCCCATCGACCCTAACAACCTACCATCGATGCACCTGCGCAAATTCTCCCAGCTCATGTTCCAGCACTGCCCGCTATTCTCAGAGTATTCGGCAGAGCTACACCAGCAGGCCTATGAGCAATTTCTCGCCTACAAGACGCGGGTGCCGGTGCGCGGCGCCATCATGCTTAATGAAGAGATGACACACGCCGTACTAGTCAAGGGCTGGAAGAAAGGCGCAAAGTGGAGTTTTCCTAGAGGAAAGATCAACAAGGAAGAGGCGGATCTCGATTGCGCAGTGCGAGAAGTCTGGGAGGAAACTGGCTATGATCTGAGGCAGGCCAACCTGGTCGAGCCGGACGAGCATATGAAGAAGATTACCGTCACAATGCGCGAGCAGAGTATGATGCTATACGTCTTTCGCGGCGTACCCATGAACACAGAGTTCGAGCCACAAACGAGGAAGGAGATTTCCAAGATAGACTGGTACAAGCTTACGGATCTACCCATGTTGAGGCGGAAGAACCAGGCGCAGCAGCAGTATCAGGGAAATGGGCAAGATTTGATCAAAGAGAGCAGCTTTTACATGGTCGCTCCGTTTCTTGGTCCGCTGAAGCAATGGATAAAGCAGCAAAATAAGCTTGGGAGGCAGAGGGCACGGAATAGCGCCAACATGGCTCCAGCTCCCGTGGTAGCGACCGACGACGAAGACTTCCAACAAGGAATCTACGAGGCCTCGGCCAACGAAGCTGAACCCGTCGCAGATACGCAACCGACGGATAATTTCGCAGAGATGGTGGCCAGGCTAGGTCGAGGCCAGCCCCCCAGTAACAACTTGCCTGAGCTGTCCGAAGACCGTCGAGAACAACCACAGCAAAGCGAGGACCCCGCCGAGGCCCTCAAGCGGTTACTCAGTGTGGGCGTTCAGACGCCGCCAGTTGAGGCTCCGAGTCACCCTGCTCCGGGACCGCCACAGCCAAATTCGCTCCTGGCCCTGTTCAAGCAAGGCAATACTGAGCCTGGAGCTCAGCAGCCTCGCACGCCATTCGATCAGATGATGCCTCCGCCTATGCAACCTTCAAGCCCTCATGGTCAGCACCATCCTCGACCGCCTCAGATGGGCAACATGGGGCCTCCGCCACCATTCTTTTCACCCCAAGGCCCTCCGGGTCATTTCAACGGCATGCCACATCAATACATGCAGCCTCCACAGCACCCAGGACATATGTTTTCATCTCAGCCACCTAACATGCAGCAAGTATTTGATCAACATAATCCGAGACCTTTCCAGGAGATGGCCGACTCACAGTTCACAGCCGGACGCGGACGGCCCGAAATACCACATGCTTCTAACCTACCAGCCCCTAACTTGAACCAACATGCCATGGGACTGTTGAATTCTTTCAAGACCAACACTCAACAACCTGCCGTCGCGCAGTCGCCTCATCCCAGCATAGCAGCACCTTTACACAGAAGCCTGCAAACAACACCAAAGATCGAACATCCGCTTCCTCAACACAGGCCGCACGGTCTTGTATCTCCTCAAGGCCAGTTTGCTCCCAGCCCACCCCAATATCAGTCACCGCCCGTCGGTCCCAGCTTCGTGCCTGAGCAACCAAAGCCAAGGAACCTCCATCAGGACTCCTTGCTGTCGTTGTTCAGGGCCACACCACCGCTAGCAAGTCCAGAGGTTGCGCCTGCAGAGTTGTCTGCTCTTCCCAAGACCCCAGGATATCCATCAGCGCACCCGACGGCGAATTCGTCAAAGCCGCCTAATAATGCCCTTCTTGGAACCTCTGCCACAATGCCTACACGAACGAAGATAACATCAGCCACTGTTAGCGGGCCAGTCAATGCTCCAGACTTTGAAACGATGAAGAAGAACAAGCAGCCGACAAGCGGGAGCTCGCGTGGACCGTCGCCAGCCACGAACATGCCTTTCATGCCTCAGCAGATCCTTAAACGCGCACCACAAGCTTCACCGCAGAGCATGGTGAAGGTTCCCCCTCCGTCGCAGCAAGCTGTAGAAGTTTTGGGGTCACCCCAGGCAGCGTTCAAACCTCAGATCCTCAAGAGACCCCAGCAGCAACAAAACAAGGCGCATGTGCCGCCTAATGGTAAGAACATGATCGATCACGGTACGTCGCATTAACTTTGGTTTACCCTTGATGTTGTTTCAGAGACATATACTGATCTTTGTGTTGATGTAGCACCAGCGACCAAACCGACCCCACATGCGCAAGGCCTGCTAGACATGTTCAAGGGACCCTCACCTCAGCCCCCGCCAGCTCAATTGGCCATGGCGCCGTCTCGATCGCCCGTTCCCCCAGCGTCTTCCATGGATCGACGTGACTCTGTTCCCTCGGACCAGAAGAATGCTCTGTTGTCCCTTTTCGGCAGCAAGCCTTCTCCCTCGCCTCAGCCTCAGATGCATAGCCCGATACCACCAGCTCGTTCCCCTTTCCCGCCTACACCCAAGAAGACCATGTCTGGTGTTGTCAGCCCCGTCAGTCCATTGCCCGCAAATGGCAGTGCCGGTGCGACTAGTCCAGAAGGCATGGCGAACAGAAGCAGGATTTCCAGCATCGGCGATGGCAGCGGCATGCCCAGTATTGTCATCCCGAAGGCCCCGACGAGCCACCCCGCCGACTCGGGAGTTAATGTGGGACAAGACAATGGTGTCAGTCTAGTTGGTCTTGGTAGCCAGAGTAAGACGGCCAGCGCAACAGAGGGAAAGAGTCCCGTAGACAAGTCTTTCTTACTAGGTTTCCTAGAAGATGTTGCTCGGCGTGGACGCTAAGAGATGAGGCGGTACATTTTCTCGTTTTGCGATTGCATGTTCTGGGCGTTTCCCTTGCGTTATCTATGTAAGACGCTTCTCATACTTGGAAGCAGTCTTGTGATCTGCTGCCGTCTTGGCTAGTCTCATGAGCGATGATGCGATGAGTAGCACTGACGACCTTGGCTGGTTTCTTTATGATATAGGAAATGATGAACATGGAGGGTTGGTGTATAGTTGTAGTTGATGGTTTTATCATATGAGAGGGAGAGAACGAGTTGACAAATCCCATCAAGCAAACGAGACAGTCGTCTCCATATTTCAACTTTCTTTTGACTTGTTGACTTGTTCGTGACAATTTGGCGTCTTCTGGCGTGATCCGCAGTTCTTCTAATCATTCCATTGTTCAGTCTGACATGCGCCTATTTTCTAACCACAATTGTCGCAATTGCAATGCGTATCTTATACCACCCATCTACTCAATTGCCTAGAAATGAAGGTCCCAAAACTACAATGACATCATATACCAACAAATGACGCAAAATCATACTTCTACCTACCTACACAAAACACTCTCCCACCTCAACTCATACCATTCCATCCCAATCTCACCTCACCTTACCTCCAACCCACCCCCCAAAACAACGCCCCATCCTCAAACTCGGATGAAGCAATGTTCGTCGGCCCACACGTTAGTTTCTTGTTTCGGACCCGTTTCTCGGTCCAACTATCATGGGTGGGGTGCACCCGAATCTTTACTCTTTCTTTTAGGTACGTACCTACTAGTTACTTAGACTGTGTGGTGGTGGTGGTGCGGTCATTTACGGCTCGTTTTGCCGTGTCGCAGACTTGGAACTCGACCGAACTCATCCGGGCCGGGTGGCGGAGGCAATGTATGCGGTCGGGAGGGTTAGAAGGGTGTTCGGGCGGGTTTTGTCAGATTGAGTTTTGGCGATGAGTGTGCTGGGAAAGGGTAGGGAATGTAGTACATTGGAATAGCATTAATGATTACGCCCATTCCAACACCTTTGTCACCACACACAACTATATGAGCACCTCTACTATACGTCCCATCCATGTCCAACCTACTTGCCGAGCCACATATGATTTCCGTTCCCGTGCTGATGCCGTTATTTCCGCACATGTCGGAAGGGCAAACCACGCCATTTTACGACGAGGTTCCGAGACACGACACACCAAGATTTGACATCATCTCACACTTTGGCGTTCTAGAGCCTAACCTGACATCTTCGGCGCGTTTCTGCTCCGTTTAGAGAAGCAAATGGTGAGTAAATCGCTCAAAAGTGCTTTCCTTTAATTAGATTGCTCGATCCCGATCCTGGACAAGTACCAACGGATAACAAGAAGCAGAAGCAGCTTTTGGTACAAAGAAGCAGGGAGACATAGCAGATGGGTGTGGAGAAGGTTAAGTAAGTAGTTATTACGTAGGTATAGATTTTAAAAAAAGAAAGAAGATGAAGAGGGTTATTTGGCTATTGGATATGATGATGATGAAGAAAGGGAAAGAAAGAAGCAGGTGCAATATACAAAAGATAGACCGAGTGAGACGGGCTGTCTGTGGGCGGGAAGCCAAGGCAAGCAGGCATTTTGCTTATTGCCATGCTTTTCCCTGGCGAACGGGTTACGCATGGGTTTCGGGTCCACTTATTCCTTGTTGGCCATAGCCCGCAAGCGCCCAATCGCCTCAAACGCCCAACCTTCCTCTTTTTCGCCCCTTCCGAAATGCGCTGAAAATGCAAATTCAAATGCAATCGCTGATGGGTACTCTGTAAAAAGCAAAAAATACAAATGATGGACGGTAGCGAAATAGTATGTTCGATGAAGTTTTCTCTGTTAGAGGACGACGAGGAGTAATATTATGCTCACAATGCTGTGTTCTTACGTCCCATATCCAAGACCTCCGATGGTACGGCACTACGTGTGCTGAAGCGGACTTCAGTTCCTGGGTGTGCCTTGAAGACGGGGGCCGTGGTTTGAGTGTCACGGGTGTCGTGTCTTTGATGTTTGATGTCCCTTCCAACTAGGCCATTCTTACCGCTTGGTGTCCTGGTGATGCCACTGGCATTCTTGGGTGTAGCAGGTGGTAGTGCTGGCATGTCCGGCACTTCATCTTCCGAGTATGTGGTGGACTGTGTCATGCGGAATTGCTGCTTTAGGCGTTGTTCTTCGACACGGTTGGACTGTTGGTTTACCCAGGAGTCTACTGTGCGGAAACGCGGGACGGAAGAACGTGATGTCATATAGCTGTCGCGGCCAACTGACTGTACGGCAGTATCGCGCGAGGGGTCATGTGGGGTTTGCGGGGCTTGGGAGTTTGTCCAACTGAATCTGCTCGCAATTCCACCTGCTGCGGCGCCTCCAAAACCAGGTCTTTGAGAGATGGAAGGACGGTTGGAGAGGAATTGGCGGAATGTGGGGGGAGCTGGCAGGTTGCTGGGTGGCCGTTGGGGTAGGTCAGGGAAGTCTAGTGTTGATTCATCACCGTCCATAGATCTAGTGTTGCGAGTTGATGCGCTCTGCCGTCGCCCTTCGATTGGTAGGACGGGTGAAGACGGAGTTTCACTAATGTTGCGGCGATGGCCATCGGAGCGTGAGACAGTGTCATCGTAGAAGCTGCGGTTACCATCTCGAGTCGGTGGTTGGTTGAAGCTGTCACTTCGTTCGAGATCTTGCAAAGGTTTCTGGGAGGACATTGGGCCGGATCTGCGAGAGATGGCTGCTGGCTGGGGAGCATTGACATTATCGCGCATTCCATAAGTGTATTCGTCATCGTAGGGCCGTTTGGTGTCTTGTCCGTAGGTCGAGGTATGTGATGGTGGGGAGCCGCGGTGCATTTGTTGTCTGCCTGAGCTGAGTAGGTCCTTGATAGTGAGGCCGCGTTTGCGCATCGTGTAAATGGCAAGTACCAGCATGACGATAATGATGGTGGCACCTAGGTTTGGTCAGTATACATTTGAGAACGAGTGACAATTTCTGCCTACCGATGGAGCCAGCAGCGATGAGCAAGTGCTCGGTCGTTTGCGAGATTCCGTTGGATGATTGTTGTCTAGGCGGTGGCATGGTTACAACGACAGTTTCAGTGGGGTCTGAGTCGGCCAAGGCAGTTTGGACAGGGCGTATTCCCGTGACCGTCATGGTGACAAGGAACTGTTCACGTTAGTAAACGTCGATTGACTGGCTGGAACTCCTTACAGGTAATGGCAAGGCAAGAGACGGCGTTGGTGTGGTAGCGGGCGCAAGCATGGTCGTTGTAACAAAGGCATGGTCGTGGTCGCTTTCGTCGTCACTGTCACTATCATAGGCCATGTCCGTGGAACCCGGCTCGTTCAATGGTGATCTTCGAAGAATCCGGTTTATTGTGGCCATAGGCTCTTCCGATTCCACATGCTCGCCATCTCTTCCCAAAACCACATTCTCGACCTCGTCGTAAACCTCTCGGCGCCATGAAGCGGGCATTGTTTCCGGTATTCGATTGCTTCGATGAGGAGAGCCCCTCTCAGTCTTCCAGCCGCTCGATTCCTCCACCAGACATACTCTGCAGTATCGACCAGCGATGTAAGGCCCTCGCGATCGATGAGAGGATCCGGTAATATCCTGCAGGACCGCGACCAGCGTAGTCGATGGTAAAGGAGAGTGGTAGTGAATGGAAGGAAGCAAGAAATTAGAATGGACAAGCCCGCCTGCGGAACGAAGGACTGAAGGGAAAGCAATGTCAGCAGAGATACATTGAATGGCTGGGCAAACGTTCAAGACGAGACACGTTCATGCGACTGGCGAGAGGGGTTGCATTTGAAAGACGCATGAACAACGCTAATGGTGAGTCGCTTTTGAGCCCATGTCAGTTTGGAGAGGCGCTCGGTGTGAATCCGCCGCTACGGACTAGACAGGAGATTTAGCAGCACTTGAGTCAACGACAATGGATCAAATGACGGAGTTACAGGGCGCAAAAGACGCCAAATCAGCCCCGAAGCGGTAAGATTCCCAAAAGCCGAGAGCAAGGTTGTCGCGCAAGCTTTGGCAGTTGTCTTGGACTTGTCTCAGCGGGTCATGGTCGCGTTTCAGCTCCCGTCTCCGAAGTAGATCAAACGCTACGGGGGAACTTTTGTGTGACCAACGAGTGACTGGCAGTTATTGGATGCCTAGAACAAAGTTGATCATTGCAAAGCCACGGCTGTAGATTGATCCCTTTGATATTTCCCCGCATATTACCGGTCGGCCTATGTGGAATGCGCTCACACTGACATTTTGCAGGAGACGCTCGTGTTGGTGGTTAGAGCCGTGACTGACGACGGAGCCACACAGTACTTAGTCCGAGTGGTGACAAAGCGCTGCGCCTCGGGTGGCGCATTCCAAAGTCCGGCTCCACTCCGAAGATCCGGCCGAGGGCAATTCCTTGAACAGCCAGAAGCACACAATGTTTCGCACGGGGCTGTGAGGGGGGTACGGAACGATGTGTTTCCTGAGGCGCAGAGGAGCCTGGTATGTGTGTGTGTGTGTGTGTGTTCACTGTGGAGTCGAGGCGTCCGAAAGCTGTCTCGAAGTAAAGACAGGCTGTCGCCCCTGATGCACCGTGTTGGATGGAGAAATACAGGTGCAGTGCAGTGACGATTGCAAGAGAAAGACCATGGCGCGGCATTTGGTGAATAATTAGGTACGGATGATGCGGCCTCTACCTAACCGTGGCTTCCAAGCATCGCTCGCTCCGCACAGCCGTGGCAGCCAGTCGTCACCGAGGCTGAGCCCAGCTTGAAGAGGCTGCGCCTCCATGTGTAATGATGAGTTCTTCAAGTCAGCAGATGTTTGTAAACGCGGCGGCAAGCGAATCATCAGTATAAGAGCCTAACGTTGCTTTTTCGCCGTTTCCTGTCCTCCTTCACTACCATTTCGATCTCCGTCTTGGCCCCCAACCTTGTGTCAATCCAACTAATCCTAATCACCCCTCCATTGACCCCTCACTTGCGCAACAACCGCCCCAGACCTTGTCAACTCTCACACCTACAAACGTCGCATAAACATTTACAGCAAACACATCATCACAATGTCCGGCCCTTACGACCAGTACAACCAGGGTTACCAGCACCAGCAGCAATATCCTCCCCAAGGCCAATATCCCCCTCAGCAACACGGCTGGGATCAAGGCGGCTACCAACAACCCGGTTATCCACCGCAGCAGCAAGGCCAGGGCTACGGTCAGCCACAGCAGGGCTATGAACAGCAAGGTTATAACCAGCAATACGGTGCACCTGCACACGGAGGTTTCCAACACGGCCAACAAGTAGCACCCTATGACCAGCAGCAACAAGGGTAAGAGAATAAACACGGCATAACACTTGTTTCGCGATGCTAACAGGTACCAGATACGGCCAAGCTGCCCAGTATCCTCCACAAGGCCAATACCCCGGCCAGCAGCCATCGCAGCAATTCCCCCAGCAAGGTGCATATGCCCAAGACCAGTATCCCCAAGGTCATAGCGCCTATGGCCAGCCAGGACAGCAGCACGGTCCCACGGATCCCAACGCGCAGGCTGAGGGCGACCGTGGGCTTATGGGCGCTCTAGGTGGCGGTGCAGCCGGCTACTTTGGCGGCAACAAGATGGGCGGGCATGGCATCATCGGAGCCATTGCCGGGTCTATCCTCGGTAGCAAGCTGGAGGACAAGGCCAAGAAGCCCAAGCACGGTAACGGCGGTTTCTTCTAGAGATAGAACGATGTCAACGTTTTCATGTTGAGTACCGGAGGATTGGATTACGGATGGGAATCTGGTTGATGAGGCGTTACGGACAAGGGTTACAGATAGGCACGGCAGTGTCTCACGGTATTTGGTTACGATACTGAGAATCGGATAGTTATTCCTAGAATGAATAACCAATGAATTCGGATTTTGTGTTTCTCATAAACAGTTTTGCACCAAAAGCGTCATGCTAATAGGGGCGGTGCGTCATAGTTGTACGTGGCGCATATCACGACTGACCCATCAATACGAAACGAAACCTTCGGAATCGCGATCGTCGTACGATGAGGCTGGGCACAGAGTAGCAGTGTGGACATATTCTCTCCACTACGCACATGAATTGTCCGTAGCCCGCGGACAAACGTCGACGCCACGAACTACCGAAATTAACCATCTCCATCGACGCGGACGTTGAAACAAGCCCGTTGAAACAGCCACACGAGAATACACAGCGCTTGTATTTTAGGACAATTAGTAGGCCCGACAGCCCAGATCGGGTCATGATTTCACCAAGAGTATGCATCTCACGATCTAGCAAATGGCATGAAGGCTTCGTTTATCTGCAGGTACCCGCTGTTTGACCGTAAGTGCCAACCACGCGTCCATGATGTTAGGGTATGCTCATGTACATGGGGCTCGGGTTTGGAAGGGGAAAAGGAGTGCAGCGCTACATAAGGTTTCCTGAGGCGTCGACGTTGGCCGCAGCGTTGCGGATAGCGAGCGATGCCAAGCGCGGCTTCATCGACGACGGTGTCATGGACCCGAGCGGCGGCGCACGCTGAGCTCGGTCCTACAACTGCAGTTTGATGCACTCGGCCCCGGTGTTCTTACTTTTACTGAGTTTTGGTCCTGTGCCTTGGCCGCTCGACATGTGCTTCTGCAGGCAACGCTTTCTCATCGCCTTGTTCTTCTTTCTCTTTCCTTTCCTTTCCTTTACTACAAATGCAACACACGGATTTTTATGTCACGAAGGGGGCTGCACTGATACAACCGTTCTGACAGCCAAGAAGTGTGTGAGAATGCCAACACGGGCTTGGAGGCGGGCTGGCTCCGGCTTCGGCATAGGCGTGAGCGCGAAGGGTGTCCGCATGCACAGGATACAGGCGTGGGAAAATTTCGACAGAGTTGGTGACAAGAGGACAAGAGTCGGGCAAGACACATACTAAGGTGAGAGATGGTGTATGATATAGAAACCAAACGATTTACTCGATAACATCGAGTAAAGTGGTCAGGCTGGCCGCTGAATGGCCCGGCCGGCGCCCCATGAACCCCACATTACCTTTATCTCCCTACTGCATCACGCTATCCCCTCCATGTGATAGCCACCCAGCTAGAAGCCTCAAGCGAACGTCGACCTGCAACCTCAACCGACCATGGCGTCTGCTGCGAGATAGTGAGCTTCTCCGGGACCGGCATCTTGGTGACATGTTTCTATCGAGTCAAGACAAGGTGCAAATCTCTGCAATCCAGGGTCCTATCGCGGAGATAGCTGTGTAGCAATGCACAACTACCAAGACTTCATCTTCACATCCTGGGACGGCACACGATACCGTTACACTGGCGCTGCACCATTCGCGGTAAATCCTCCACCCACATGCCCTCCTACACACATCCAAGCCGCAAATTCTGCACCATTTGCCCTCTGGTAAGCTATGCAGGCGGCCAGATGCATCACACGATCTGTTCATGAGAGCATTCAGCCGCGCAACTGTAGCGAAGCATCTTCGGTGGATACCGTGGGGCTATCGCAAGTCCCCTAAGATAAGGCTGCCGGAACAGGCCTACCATTCAACCAGTACAGTACCGTATAACCATGATGCCTTCGGATGCGGAGCCACACCAGCCTCTAGGCGTGGAGTAAATCCCAAGATAGTTCATCTGGTGGGCAGATATGCTCGTGGCATTTAAGATGGTGCACGCCCCATACCAGACCCTCTCTAGCAACCACGATTAAGATCCTTTCACATCATATCGCAGCAGTAGCGCGATATCAGTATTGTACACAGCTAGCCTTTTCCAACTACCCCCAGCAATTTAGCCACCGTGGATCCCGAACGCCAACCACTTATCCCGCAGCAACCACCAGCAAGTCTGGGCTTACCTAGACCTTCACTCGCTTCAGATACCCCCCCACGTCATCCAAGCGGAGATTTTCACCCATACCAAGCGGCTGCCTCGAGCAGCCGAAGCGAAAGCTTCATAAGGCCCATCGCGACCTCGACTGTTTTCCATTCCAGCGACGAAGGTTTCTACCTCGACAACATTATGGAGAAACTCAAGCGATCCAAGGTCGCCCATTGGGCTGATAAGCTCGCGGTCGAGAGCGAACCCAACCTCACCACGGCGCAGCTCATGCTGTACAACCACGATTTGAAGCCGGTTTGTTGTTCTTGTACTTCAAGTCTATACTTTTGCTAATAGTCAAAGGTTGAGCCTGAGCGCCGGCAATGGGGCGCATGGAATTTTGTGGGTTTCTGGGTTGGTACGTTACCATAAGCAAGATAACGCTTCGCATAAACTAACATTGCCAAAGCCGACTCTTTCAACATCAACACATGGATGATCTCGTCTGCCAACATCGTAGACGGTCTTTCATGGTGGCAATCATGGATTTGCGTCTGGGTATGAAAGCCATATTGGTCATACAAACATGCGCTGATTCAACAATAGCTTGGTTACTCCATCGCCGCTTGTTTCGTCTGTATGACTGGTCGTATCGGTGCGACATATCATATCTCTTTCCCTGTCGTCAATCGCTCCTCATTTGGTATTTGGGGTGCGCTATGGCCAGTCTTCAACCGTGCAGCCATGGCCAGTATTTGGTATGGCGTGCAAGCTTGGATTGGTGGCACCTGCGTCAGCCTCATGATTCGAGCCATCTGGAACAACTGGCGAAATGCGGATCCTGCCACTGGCGGAGGCGGCATCAAGAACGGCATTCCTGATTCTGGTACAAACACAGTCGCTTTTGTGTCCTTCCTCTTTTTCTGGCTCGGATCTTTGCCGTTCATCTACCCACCAGTGCACAAGATTCGCCACCTATTCACGGTAAAAGCCTTCTTTGTACCCGTAGCTGGCATTGCCTTCTTCATCTGGGCCGTCGTTCGAGCAAAGGGTCTAGGTCCTATTGTTCACCAGTCTGGTACCGCCCGTGGATCCGAGTTGGGATGGCTTATGGTAAAGGGTATCATGAGCGCTATTGCCAACTTCGCCACTTTGATCGTCAACGACCCTGACTTTGCGCGTTTTGCGAAGAAGCCCTCCAACGCGTTCCTTCCCCAATTGCTTACCATCCCGATCGGATTTGCCGTCACCTCTTTCATTGGTATAATCGTATCGTCGTCTTCAACTGTCATCTTTGGCAAAGCTATCTGGAACCCATTGGATCTTCTGGAGCAGTTTCTCAATGAAGGCGGATCTGCCCAGCGATTCGGCGTCTTCGTCATCGCCGCAGCGTTCACGCTCGCCCAACTCGGAACCAACATTGCAGCAAACTCCATTTCTGCCGGAACCGATATGACGGCCCTTGCACCCCGATGGATCAGCATCAGACGCGGTGGATACATCTGTGCTCTCGTTGGTCTCGTCATGTGCCCCTGGAACCTACTCTCCACCACCAACAACTTCACAACCTACCTCTCCGCCTACTCCGTCTTCCTCTCCTCCATCGCCGGTGTCATGATTTGCGACTACTACATTGTCCGCAAGGGCTATCTCCAGATCAAGGATCTCTACTCTGGCAAGAAGACAGGTCCTTATTACTACACCCTAGGTTTCCACTGGCGAGGCTACGCCGCCTACATCGCGGGTATCCTGATCAACGTTGTCGGTTTCGCAGGTGCCATTGGGCGTGACGTTCCCATTGGCGCACAGCGTATCTACGACTTGAACTTCTTTGCGGGATTCGGCGTTGCAAGTATCACCTACTGGGCGCTCTGCAAGATCAGCCCGGTCCCCGCGACGAGCGACGTCTGGATGGAGGTTGGTGATGAGATTACAGAAATCAGCGTTGCGTATCAGGATAGCGATGATGCTGACCGGTATGATGAGGAGGTTATGCATGGTGGCAGTGGCAAGGCAGCTGAGGAGCTCGCACACTCCAAGGCCTTTTAGGTTGGTCTCGAGATGGCTGATTAAAGCTCGATGGGCTTTGACGGTGGAGTGAGCTGGGTTGTTGGCATTATCATGATTTTTTCCTGTTTATGAATGTTTTACAAGGCGAGATGAGATACCAGACCATGCCTTTGGTCACAGTCGTTTTCGCAAACCAATAGAGTACTATTCCCACTCTCCAGTACTTGTCCACTCGCATCATCGCCTTCCGATGGTATCACTACGCGACCGAGATTGAAGGTACACTTTCGCAGAAGCACCTGGGTGTCATGAAATACTTGACAGCGTGGATAAGCACCTAATAGACGTGTTCGGCGACCACAGTGGCCTTGATACACTAGTATGTCAAGTATTTCATGACACTCAGATGCATTGCAACGCTCTATTGTCCAGAAAGAGGAAGGGCTGCAGCAGTACATTTCCACCGTTTCGGGTCGACACCAGCATGTCTCGCCGACATTGAATGGGCGTGATCATGTATCACGAGCGCCTTCCTATTGCGCCTGGCCAAGAGAAACCAAGGGGTTTATTATTGCGACTCTTCATATATTGAGGTTGCATATATAATGCTGGGTTGCTACGCGATCGATCGCCGGCATATTGACTCTTTGTGGCATTCCCCCCAAACTACTGCAACAGCGCCTTAGATCAGAGAATCAACATCAAATGTTATACATTTAGTCCGGAATCTTATCAGTTGTACATCGGTAAGACCACCGATATTGTACATAGTCCCAGCATCATCTCACTTTACACTTACAACCTCTCACCCAGCTTCCTCTCTACCACCAACAAGGCACTCAGAGTACCGATTTGATTCGGAAGGCAAGAGCCGGCATGGAGGCTCCCCAAGGATGGCGAAGCAAATATAGTGTCCTGTAGCCAATAGCGTTTAGCCGGTCCGGTCACCACCGCGCTGGGTATATTAGCTGGATATTGAGCTTGTCAATCTCGGACTATGAGCCTTTGTATTGGAAGTGGGCTCGATAAGGCGCATCTAAGAAATATGAATGGCGGGGTGGTAATTGTGATGTGGTCATGAGGGATATGCAGAGGATAGTAGTGGGCTTTGGGCATACAAGGAGCGAGTATATAAGACGAGTAGAGATACGGCTCGTATTCTAGTATAGATCACAGGAGGTGAACATCAAAGTAAACTTTCAAGATGTTATTCTCCAACTTCTTCCTCCCGACAGCTCTTCTCGCCGCTCAGGCTGCAGCCCACGGCGCCGTAACCAGCTATGTTATCGACGGCGTAACCTACCCCGGGTATGCATATCCCACTCTAATCCGACGTCTCTCTAACATAAACCTCAGCTACGAAGGCTTCTCGCCCGCCTCGTCCCCCAAAACCATCCAACGCCAATGGCCAGACTACAACCCCACCATGTCAGTGAACGACAAAAAAGTCATGTGCAACGGCGGCACATCCGCAGACCTCAGCGCCAAAGTAGCAGCCGGCGGCAAGATACGCGCACTCTGGAAGCAATGGACGCACGAACAAGGCCCAGTCATGGTATGGATGTACAAATGTGCCGGAGACTTCAAGAGCTGTGATGGCAGTGGCAAGAAATGGTTCAAGGTAACCTATTCTCATGTCTTCAGCCCCAACTAAAAACAACCTCCTAACAAAGCAACCCCCCAGATCGACCAACAAGGCATGACTGCACCACCCCTCTCCGGCCGAAACTGGGGCACTGCCTTTGTCCTCAAGAACCTCTACTGGGAATCTACCGTCCCTGCCTCGCTGGCACCAGGGAACTACCTCGTGCGCCACGAGCTGTTGGCCCTGCATCAGGCAAAGACTCCGCAGTTCTATGCAGAGTGTGCGCAGATTGTGGTGACGGGGAGTGGGACTAAGACTCCGGATGGTGATTACTTGGCGAATATTCCAGGGTATGCGGCCCAGAGTGACCCTGGTATTACGGTAGATACGTATGCTAGTTCGCAGACTACGTATACCTGTCCTGGGCCGAAGGTCTGGTCGGGGTAAGGTAGGATGTGGTGATGGTTGGGGGACGTTGGGATGTAAGCATGGTAGACGCTGTGATGGGTAGAAGGGAAAGGATAGTGGGGTTTAGATACGTTTGATGATTTACTACCTACTCCTTGTCAAGATGCGCACGTCACGATGTTGTACAGTGACCAAACTTCAAAAACATTTTTGAACCATGGTTCACACAGCCCGCTACCTCTCCACTCCCCACACTGAAGCTTCATAAATAAAGTCCATGCTTTGCCTCTCTGCGAGCATCACATAACCCTCCACCTCCGATCATCAAATCTACATAGCCTTTTGCCAAAATGTGCGGCTTACTCTTCAGCATACTAATGCTGTCCAGCATACTAGGGCTCGAGTTCTTGATTCACGCTCTCCGGGAAAGGATCCTTGCCCAGTCTAGCGAGATACAGAAGCTTGCACTGGAGCTCAAGACGCTGAAGCAGAAGATGGAGGAACAACAAAAGGATCGAGATGGAGCATTCACCACGTACGAGATTGTGCAACACGCAGAGAAGGAAGAGGCTGAGGAGGAGAACGAGGAGGCCAACGAGAGGAAGAGCACACCCGATCCATTCGACATCCTCGACGACTGGGAGTCCCTGGAGAATGAATCTGACTTCAGTCAAGAATGTTATACTCCGGAAAGCGATACTCCCGGCACATATCAATTCATCTCTAGAAGAACATGTTCTCACATGATCTAGCGCCTTTCTCGGCCGTAAACTCCAAACCCGACTCTCTCGCGCACATCACAGAATGCATACAGCAATTCCTTCTGTCCCGAGGCCGCCCCGATAATGGTGTAGCTGGTATGTTCTCTCTCCTCATTCTAAAGTTCTAAAGTACCAATCATACTAACACGACGAACAGTGGATCTAGCCTTTCTGTACAAACACGGCTAACTCCAAGCGCTAAAGCCAGGCGATATATCGCAGGCCCGCCTGGCCACGTCAAAGTGCGACAATGGGTATGTTATGAAGCTGATGGTCGGAGACACGACGATAGCCACTAGCGATCCGGCCGAGGAGGGACATGCTTACGAAGCGTTATGCGATATGGTGGCTCTCGGGGTGGAAGCTGTTCTTTATCTCAAGCGGAGTCAGAAGTGATGATAACACGTAGTGTTCAAGGGAAAATCCAAAGTTGACAAGTTCTTCATCATGAGCGTCGTTATACGCTCCAGGGATTGTTTCATTGCCCAAACGACGATTTCGTGTAGCGTATGATATATATCGCAAATCCCAAACGCCATGTGCAATGCTAGCTCCTTCTGTTCTGTTCTTGCATGCTTATGTCCTTTATACACCGTAAAATACACATAGCCTCCTTCTCCTCCTTTTTCCCTCGCCCAACTGTGTAACAATCACCTAAACTTGGCAGTCCCCGGTATATCCTTGATCTCCTCAAACTTGGTGCCCATCTTGACGATGCTGTATCTGATCAACCGCGGGTCCAAACTCATTGTTCTCCGCAGAGCGTGTTGTGCACGCGCACTCGCATCGAAGCGCATGATGAAGTGATGGCCATAGTGGTGTGTAGATTGCAGTTTTTTCGCCGGCTTGGGGAGTAGGAAAGTGCCCCAGTTGGAGACGCCGCGCACGACGCCCTGCTGATCTAGGACGATTTTACCGGCGGTTTTGGCGATTCTACAAGTTTGCTTGCGTCAGAAAAGCTGCGTCATCGCGCGGATGGCTCGCCGAGATGTGGTATAGCATGGTGGAAGGTGGGGATTTACTCTTTTACTTCAGAGAGGCGGCCAGGCCGTACCTGCGCACATATCAGCACAACTGCCTCAAACGCCAAATAGCCAAACACAATTCCCACATACCACTCCAATCATCTCATACAGCATATTTGCGCGCCCTCGGTTGATCGGTACTTCTCAATTGTTGCGGTATGACGCTGCGTCTCTCCCCGTCGCGAAAAGTGTTCGAAAGCGGCCAACCTTTCCGCTACCAAGCGACCGCGGAAGAGCTCCACATTTTGACCATGAATCTTGGCGAACATTGCTATCGCAATTCCCACCTCCAAAGCTTCTAATCTCACATCCTACCGTTTTCATATTCCAAGAAGATAAAAATGGCCGCCAGAATCTCAGTCGCACGCGTCGCGCGCCAATTCACCTCTTCTGCTGCTGCCAGGAGGCCCTCGGCTTTTGTGTGCCAAAGGTGGCAGCAGCAGCAGGCACGGCCGTCGCAACGGCTATTCTCGGTATCTGCCGCACGTACGCACACCTGAGCAATTGCAGAGATTGGGATTGTTTATGGTTGCTGACGGGGAACTTGTAGTTAAGGAGAAGAAGTATACCGAGGACCATGAGTGGATTGAGATGTCTGCTGACGGCAAGACCTGTACGTTTATTTTGTCCCCGCAATCTCACCACAACCTCCGACATGAGACTGACATACATACAACATAGGCACCCTTGGTATCTCGGAATACGCTGCAAAGGCCCTCGGCGACGTAGTCTACATCGAGCTCCCCCAGGTAGAAATGGACGTCAGCGAAGGCGACGCCATTGGCGCTGTCGAGTCTGTAAAGTCGGCTTCCGATATCCTCACACCCATCTCTGGTACCGTGGTAGAGGTCAACACGGCGCTCGAGAGCAAGCCGGGCGATGTCAACAAGGACCCCGAGGGTGAGGCGTGGATTGCGAAGATCACCGTGTCGGCTGAGCCGAGCATGAAGACGATGAGCAAGGAGGAGTATGCTGCGTTTACTGAGGAGTAAACTTGGGGTTATGTTTAGGATGGAAGGGAGACATGTAGAGGTAACGATACCTGGGCGCATGCTTCAACACGATATGCGAGAGATGTAGTTATGATTCTGATGAACACCTTTGATGCGGACTTAGGTTTGATTCATAGGCATGGTAGAGATCTAGGAGAGTTGTTTCTGGCAACCAATAGAGTATCATCCACAATCAACTTCAATATCCCACGGCCAATCTCTGTGTAAACGCGTAGCCTATGTTCACTTTGCATACAACATGGTACTGGTGTGGAGTTGAACTGCTCGATCAGGTATAAGCCAACAGCATCTCAAATGTGTCGAACACCCTCTGAATCATTTAATTCAATCTACAATTCAATGTCGCTATCACCAGCTGACTCACATATCAACACTTCATGTACATCTACTGCCCGCGTCAAATGCCGCTAGTCCCGATTCGGTTTATCATTTGGGCTGTATAATATGTTATCTCGCGGGATTGAGCATTACATTGGCATCGCTCTCTATTTTACCGGATTAAGTACTGTCGACAACATTGTTAGCTACCAAAGTATCAACGTGGGCCCTAAAATAACTGCATACTCTATCCGAGCGTGCTCCGGCCGAACTCCAGCTGGCGTGCGGGCATCTGTCAGATTCAATGATAGGAAATAGTACTAGAGAGATAATGTTCTTAGATATTAGTATAGTATTGTCTCTGCTAAGGATAGACAAATAGCTACTGAGTTATGGTAGCGTCTTCTCATACTATCTCATACTAAATACCCGATAATGGCTCATCCTGGGCCAGAATGGGCGGGGTCTTGATAGCATCGGACCACCCCCTCTCCCATCTTAACGAACATCAACCCACCCCTCACCATAATACACACTCTACATCCGCAAAATCCTTGCATAAATTACTCGTTTTGAATAATTGAATCATCAAAATGTCCTGCATCCTCGATCTACCACGAGAGCTGCGCGACGAGATTTACAGATGCTATCTTGCACAAGATGGGGGTTATGTTTACAACGCCCGCACACGGAAACTACGCACGGCCGATGGGCTTATTGATCTGGCGTGGATGAGGACTTGCAAGCAGGTTGCCCAAGAGATGAGGCCGTTGCTGTTTGAAGTCAATGCTGTTACGTTCAAGACCGAGTGGATCGACCGCGAGACGAGTGAGAGAGCCGAACGTTTCGGAAATGAACTCGTTTCCCTGCACCATCAATCCGCCTCCCATTTGTACAACCTTCGTAAATCCATCACCAACTATATGGCTTACCAAGCTACAAGTGCTTTTCCAAAGTCAAGTATCATGCTTCCTGCTATCCGCGACCCACATCCCACCGGCGTACAAACAGATTACCATAGACACTTCGAGCACCATTTCAGAGACTTACAAAACTGGAGAATATGGAGACAGGCCCCTTCTACGCAACGTAATTTCGTAAAATCACTGCTGCTATTGAAGAAGCCTAGACGGACGTGGTGGGACTTTTGGAGCCCGGACCAGTTGCTAGGACAAACAGATAGTCGTCCTGATTTTACATCACAAGTCGAACAGATCCCCGACCCATGGATTATCCCTGGTGAGGGTCTGGTTGTGTTTTTGGAGGAGTTAAACAGTACCTGGTCAGGGGTAAAGACAAAGACGACCGGGATACGATCCCGCTGGGCATCTCACATTAAACACTACTTCTCAGCAGCTGCGCTTGCTATACAATTCTTTGGAAGCATTGACAGGGACCTTCTTTCCAGAATTCGTCACATCATCGTAGATGAGGCCCATGCGAGCGTGGCCTATCCGCAATGCCATGTACTCGGCTTAATCCCCATTCTGCAGAAGAATCCTCGACTCTCCATCGAACGAAGGGTCGATATTTGGAATACTGTCACCACTGGTAGACACGGCGAGGATCATGTTTCGAGATTTGCGTACTGCACCGACGAAAAGCTCGAGAAGCTTGCTAAGGACACTGAAGACGCTGAAGACGATGAGGACGATGAAGACAAGGCAGTGATAACTCGCGACCTTATCTCCGTATCGTTCTCCCAATGGTTCGAAGAAGCAGCCGCCCTTTCTTCAGCCGGCATACCATCCGACCGCTTCTCATTGATCTTCCACCAATCCCCCAATACCGAGGCCGTGCTGCCGATATTCGAGACCGTTGTCCGCGATGCTGCGTGGCAGAGTGCATTGGAACGAGCACTTGTCGTTACACCACCGAAAAACCCGATGAGTCTCCCAGGCACGATTTGCTGGTTTTCTGAGTCGTTCGCTCGGGTTGTGCGCGACATACAGCAACGTAAAGGGTTTGTTCACTTTGACATATGAAATGCAAGTGTCGCAGATGTGTCAGTTCCGTTAGGCGAAGAGGTTCACCCTCTTCTCTTTGACGATCAATGGAGTGAGGACGTGGGGAATGCGAAAGTCGAACCACTTCCACCACTGCCTACTTGGACGAATATGCTGTTGGGCTATCTTGATAGAGGCGAGGATTCACGGTAGGTGCGTTGTTAGGCAGACTCCGGCGTACACTTTGCAATGTCGAGCATATCGTCGCAACCAAGATGGAATTCACAGGGTTATTTAAATTACTTAGTGTTGAATTACATTTGGTGCTCAGTCCGCCTATGATAGTAGTTGGACTGTTGTTGTAGCTGGAAGAATGCCAGGGTAGGGTACCCGCAGGTGAATTTGGTATTTAGTCCAAGCACAACTTGCTTCAAGGATACCTTGCTCCGGTTCACAGTGAAGTGTCAGCACTGAAGCAAATTGAATAACATCTGCAAATGCCCTTGTAAGAATATCATACCTAAGTATACATCGCGTGCAGCTTCCGTGTGCCCTTCAGTAGCGTGCGTAAGGCTAGACGCTAGGAAGCGCCTGCATCTTCCCCACCTCCCTCCACCACGTTATCCTACGCCCGACACCATCAATTTTCAACCAAGAGTCTTGGGCTTCAGTCTTCTGGAAACCTGTTTCATGGCTGTACGATGGATCTGTTAAGGTCGAGCAACATTAAGTGAACAAAAAGTCGAAAGATTAATAACCTCACACTCCTGGGTTACTAGCAGTTGCTGACTGGCCAGTGGCTAATCAATTGCACCCACATTTCTACCCGTTTGGGCATCAGGTTTCGCTTCCCGTCAGCCGCTACATCTGCAGCACGCCTTAAACTGCAGTACTTGCTTTCCTTGAATGAGGCGACTTCTGCGGGCAGTATGCGTTGACTAATCTACTTAAGGTATGCACATTGGCATTGTGCGAAAAAGCTTAAGTATGAGTTGCCTATCAAAATGCGGTTCTTGCGCTGATCTGTATCTCTGGTATTGGAGTTTTTCTCTTGTGCATCACAAATCTCACTCCATGGTTTCATCATGGCCGTACTATCCACCCAGAACCTTGTCTTCGCCCTCGGTATCTTGACGGTTTACATCCTCACCCGCTTCTTGCGACCGAAAAAGCACGATCTACCACTCCCTCCAGGACCGAAAGGTGTTCCACTCCTTGGAAATATCAATGATTTGCCCACACCAGGCATTCTGGAATGCCACCATTGGCTCAAACACAAGGATCTTTACGGCCCAATAAGCTCGATTACCGTCTTAGGTCAAACATTTGTGATTGTCAACGATGCGGACATGGCGCTAGAACTACTGAGTAGTCGAGCGGCGATATATTCGGGAAGACCCAAAATGGTATTCAGTGGAGACATGTACGTCTCTCCATCTGCACAACGCTAGTACAGAAGCTGACAGTAGTAGGGTCGGTTGGACGAACACGCTAGCGATGCATCAGCCTGATGCCATTTTCAAACAGCACCGTCGCAATATTGCCAAAGTGGCTGGAGCGAGCACATCTCTTACTGTCTTCGATCGCATTCAGAATGAGGAAGCTGCTCACTTCCTCTTGAACGTACTGGATACACCCGAGAACCTGTTCGAGCATATCAGGAAGGAAGCCGGCGCAGTCATCTTGCGCATCACGTATGGATATACACCTAATGCCCAGGGCCGAGACCCATTGGTAGACATGGCAGGACAGGCAATGGCTGATTTTGCCGAAGCGAGTGCTCCTGGTAGATGGGCGGTTGATGTACTCCCCTTTTGTGAGCAAAGAACACTTCCCCACATTTATGCACTAAGCTGATCATAACCAAGTGAGATACCTACCCGATGGCTGTCCAGGCACTTCCTTCAAACGTACAGCCCGCGACATGGCGAAACATTTGGTGCGTACAGCCGAGGAACCCTACGCTTTCGTCAAGAAACAAATGCGAGAGAAGACGGCCAAGACCTCTTTCCTCTCCCAAGCCCTGGAGTCCATTGGTGTCGACGATGCTGAAACAGAACGCATCCACAAATGGTCTGCGACGTCCATGTATACCGGTGGTGCCGATACCACCGTCTCAGCACTAATGACGTTCTTCCTCGCCATGGCTGTATTCCCAGATGTCCAGAAGAAGGCACAGGAAGAGCTGGATCGTGTAATTGGCGGCGGGAGATTGCCGGTAACAAGCGACAAAGCAAGCCTACCATATATCGAAGCAGTAGTTAAGGAGACGCATCGATGGCACCCCATTGCACCCATGGCGCTGCCGCATTGCTGTACGGAGGAAGATAGCATCAACGGATACAGAATACCAAAGGGAGCAATGGTTCTACCCAACAACTGGTAAGCCCCAATACAGCAACTGGACGTTGGCATGATTGACTGAAAGCCATCAAGGTGGTTCACCCACGACCCCGCCGTATACCCAGACCCCATGACCTTCCGGCCAGAACGCTACATCACAACCCCCACCCACACCGCAGAGCCCGATCCCCGAACCTGGAGTTTTGGCTACGGACGTCGCGTCTGTCCCGGACGTTACGTCGCCGACAACGCCCTCTTCACCACCATCGCGCAGTCGCTAGCCGTCTTTGACGTCGAGAAGCCTGTGGAGAATGGCAGGACGGTGGAGCCAAAGGTTGAATTCGAGCCTGGTCTGGTCAGCCACCCGATGCCGTATCGAGTGAGTATCAAGCCGAGGAGTAAGGAGTGTGAGATGTTGGTGAGGCAGGCGGAGGAATTGTTTCCGTGGGGCGAGAGTGATGCGCCGGAGCTTGAGGGGCTGAGATAGGTAGTTTTATGGCCGTGACGAATAGCAATGGACATGTCATCGGAAGATTAGAGGTGCAAATCTCAGGCATTCCGAGGAGTGACACAAGCGGCTCAAGGGATTCACGACGCGGAAAGATTGATTTAAAGCAATGGAATTGTATTGGATCTATGAAGTAAACATCTATAGCAAAGGCACCAAGCAACTACCAGACGACATCGCATAATTGATGCAACACCGTATTCAGAAGCAAGGAAGCATCAAAAGATCAGCAAGCAACATCACAAGACATCACATAGGCAAAAGATTGCACCACGGCCAAAGGACGGCAGCACAAAGAAGGTGATAGAAAAAGAAGGTATGTCTCCCTCTCGCCTCAGCTTCAGGCCAACTGGTTTGGCAGAAAGATTGAGGAAAGAAGGCCTCGCCGTCCAGAAGCGGAGGGCAAGGGTGTTTTGATCTGGCTTCCATGTCCACACTTGCTCAACGTTGGATACAAATTGGCAAGCTCTAGCATATATTGGAAGCGTAAGGTAAGAGTAAGACGCTCACAAAAGATCGCGACGCACCCCACAACCTGAAACATCCATCTCCTATCCTACCCCTACGAACATAGCAATGCAGATAGTTCTGCATGCATCGCCGAAAGAGCGGGACAACAGATGAAAAAAACCCCTCAGATGCCCACAAAAAGCGACACTTCATAGAATGAAATTTCAGGGTGTGACCTTCAAAAGACCACGACTCAAAAGTCGAAAAATGGCACAAAGCCAACAACACTGGAAAGCGTGAAGCCTCCAATATAAGGGCATTGAACCCTCAGCAGACGGACGATCGAAGTCAACCAAAATCAGCAATACAATGTCCGCAGACACTGACAACATGATCCGTACAGATTGTTGAGGTCTTGATCTGTGCCCGAGCTTGGGAAGAAATCTTCCAAAAAGCAAGAGCTTCTCGCGTAGGAGCCGAAGGCCCACAAGAACGCGAAAGGCGCCAGAACTGGTACGGGCACCTTACGATCGTGACGGACCAACCCATCCATTGCCACAATCGTTTGAGTTAATAACACGATGTACCACCGTGTTGGCTTCTCCCTTCCAGAGAAAGTCTCGATGGAATCGGCCGTCAGAGGGGGGTAACGGCCTGTTCTTCAGTAACGCGATCCCACACCACAACATCTGGCATGCTGGCTGCGCAGCCACAGCCAGCATGTCCGTCAAAATACCACTCCACTCCACCGCCACTGCCGTAGCTAGTGATGGTGAGGTTCTGGGCCCTTTTCGGTCCTCCGATTGCCGCAGCAACCAAAGACCAAGTCCTGTGGTGTGAGATCGGGCGTTCGAGATGGGTGCCTCGAAGCAAAATGTGCCAGGGCCGTGCGGCCTGTCGAGAGTCCCCTAAAGGTGACCTCATATCTGTGGCTTCTCTACCTCCGAGATCGGAACAAGGGGTGACCTAAACCCTCCACTTTCGCCCGAAGGCAAAAGGGAGTGCTCGGACTCTCGTCCCAGATTGCTTTCTCGGTGTCGGGGAAAAAAACCCTGCTCTGAGGGCCAACAGTCGAGCCGACTTCTATTCTTTATTTGTATTCATTTGTATTCGTTTGTGGGCGAAGTCGTTAGGTTCCGACGATGTGACCAGAATGCGACAGTTCGCCGATCTTCGACCATTGACTCGTGTTCGCGTCGTGGTATTGTCGCTCGTAACTAGCGTCGCGTGATAGTCCACTGCTTCGCTCTCGTACGTACACTTGTCGGTCTAGCCTCTGAATGGTTAGGGCTGTGAGGACTGATCACAAAGACGTTAACCAACATTGCACCTGATCGCTGCTTGCTCCAAACGGGACGTCTCCCAGCTTCAAAACTCCCAGCTACCAGGTGTTGCTCGGTCGAGAATAACGGGTTACCAAGCTCATCATTCACTGGGACAAAGACTTTGGGGGTGAGCCGCCAGTCGTTTTCGGGCCTATCGATGAGGCCGTACTTGGTGGACGTACTCGGTGTGCTCCGGGTGTGAGCATGTTCTCGGTGTGGTGACTGAGCGTAAAAGACCCGATGAATCGTTTGGTGACGTTTGGAAGCGTTAATTGTGGGTGATTGATCATGCATATGCAACATAGAACCGGGTGATGACGTGGACCGATGTCGAGGGAATGCACACACAATAGAAGGGATATCACCCGGGGGTGTACTCTCACATCTATCAACTGGGGACCAGACCAGTGGAAGGTGCTACGCGTGCGATAGGCATTCAAGCCTTGGAAGACGCGAACGCATGACGTCGGTGACATGTGTCTCCGACATAACGATGCTAATGCGAGGGTTCGCAATAGCGGCGGGGAAAGAGACGACAAAAGGAAGCTATCGCGTCAAGAGGACTAATAGAAGAAGCTTGAATAGCCCAGAAGGCAAAAAGAGGTAGTCGCGTCCATGAGAAGAGAGGGTGGACGAGACTAGCAACATATAGACGGAGGGAAGAGCGAGTGTTGGAGGGGGCTGGAAGCGAGCTTTAAACACTTGGGCGTGGGTCTGTGTTCTCCTTGGCACCTGTTGGTCCGTGCAGTCGCGTCATCGAAGCCAACTGGGCGTAAACGTCAGCCAGGCGAAGGGATACGGTCAAGATAGGGGTGATAAGCGGGACATCATTCAAAGAGGACAAGATGGTGAGTGTCAGATAGGAGGATGTATTGTGGTGCATGCGCTGACCCTATCGCAGCCGCCAAAGCGCAGAGCTCGTACTAAGGCGCCGCCTACTAAACGTCCGTCAAAGCTCGCGAAAGAGAACGGGCTCAGTGCAGAGCAGGAGGCCGAAATACGCGAGGCATTTGGTCTTTTTGCTGTATCTCACCCTGACTATGAAGAAGCTGAGGAGGGAGTGTTGAAGAAGAGCGATGTGCGCCGGTGTCTGATGTGGGTTCAAGTCGAATGCGCCTGACCCGTCCATACATGCTAATGATTCAAAAGCTCGCTGAACCTCACCCCCGAGAAGTCGCAAATGTCGTCTATCCTATCTACTATCGATCCCCTCGACACTGGGTTTGTAGAGTTCGTGCCCTTCCTCTCCTACGCTGCCATCGCAATTCATACAAAGGAACACGGATCGGATGAGGATGAGGATGAAGGTGGATATCAGGGAGAAAGCAATGCAGAGGAGGTTAACGCGGCCTATCAGCTCTTTACCCATGGTGCCGCAGGGCCTATTACTCTGGCGCATCTAAGAAGAGTAGCAAAGGAGCTGCGAGAGGACGTGCCAGACGACGTCTTGAGAGATATGATCCTCGAGGCGAATGGCGGTGTCAAGGGTACAGGGAAGGATGTCGGAGGGGTGAACTTGGAAGACTTTGAGAGTGTAATGAAGAGGGCCGGGCTGTCCTTTGGGTGAAAACAGGAGACGCAAAAGGGAGGACCTGTCACCAACCGCCGTGCAACGGACGCGGGAATCATTCGCACTATTGGTGTGGGACTTTGCAGCATGCGAGACTATCAGCACATGCTGCGTCGCTGTGCATGCTCCATGCCACTCCGGACACACCTTGACCGAACTTGAGCAACCGTCTGGCAGATGCTTGCTTGGTACAATGAATGCCAATGAGAGAACCAGGCATGGGTGAAGTAGCAGCAACTGGACGCGCAGAAGGGCCTACTGCCCATGAAGCCCCGAACGGTGATTGTAGCTGAGGGCGATCCATAGCCAATTTCTCTTAGCGTCATTCCAGAAGCGGAAATGTGTAGCCAAATGCGTGTGTTACCAAAGATAGTCGTGAGAAACGGGCTCGGCGCCGACAGTATGGCCGCAAGGTGCAGGCAGGGCTGAAGATCAAAAGTTGGTGCCAAGATTCAGGGACCAACGCAAGCCTTCGGACACGCTTGCATAGCACTGTGCAACCCTCACATCTACTGTTGAATCTCGATTTTGTGGACAGTCACTCTGTTGTACGTCTTCTCTCTGTCGTGCCTACGTTGCCACATCGGGCTAAACTAACTTGGGGTTTGCAGCTCAGCTCAATGACAGCGCCCTAAATCGCGGACCCTTTTCTCCCCTCGTTCCCCTGGTTCCATGTCAAGCGGTGTCGAAGTACCCGGAAGAAGCCAACGACGTCCCGGCATCTGGTCCTACTTCAGCTTTTCCGGTCCGCGCCGCCGTGTCTCTGTCTCCCTACCACGCAACTTCGATCCCAATCGCGACTCCAGCGATCCTCACGAGAAGCCCGACCGCCATTCGCGACATCGCTCGACTTACTCGGACGCATTCATGAACGAACACAAAGGAGGCGCCGTTATGAATCAAGGTCAGCGCTTGCGCTACCTGAAGACAGGTGGCGTCATTGCCTTCATACTATTCGCACTGTACATGATTGCGCCGCGCGATGGCCTGTCAAGACCAACAGGTATGTTGAGATCCCCTGAGCCCACACCAAGTAGACTGACGTTTGAAAACAGTATCACAACCGTCAGGCGGCAACACAGCAGCCGGCGATGCAAAAGCCCAATGCACAAAGTCCTACTCCAAGGACAAGCCGCTCATTCAATACGCCATGATGATCGACGCTGGCAGCACAGGCTCTCGCATCCACGTGTACAAGTTCAACAACTGTGGCCCAAGCCCTGAACTTGAGGGCGAAAACTTCGAGATGACGCCCAAGAAGCAAGGAGGTTCTGGTCTCTCGGCCTACGGCGACGATCCAGAGGCTGCCGCCAGGAGCCTCGATGTCCTGATGGACGTGGCCCTCAAGCACGTACCCAAGGAATACCAGTCATGCTCACCAATCGCTGTAAAGGCGACAGCCGGTCTCCGCAAGCTTGGTGAGAAGAAGAGCAATGACATCCTCGCTGCCGTGCGTCGCCATCTCGAAAACGATTACCCTTTCCCGCTGGTGTCCGAGGAGAAGAAGGGCGTGGAAGTCATGCCGGGTGAGATGGAGGGCGTGTATGCATGGATCACCGTCAACTACCTTCTAGGCAAGATTGGAGGCCCTGACAAGAACCCCACCGCCGCCGTTCTCGATCTTGGCGGTGGTTCAACTCAGATCATCTTCGAGCCCACCTTCCCCGACAAGCCCCGCGGTGGTCTCCCCACCAAGCTGGCAGAGGGTGACCACAAATACAGCCTCAACTTCGGCAACCGCAACTTCGACCTCTACCAGCACTCGTACCTTGGCTACGGTCTTATGGAAGCCCGCAACAATCTCCACAGCACCATCCTAGCTGGTCTCCACGAGACTCACAAAGACAACCGAGATTACCTCAAGAAGCCAATTGTAAACCCTTGCATCGCCCCCGGCATGACGCGCGAGATCGAAGTCCACATGCCCAAGGGCCATGAGCTTGGCGATTCTATCACAGTAAACATGACCGGTCCTTCCCATCCTTCGCCGACACAATGCCGCGGCTTGGCCGAGAAGACCCTTCACAAGGACGACGAGTGTGCTATCGCCCCATGCGCCTTCCGCGGTGTCCATCAGCCACCCTTCGACCAGACCTTCGCTACCGAAGCCGTATACCTACTTTCCTACTTCTACGACCGCACACAAGATCTCGGCATGCCCGAATCTTTCACTCTTCGCGAATTGCAAGATCTTGCTGACAAGGTATGCTCCGGCGAGAAGGGCTGGGATGTTTTCTCGGCGGTGCCAAAGGCTCTCGACGAGTTGAAGGGCCGCCCAGAGTGGTGCTTGGACCTCAACTTCCAATATGAATTGTTGAGGAGTGGTTATGGTATGCCCATTGACCGTGAGGTCAAGATTGCGAAGAAGATCAAGGGCAACGAGTTGGGATGGTGCTTGGGCGCCAGGTAAGCTATCCAATTCCAATTACACGCTTCAGGAACTCTGCTAACCCCATCACAGTCTCCCTCTCCTTGAGGCCAACTCTGGATGGCAATGTAAGATCAAGCAAGTCGAGTAGAGGAGAGGAAGCATTGGAATGCGCTTCTTGTGTGTGGGCCAGCGCGGAACTCTGGATCCTACAATACAATGTGCATTGACTGGCGTTATGATTCTTGGTTGCCAGTAGGACAATATAGTGAAGTTGCTCACCATTCTTTCAGTGGGGTGGTTTTATGCATGCGATGCGTTTCTTTTTTTCGGTATTGGCAAGATTTAGTGATAGATGCGCACTGTACAGGTTGTGACAACGTCTTGCACGATGCTACTATGACCATTCAATAATGAACTGGGCGTAATTGGATACCCGCCATTTCAAGGCGGTTGGAATCGACGCTTGTATGATGCACGTGATGCGCGCTTTGAACCGGCCGGCCCCTGAGAGCTTCTTGAAATGCCCGCAGGAAGCTTTGCAACATCAGCCTTGCATCTCACTACCGTCCTCCTTTGTGCCCAAAGTTCTCTAGCAGGTAGCAATATGAACTCAAGCCTCACTCGCATACCATGAACCGAGAAACCCAAAAGGACACGTGATACCCTCCTGCCGATGTCGTCATTAGCGCATGGTTGTCCGACCTAGCCATCCATCCACCCAATTGCTCAGCGACCTACCTAGGTACCGATCATACAGCTTTCAGCATTCGATATCGATTCCTGCCTCAAGCCTGCACTCCGGCAATCATTCGCTTAGCTTTCATCTCTACCTCGACCATATCGCGCCTTCTTCTACTCCCACGAGAGTTACGAGATGAGATCTATTACTACATCGTGGATGCTGGTGGATATACCTACAACACCATGACGGGCAAGCTACGCACCGCTGACGACGAGTCAATCCATCTTGCCCTCATGCTCGTCTGCAAGGACATCATAACAGAAGTCAATGAACTGTTCTTAAAGCGCAACGCAGTTACTGTGTCTACTGGAGGTCCTGAGCCAGCTCACACAGGTGCCCCAGAGGCGTCCAGATACGAGCATGCTTCATTGCAGATCAGAAGAACCAAGGCGCTTGTGTTGCTGTTAAATGCGAGCGCCGTTTCTTTCACTGTGAAACAGGCTATGGATCTATTTCCAGATACCGGAAAGCAATTGTTCAGGCTCCTGACAGGGAAGAGGCTATGTAAGAGGCGACGATCTTGTTTGGCCAGGCGTTCGTATTGGTACGGCCCTATGTCAGGTCACTCCGAGCTCCTTGAAATCCTATTTCAAAACGCGCAAAGTATGTCGGTTCTTGGGTCCTCAGAGGATGTTGCTACATATTCCAAGTATCACGAATATTGCATGAACGAAAAGCACATCTTAACAACGCTATCTACGCCTTGGGAAATACCACCCGATGCACAGTTCCGTGCGATGGACTGTGTAGCTGATGAGCCTCTTCGTGTACAACCGAGATATATGCGTTCGTACTCTCCGGTCGCCCGATTCGGCAGTGTCATGCAAAAAATCTCTGGTGCAGCCCGAAACAACATTCGCACAGTGATTCTGGAAGACTTGTACGGGAGTGTTGCTAGTCCCGAGTGCCACAGTCGGGGACTCATTCCGCTGTGTAAAGACCATCCGCAACTGCGCATCGAGCGTCGAGCGAATGTACAGGATGCCGTTCTACAAGGCTACTACAACAGGGTTAGAGGACAAAAGAGAACCCGGATCGTCAAAGCATTGTTGATCCGCGTAATGACCAGGTGGATCGAGGAGGCAATGACGCTCGAATTAGCCAGAATGCCACCCGGCGCTTTCGAGTTAATCTTTGTAGGTGAGCTTAAAGCCATCGCGACGACACTGAAGATAGTAAAGGAGGCTGCTGTTTGGCACCTTGCTTTCCAACGGCACTTCCAGGACGGCATAGTCCGCCAAGCAAATGGCTGTCCTAACACGGGCATTGATCCTGTCGCGGCCGTTCTAGCAAGGCACTTGCCTGGTATATTAAGAGGCACATCATGCGTTAAGTTTGCGGGATGTAGACCGCATTCGCTGGGGTCAGATGTAAATCAATTGCTTGGGAAGAATCGTAATCTTATGACTGTGAAGACTGGGCTTTAGGGTACATGGATATGGATGGAAAGGCCTTGCCCAGATCAATATGGTCTTGGGAGTGGGGTCCTCTGAGGAGACGCCTCTGGAGCAAAGCTAATGCAAATATACGTGCATTAAGCATACCTACCCAAAGTTAAGATAGCGTGGAAGCTGTCCTGTGAGGCTACCAAAAGCCTGTATCATGTACCTACAGGTTGAAATGATTGCGGTCTTGCCTTTCCACCTTCCTTGTCGTCAGACTTTGGCTCAAAATGGGTCGAGTAAATCGAGCCTGGTGTCATTTGGTGCGCCTAGGCAACGAGCATCGACCACCCGGATAACGGTATCATGGCGTATCATTGTCATATCTATGGTCTATATGTATTCTATGCTTCCAACAAGCTCTTGACTTCCTTGACTAACAACCGATCTTCGGCCGTTTTGGCGTCGGCCTTGCCTACAGTACCAGCCGCATCCGTGACTTTCCACAAATCATGTAGCTCGCCGTTCATGTCAGCTGCATACACCAACCACCCCACACATATCACGCTCATCTTCATGTTATCGCTCCAATGCTCCTCAGTGCTTATAGTCTCCAGCAGCGAGGCTAAGAGCTCAACCTGCTCGGACTCTGGCAGTTCACACTCCGAGGACAACGAATGTGAAGGGTTGGCGCTGTACTTCTTCATCCGTACCTGGTGACCTGAAGACGAGATGTTCATCGCTAAGCTCAGGGCCGAGGCCTTGAGCGCGGCATGCTTTTCGTCCAGGAGGGCTGTTGTGAGGATGGAAATCAATGTCGAAGAGAGCGGAGGAGAAAGCAAATGCGGTATGAAGAGTGGGGAGGTGAAGAGATTGCATGCTAGGTGCAAAGTCGTGAGTCGGAGTGGATATGGGGCGGATTCCCCGAGCTTGTCGACGTGGTCAAGTAGATAGTGAACTGTTGCCGGCGTGCCTGTCGCACCTTTATGTTCTTCAGCAAAAAAGCCCGCAACACGGATATCAGTAAGAGATATCCTAAGCAAATCTAGCGCGGTGAACAGAATCTCCAAAGGTAGTACCGATGTACTCTTCTTTAAAAAGGAAGCAAGTTCCGGAAGTTTGGTCAACGGCGCTTCGATCGCCCCTGATTGCTCACGGGCTTGGATGAAAGACACTATAGATGCTACTGCAGGATCGTTTCCAAGGTCGCCCATTTTAGCGACCAATTTCTCTAATGGCGGAACCTTGGTGAATTTGACAGGTCTTTGACTTTGCCGTAAGAGCGTGGGCGTGCTCTTGTCCAAATGCGGATGAGGCGGGAACGCAGCGTTGACGAGCATTTCAACATTACTCCGCAGCTGTCTCGGGTCTGCCCCACTCCATTCCTCTTGCTTTTCCCCTTTCAGGTATGTTATGAACGTTGGAGTCGCGCGAACGTGTGGGTAGCGAGTGCCAATAGAGTGATCGGCGTGACTGAAGTCAATCTTGATGAAGACACACTTTGTGCCTATTTCGGCCGCAAGATCGTCATATGGTTGGTATACCAGCTTGCAAGGAGGGCATGTCGAGCTTGTGAAAAAAATGATGGCACAGCGGTCCTTTGCCAATGCAAGCAGGCGATCTACATCTTTCAGTGTCGTGATGTTGCTGACCCTGCCTGTGTTTCTCTCTAATTCACTTCCCATTCCGTTCGCAGACGGCCCTGTTGTAGTGCCATTGGCGCTCCAGGGTTGTGAGTGGACGGTATGGGCGGGCTGAGGCGTAGGTGCCTGTGTGATTGGACGCATGGCGGCGTCTATCTGCGGTCTGAGCATCTGTCCAAATGGCGTGTTCAGGACCGTCTGGGGAAGTGAGGTGATGTGGTCTGGTATTCCTTTACCGACTAGGAACATGGCGAAATCGTTTGAGAAATTGTTGCAGTTGTGCGTGAACAGGTCGTATGACTGGAAGAGTTGTTAGCTATGGGTAAGTGACCTAGGACTCAGCATACTATACCTCAGGCGTATATATCGTCTTCAAGGACTCTAGATACTCTAGTATAACCTCCATAGGCAGTGAAGTTTGCCCTAGCTTGATGATCTCCATCGGTTGGCCATGATGTGTAGCTCCTGCCCGACATGTCTGTACGCCTTGTCCAAAATAGTATTCTATGCCGTCGAGTACGATTGAAGTGTGGTAGACGGCGTCGATTTGAATACCGAGAAATTGCATCGACATGTTTCGTGCGAGACCCTGGCGATGTTAGTACATGCCGTTGCACTTACACTGGGCGGCAAATGTGTTTGTGCGTGCTGTTTTCGGCTTTTCTTTACGGAGAAATGCTCCATTTCAGATGCATGGATCGCGAGTTGCAGAGCGTAAGTCACTTACTTTAGAAAGGTCATACACGTACAGTTGCACATCCATTCTGGAGAGTAGACGCGTGCAGCGACCTCAACGATTCAACGATGGAACTTCGATATTGCTATTGTTTACAGGCGTAGTGAGCGGAAGAAGTGCGGAAGTTGTGAAAACGGTGAAAGCAAGCCTGAGATGGTGTAGTTGGCTCAGGGTTCGGAGACAGGAGGGGTGACGTAGAACATTCGCGCAGGCTCCAGGGCGCTGACGAACGCCAGGCGCGATCCTCAACATCGCGTTAGCACCTGACTCGCCACCAAACCTCAAAGCCTCACCACGACCATGTATTGCAAGTGCGCAACTTGCTATCACTATACATAGGCACCCGGGTGACATACACTGTATGCGCCAGACACGGTGTCTATCCACACTGTCAGATGTTTTATGACACCCAGGTGTGCCTGCTGGATGTGCTTGTCCCTGGTCTGAGCGTCGCTTTTGGCAATTCGAGATTCTTCGCTTTGCGACGACAGGCATTTGATCCGAGCTGTACTTCCAGTTCGCGATTTTTCGCTTTCATACAGACTAACGTGTCCGTGCGCGTGATGCGCGGATTCGCGTGATGCGCGGGGAACACCATATCCACTACTTCAAAAATGAAGCTATTAAGCCACGTATATAAGCTGTTATTATACGAATTTATAGAGGGGGAGTAATTAGATGCTTGCGATCAACTTGTACTATCTATATTTTGATGGGAGGTTGACGTTGCGGCCACGTGATGTGAGCTTTGATGGAGGAGCTGGAGGCTCTTCTTGAACTTGAGCACCAGCGCGAGCAGCCTCAACGCGTTTTTGACGCTTGTTGTTCGATGAGGTAGCTGCTGAAGCTCTCCTCTTTCCCTTTTGGGGTAGTTGTATAGCTTTAGCAGCGTCTCTCTCCTCCTTCTGGCGCGCGCGTTCAGCTGCTTTCTCAGCTCGCTCAAGCTCCCTCATCTCCTTGAGTCTCTGCCTCTCCACACGCCTCTCCTCGAGCTCATCTTGACGCTGCAGTCGAGCCTCCTCGCGCTGCTTCTTGGACCGTGCTTTTTGGAGTTTCTCCTCCGTCTCATCTCGCTCCCGTACTGCTTCTCTAGCTCGAGCCTCACGCAGCTTGCGAGGAGACCAGAAGACAGAGCCACCGTGATACTCCTGGCGCTGTTGAAGGTCAAGAGCTTTGCCCTTCTTCCTGTGCTTCTTTTTATGTTGAAGAGCCTCCTTTAAGCCCTCGTTCTCATGCTTTAAAAGCTCATACTGCACAGAGAGATGGTGAACGCTTGAGCGCAGCTTTCTTGCCTCATACTGATGGCTATCATTAACAGCAGCTCGTACTAGCCGATCGAGCTTTCTCCAGTCATGATCAGAGAGCCCTGACGATGAGCTTCTCTCAGCTTCTGGCGTGCTAGCAAATCTACGAAGGATAACGTTGGCATCCATCGGCCAGATCCCAGTGGCTTCGAAGGCCTTCAATATGAGGCTCTCTGTGAAGGAGGATATCCAGGCGCTCCAGAAGAGCGGGAAGAAGTCCCCTTTCTTGATTGGAATAAGGCCTTGAGCCTTATGGAGATGGTTAGTGAGCTCGTTAGAGTAGGCTTGAGAGAGTGGCTTGAACAGCACTACATCTAGCGGCTGGAGCGTATGGGTCGAATGGGGAGGAAGGATCATGAGGAGGATCCTATGGCGATCGCAGTACTTAATAAACTCCATCGTGAGGTGAGATCCATGGCCATCAAGGATGAGCAATCTCCATCTACCTGATCGTTGCTTTGTAGAGCGATCAAACACCTGCTCCAGCCAAGCTAGGCCTACGTTATCATTTGACCAGCCTGTTGGAGATGATGAGACAAAGACCTCATGTTCTCCTGCCTTGATATCTTCTACCCAACTCGATCGTATAGCTCCATTTTTAGCTGCGTAGATAAGGGCTGGAGGCAGCGAGCTCCCATCAGCGCAGCAGCAGGCCAGGACTGTCAGAAACTCGCGTGATCCATCCTGGAGAGATGCTCGAACCTCCTTCTTCTCCCATTGACGCCTGCTGAATATCCTCTTACTTCTGCCTATCAAGCCAATTAAGAAGCCCTTCTCATCCATATTGTATATATCTCGAGCCTCTAGGTGATATTCGGTGATCTTTCGATGCAGCAGCTCGAAGTAGAGTCTATACTTTGACTCAGAATCAGCCAGGTGGCGCGTACGATCCATGGCGCTGGTCCACTTTGAGATGAGATGGATCTCGTGTCGGTTGATGAAGCGAGTAACCCAGCTCTCGCTGAGCTGCTGATGGGCTACTTCTGATGAGAAATTCCTGATCATCTCTCGTGTAGGAGGAATGCCTCGCTTTGTGAGCTTTTCGATATATCTCACAAGCTCTAGCTCTTGTTGTGGGTTGAGTTTCTGCTGGTTGAAGTTCTTGTCTCTTTCTGAGCTTGTCTGGCCCTGGTGCCTTCGGGTCAACGTAGATCTCACAACACCATGCTTAGCAGCAATTTTAGTATACGAGAACTGTTCTCCTGGCTCTAGATTTTCAATATCTTCAATCGCAGCTTGAATTGGGTCCATATTGGTGGAGTTAACGTGTGTTGAAGGTGAAGGGGTTTGACGTGTTTTGGTGTTCCCCGCGCATCACGCGAATCCGCGCATCACGCGCACGGACACGTTACAATCAACGGTCAATCAACGCCTGACTAAAACGGTAACTCGGTATCACATGCAAAAGACCTTGGAGGCAAGGGCAGCAGGTGACGAAGAGCTTGGCTTTAGCCCTGGTCTCTGGCATTCGTGATTCTTTGAGTTTCACAGACCGCAATCGATGGTGAACTGAAACCTGCCTAAAGCAGTAATCAGATATCACGTGATTATGTAACAGAGGGCAGCAGGATAGCTTAACTACCACACGCGGCTGAGCTAAGCGCGTCCAGGAAGACACCAACGCGACGGACTCAAATTATGTGATCGCTCAAGACTATGTATGCTTCTACGCCTGGTATCAATATGAAGTTCTCTGATTGCTTGTGAAGCTGTGGAAGCCTGGTTCCCCGTCTTTGCTTTTCGAACACGTGCACTATGCAGGTCTACAAGCACACTTGTTCTCTCATTCGCACAGATACTCACTATAGCCAGGAATATGAAGCTCATCATGAATATATATGTCGCTACTCTAACCCGCTCCAACGCGTCTTACGCATCTTTCTGTCGTCCGGTGTGATGATTAGCTACATATGTACTCACTACAAGATCGAACGCGTCGACATTCCTCACACACTCCATACAAACCATTACTCCCTTCCCAGAATAAAACATCCCCAATGTCTGACCGTTTCCCCTCTCCAACACACAACCACCATGTTCCTCCTCACCCTCTCCACAAACATCATCCTCACACTCCTAGCCCTTCTCCCCCGTCACACCACCGCAGCCCCAACATGTGGTCTCGTAAGCACGATCAACGACACCCTCCTCCCCGTATACATGGGAAACTTCTTCTACCGCGGCCCCACGACCTTTGCGCTCTGCGCTCTGTACTGCAAGAACGCCGCGCCGCGATGTCAAAGTTTCCGGTATTCGTACTGGAGCGATGCGGATGCGCAGTATTGCGAGTTTTACGAGTATGGACTGTAAGTAGAGATATAGTTATGACCGTGCAATGTAAGAGCGGATGGGCTAACAAGAAGATGATATAGAGACGGAAATGCCACAGCGGATGACGCCCAACCATACTGGTATTACGACATCGATTGTGCATTTCCGCCTTACGCCGAGACCACAATATCAACGACTACAGCCACAGCAGCCGTTCAGACAGTACAACAGATTTCCACACAAACACAGATCGAAACCGAAACCGTCACCTCGATCTCTGTTCCGCCAGCCGTAACACAGACACAGACACGCACTATCAGCCAGATACAGACAGCTACCGTAACGCGTACCAGCATCCCGAGCGCCTTCGCCGTAACTGTAACCTCGACCGTGGTGCAGTACCAAACCCAGGTTGTTCTGCAACAGCGTACCATTACTTCCATCTCTACCCGGATGAACCAAGCTGAAACGCAAACAGTCGTCCAACAGCGCATTACCACAGCTACAGTTTCATCATGCACCGTTTCCCTGAACCAGACCGCTTTTCGTACTACTACGGTCACCGTGGTCCACACAGCGACTGCAGGCGTTCGATCCATTACTGCGACGCGGACCGTAACATCAACAGGTACTGCAACGGCTGCTGTAGGCTTGCGAGCTTTTACCATCACGGGTGTGAGTACTAGATCGATTTATGCGACGAGGACTGTAGTGGTCACAAGAACCGTTACTGTGCGGGCGTCTGGGTCGGTGGCTGCAATGGAAGCAAGAGACGACACAGAAGAGCGAATGGGCGTATCAAAGAGCCTCGGAACATCTTTCTGGGTCTGGTATGGTAGGTGCTGTGGTTGTTCATATCTCCGTTGTTCTAGTGGATGATCATCGATGAAGGCTGACTGGCGCATAATTGGCGGAAAATGCGGTCGTCCTTGCTTGCCCCCCCTCCCCCCATAGCGGCTTTGTGCCTTTAGTATTGGGTCATGTAATCGTTGAATCGTCTTCGTTTGATGTAACATCAACCTGTCATCCAATACTCGTGGGCTTGCATTGCTAGCTATCGATTTTCAGAAGTTACATATGCTGGATGCCACGCTAGAGCAGCTGTGCATGCCGCCAGCTGATACTGCTTCACGATGGAGAAAATTATTTCCGCCTAGCCGGAGTCCGAGAGTAGCTGGATCTGATGTGAATTTTCCGTCTGGGAGGTCGGTATGAGTAAACCACTGTATCTGAAGTTGTGATCCTACGTATCTATCGCAGCATTTAGTCATGAAAAGTAAACAATCTTGCGTTCGACATACCGGTTTGCTCCATTTGTGACGTAAATGGCCCACAGTTGCCGCTTCACTGTATGTTGGAGGCAGCTCAGGTCCAAAGGATCGGCTTTTTCTTCCATGTAAGATATACGCCCTTTAATCCAATCTTTCATGCACTGAGGTAGGCATGGTTCCGAGCCATAAATGTATAACTGGTAGAGTATATGGTATAAACTGTGAGGGTTATAATCGGCTGATGAGCTGTAGGAGCTGCGCTGGCCGGACTCTTGTTCAAAAGACGAGTTTTGCTGTGCTGTATGCCGCGAGAGTGAAGGCAGTTCCTCGAGGTCTTGTACATAACCTGCCAGTTGTGGTACACTTGCGATGATCTCCATCGTTTGCGAAGTGATGAGCGCTTCCGATATCATTCGTTGAGCAATTACGCTCGGTGATGGGACGAAGCTGCGACATTGTATGAGAATGGCCTGGTGTAAGCTTACACGAGAAGATCGTACGTTGTTCAAGAGCACAGCATCGAGGTGCCCAGAGTATACTTTTGACAAGGGTTAGTCGGGTCCACATCATATCGACAAGAGTAAACTTACAGTGGTAGTAACCTCTGTATGCCAACTGGCCTCCTCAATACTCGGCAGCTGGATGGATTCAAACGGAGCTTGAGAGGCCAGTTTGCGTGCAAAATCCTCCATATCAGTGTCGATGGCTGAAGCCCTTTCTATGAGGGCCATGGGATCCCTTTTTGTCGTGTCTAGCGAATCCTGTTTGAACTGGAGCATATCGCACACAAGGTCCAAGAATGTGTCATACACTGACGCACTTTTCGCTTCCTTCCGTACCAGTGTCTTGAGCTCGATAAAGTTCGGAGGCAGAGGTATCTCTTGGGTCCAGGAGTTCATAATCACAGTCTTGACTAGAGCGTCGCACTGTTCAATCGTGACCTCAGTATGCCGTTCCTGTCCAAATATTAGATATGCAACGGCAACTGCACCCGCTAGATGTGTACAGCAGTTGTCCATGCCCACGTGTCGCGGAATGATGAGGGCCTCAAACATGGCTGCTAATTAGATGGTGGCAAGTACTGAGTCCTGTACTGCTCTTTTTGGGCACACTAGCGCAGCGTTAATGGCACGTATTGCAGCGCCATATTTCCTCGTAGCAACACTGAGCATCTCCTTGCTATTCGATCTGTTCGCGAGGCTGACCAATCCGACAGCTGTGCACATCTGCGGAAGTCCCAGACCAGTGGACCCTGACTTTGCGTAGAAACTTGGGAGATAGTGTAGCAAAGACGTGCTCGGGTCGTCCACTGTGAAATTGGACATGAAGAAATTGACGCCAATGTCTTCCAGTGGCTGGTACATCACGAATCCATTCAGTTTCAAGGGAGCTTCATTTGCTGTAGATGTCCTTGTCTGTTTGGTAAGTTCCGTGTTGCGTTGATGGTGGTCCCATGGAGCCGGATTAGATGCGATGCGTCTTCGGTTTTGACTAACAACTCGAGTGCTTTCGTCAAGGAACATGAGATCTGCTGTGCTGCGGTATCCTGAGCAATTACGGCCAGCCTTGACACGTTGCCCACAGGCAGGAAGTTTCTGGTCGCACTGTTATGTTGTTAGCACAGGCATAGCAGTTATTGCCCTATCAGCCAGTCCGACAAGACCCATGACGGGCTCAAAAAGGTAGTTGATCCAAAAGAGTACGACAAGGAAGCTTATCGCTCACCCGGCTGCGCAGTTTCCTGCATTCTGCACAGGCCGCTGAAGGCTTGCCCCGGTATACCATCGTGTCTTTGATGTCAAGCCGCTAACCCCATGCGCAAGTGTTGCAGACGCATTCCAGATGTGACCATGGCACGGTAACGAGAGAAGGAAGGATGGGAGGGGGGATAGAGTATTTCATCCTAGTTGAGTTGCCTCCGCGGCGGATGCAACTGACAGGGGACATGATGCATGGAGGCAGCGATGCGGTTCCGTGGTGGCGGAGCCTTGGCGACCCTTTGATCTTCTCCACACCTTCCCGTCAGCCTTGCTAGCCCCAATAATGCCCTTTCAATATACTAATGCGTATTTTCAGTTACTTTTGTGCATAATGACACTGTAGAATAAACTAGTGCAATGCTTTGTGGCCAACATGACTGCGTTGTCAAGTACATCATTTCTATTACATCTAAATGTTTTCTACAAGCATCCCAGACAACTGTGGTCCCAAGTGGACATTGCTCCCACCGCACTAAACAAGGACTATCACAAAGTAACGACAGAACGATCAGTGCAGGCTCAACACCGCTTTCCTTTTGTATACATGCTAGTATGCTTCCGTTGAGCAGACCATAGATCGTCCCACCCCCAAGCTCGATTCCGGACCTCTGTGCTGCTCATTAAGAAAACATATTCGGCCTTGCCTTCTTTATACTCGTCTGATCCTCGTACTGCGTATCGTTAGCATGACCCCCTGATTGCAAGTTTGTTCTTGTGGCTCACCTCTAAGAACCCAGTAATGTCCACCAATACCGTCCAGCAATCAACCAGATCAACAATATCTTGTTGTATCTCCTCGCCCATACCAACACCAACATTGACACTTCTCTTGAAGATGCTCACCATACTGTGTCTATTGTCCTTCAAGAATTCACGCGCCTGGAAGACCGTCTGGTCATTATGTCGACCTCTCGCGATGACGGCTCCGTTGATGACTCGTAGGACAGAGAGCATCAACCCGTAATACTTTCTTAGTGCATTTGCATCGTCAAACCCTAAACCAATATCGGGGTCCACTGCGAAAATTTGCGAATCGCGGATAGCTGGGAAGAGACCTGCGTTGAGCACATATGCGGCACCGAGGCGAGTCTGACATGTGCGCAGGAGTAGTGCGAGGCTGGCATCGTAGTACGAGAAGAGAACAGGGACTTGTGGAGCGGCGGCAGCACGGAGCTCTTCAGGAATGTGTTTGATATTGTCGACGAGAACGCCAACAAAGTTGAGAGAGACAAAGTTCTCAAGGATGTATTTGGACGATTGGCGCGTCGCCACTGCTACAAATGCATTCAGCAAGAGCAGCGCGGAAACTTTGCATGTTCCCTGCCCGCTGTAAGCATCATCACAGATGACTTCAAGCATGTGGCTACCGCAGTTCCTGATAGCGCCAAGCGTATGTCGACTAAGCAAAGAGTTAGGTGTGGCTTTGTGGAAGGTACCGTTGATGTAGCGGAAGCAGATTTGGTAGCAGTACTCCCGGAGTTCGGCAGTAGAGACTGGGCTGTGAATTCCCACGAGCGCAGCACGAAACAGCTGAGATAGCCGATCGTTGGCAAAATCTCCAGTCTTGTCAAACGCCGTAGATTCAAAGTCCACCTTTTGAACAAGAGATTCAGCAAGACCAGCGAGCTGTAAAGCAGTGAAAATATCAGATGCATAGGACTGCTCGAGCTTCGGGAGGATGACTTGCAAGGTCTGCAGGATGAAGGAACTCCGCGCTCCTTTCTCGAAATCGCAATTGTGTACCGCCACCATGACGACCTGTGCCCATGATTGAAGGACGTCCTTGTGATAGTATTGAAGCTGAATGCGACGATTCCAGTCCACGAAAATGGCCATCAAGAGATCTGCCTGTTCAGCGAGAACAGCGAGGTGATCGAGTTTATCATTTGTGTTTTCCCCGTTCGTCATGGACTTGATTTTCAAACGGATCAGCTGTTCCAGCAGTGGTAAAGAGTAGAGCGACATGCCGTCCTTGTCCTCCTTACATGATGTAAGATCGACGCCGTCAAAAAACGTGTGTTGATCTGGCAGCGCGCGTTCTGGGTAGACTAGCTCGATAAAGTCGAACAAGTCAAATATGTTTGGGTTTGGTGTTGCGTTCTCACCAGGCCGTATAGTGGTGCCGAGAAGTACTGATTGGATCCTAGACTTCATCGTGGGCATGTTCTCTTTCACAGCTAGACGTAACTCTCTTGACTCATAGTCTAGGAAAGCAGCGCGGCGTTGGAGGAAGTTTTGAAGAGCCAGCGCTGGAGGGCCAGAGAAAAATGCAGAGTATTGGCTAGGAGCGACATCCAGTCCTTGTGCCAAAGACATTCCTTCCCATGGTATGTCATGGGTAATCGGTGTCAGTTGGGGTGCTTCAACGAACAGTAATTCGTTGGCGCGGAGCTCCTCCATGACAATCGCACTTGTTAATGGTGAGCGCCACAGCTTCTGGAGCACATCCCAACATCTGGTCTTGAGTGCTGATCGCCATGCTAGGAATTGTTCGCCGTCGTTGTCAGGGTACTCCACACCAAGGAGGAGTATGTTATGGAACAAAGATTGTCCGTTAGACCAAAGACTGTCATCAGCAATGTGAACAGTATTAGATCCACAAGAAAAGCCCAAGAGAATGTGCGCTATCGTTGGGCGTTGCGAGACGGCGGTGAGACAACTACTCAAGAAGTCCAAAATGCGGAGTTTGACAATATATCCAGAAGCTTCCTCGCCAGCTTCCAGCTCTTCGGCATTAAAACGCATCAATGCCGAGAGCGATCGGCCGATACGCTCTGCTTCATTGTCCTTCTCCAGTATACCAACAATTTTGCTTCGCCCTGATCGCTGTCCAAAACTAGCTGGTGATACGGCGAGCTTTCGTGACGAGGCCATCTTCTCTAGTAGCTGTAGTGACGCAATGGTTAGAGCCTCATGCCCGGTACCACAGTACAGCCCAAGGTCGACGATAATATGGAGGTTGTTCAGGATCGCATCTTCGAAGGAGGCGAGTGACAGGTTGGACACTGGAGAATGTTGGAACGAAGTTTGATGCTTGAGTACAGACCTGACGATTTCCAGGTATGTCGCCTGTAGCTTCATTACCAAGTCCATCACTTCAATGCTCAGCATCAATGATTGTATCAAGGGGGAGTCCGATGGAGCAGCGTCAACCTCGGCCACATCGTGATGTGCGGCAGCAAACAAAGCTCTCAGAACTTTGTCATTAAAGAGCCATTCCATGACGCGTGCGAATGGGTGAAGCGCGACATAAACGACGAGAGACGGGGCATCGATGATTTCGTCAACCGGTATGCTAGACTTGTTGGCGAAGACAACAAGATTCTCGTTGAAGGTCGACAGGCACGTTACTATGAAACGCAAGCAGGTCCAGCGCATGACGTTGCGTTGCAGCGGGTCGAGCACATCCATAGACCGTTCAGCGAATACTTGCTGCATAACAAAATCAATGTAGCCCTCGGCACCCGGCATCCTACGCGACGAGCCAAGAGTTTCGGGGAACGGTAAACTGTCGTTGAGCCCTTCGTTCTCAGGGTAAGGCTCCACAAGCGAGTGGAGGAAGCGGACGAAGGCGATGGATTCGTCATAGCCATCTGCGAGCGTGGGCCAGAAATCGTCCCTCGGCGCAGTGCTTAAGGCATTGTTTTGCTTGGCTCCAGTGTAGAAGCCATTGATGGTCCAATCGTCTAGAATAAGCCACATGGCATTACTTCGGTCACTGTCTTTACCGACCATCATGGCTGATAGCGCGTCATAAGCAGCTGCGCGCAGTCCACTTTCAACCTTGTCCGTACATAAGCCGAAGCAGATGTTTGCGAAACCATATTCCGCCGTCTCAAGTAGATACCTGCGTGCGAGGACACTTTGTCGGCAGATGTGTGCAAGAAGTCGCAAGTAGCTTTCTAGCATGGTTGCACTCTCTGGCTCTACGATCTGATCTATCGGGTTGGTCGGCGGTGCATAGACACCACCTTGAATCGTCTTCTTCGGCTCATGGATGTCTTTTTCAAACTCGCAAAGCTCGTTAAAGATGGTTGTGTAACTTAGAGAGCACGTCCGACGGATCTTTCCAGATGCGGATGCTCCTTCTTCGAGCAGGAAGCGGTGCGCAGCCTCCGCGTTCGTCTCTCCGGTGCCAATGGCCCGTAACATCTCGCAGAACATGGCTATCCGGGGAGTGGGTTGACGTTTGGCAGCCCACTGCAGGAAACCGTACAGATTGCTCTCCTTGTCGCTCCAAAAGTCTTCGGCCGCGTCCGGGAAACCGTCGAAAGCGTATGCCACGATGACCATGAAACGCTCCAGATGGAGCGGATACTCTCCGGTCGACCGTTGGAATTGGAATTGGAGTCGTCGTCGCTGGTCGTCCTCCTCGGCCTTTAGTTTACGCAGGGTATCCGGCATGTTTGTAATGAAAGAATCTACGAAAGTCTGCAGCTGCTCCATAAGAAGCAGCTTGAAGAAGTCGTCAGGTTGGCTTGAGTCGCGGCTTAGGACGGCAGTGTCTTGTAACAGCGTCGAAAGCATGCTGGTCTTTTGCGGATCGTACCAGCGCGTCGGGCGCACATCCTGGCTGACGGATAGAATGAAGTGAAAGGCGCCTTCGTTGAGTGTTTTCAAAAACTTATCGGACCGGATGTTGGCTTCGTCTTCGAAATTGATGTTTTGCAAAGCAGGGTCCTGGGTATTTGGATCCATATAGCGCCCACTGTACTCGGCCAACCACCAAGCCAAAGTCGCAGACTGTAGGTTCCTCAATCCCCAGTTTTCGCTTTCCCATTCAGCCATCAGCGAGTTGTACAAAGCGCGGGCTTCCCTCAAAGTGACGTTGTTGGTCTCCGAGGCGACCCAGGACGTGAGTCGAAGCAGAATCGGAACATAGTGGATCGTAATGAGGTCGTGTCGGTCGAGAGTCTTGGCTCGAGCTAGCAACGCCTTGTAGTTGTTGAGATTGACATAGCCAGGCTTGACCATATGTGTGCATATCGCCGCGAGGTTCTCATGCTGTCGGGTCAAGCTCTGGCGCTGAAACTCCATAATCTCCACAAAGCCCGGAAGAGGCACCTGACCAACCACCTGGGTGCTCTGAACACGCTCAGCAATGAACTGCAGCCATCTCTCCACCGACTCCATGCTGGTCAGACACTTGGTCCAAAAGCCATATGCGCCCGCTAAGTTGGTTGTGCCATGTACACCGACTATCATCTGGGTAGCCTCCTGAAGGATCGGGAGTCCCTCCACCTCAGCATCGTCGCTGTCCAGGGCAGTCTTCATCAGGATGCGCACACAGAGTAGGACATATTCGCGGCGTCGGTGGAAGCGGATCACAGCCGTCTGCAGCTGGGACCGGTCGAGCTCCTTGGCTTCGCTTTGGGCGCCCAGGAAAAGGGCGGCGGCGTCTATTTCATCGAGATCCAGGGCATCAGCAAGTTCGAGCGTCTGCTGCCTGAAGTCGTCGTTGACCTCGTATTCGTTGTCGTCAATCCTGATCTTGCCTGGCCATGTTAGCCCACCCTGACTCCGATGTAGGCATACAAATAAATACCAGAACTCAGCGCTTGTCTGCTAGAATCATTCTTCGGCTTCTTATCCAAAAGCGTCTTCAACTCGTCCAGGTGCACCTCTAGATTCTGTAGCAGCCGCTCTAATACTGGCAACTGTAGGTCGATGTGGGCGCATAGGTCGCGGTGCAGGCCCTGGAGGGCGGCGAGGCTGTCGTCTTCAACCATGGGAGTATCGTGCGGTAGTTTTGCGCATAATGCGCCGGGAAATTGGCGGAGGGGCGGGGATTTCAGCGCGTGTTTGGCTGTTGTGTTTTCTGGACAATGGAGAGCTTGACACTTTCAGAGAACGCGAGAAGCTCGGACTTGTAAACCCTGGGACGCGCTCTTCCCGTCACGACGCACCTCCGCCATAACTCCGCACGCGCAAAAGCTGGACGCGGTAGATATGTTTGCTTAGATCGCTTTCAGGACAATCGCATAGCTGCTGCGACAATGCTGCCGGCGTAAAAACTTGGTACTTTGCGCTTCTTCCACCGGGACATGCTCACGTCCCCTCGCACCTACTCTTCAACGGCATAGCCAATATGGTGACAAATATTCAGGATGCAAAGAGTGAGCGCTTTCAGGAATTGCATGTACCCCCTTGCCAATGTACTAATAGAATGAACCATAGTCCTCATTCAATCTCCAAAAGCAAAAGAACGTGGGAGCGGTCTCAAAGACCTCGTTCACATCCTCAAGCACAACCGCGGAAAGCCCAGTCTTGAGGCGCTCAGTAACAAGGCCTACCTAGCGTTATGCGAAACCCTCTTCCAGTGCCTGCGCGATGAGCAGGCAAACTTCCTTCGTAACAGACACAAGGCCAAGCCTGCTCCGCACCTTCCTCTCGCCGCCTCGGCTCTGCGTCATGTCATTGCATCGGGCGTACGAACAATTAAAAGCTCTACCGTCGAGGTCATCATAGACACCATAACCGAGGTATTGCCAGGGAACAATGGTCTGATTGAACCGCTTCTTGAGGATCTCCCCAAGACCCTCCGTTCAGTGTTCGAATACCAGCCTCATGTTGAGCGTCTCTCCAAAGACTGCTGGGACGCTGCAGTCGACCTTTGCATTGAGTCGCTAGCCGAACTCTGTTCAGAGCCCGCTGAAGCTGAGCCGCAGAACAGCTGGAGCACGAGCGTATCAAGTCGTGCTCGCACTCCGCTAGAGTCTACCGACTTTACCTCTTCTAGAGCATCTCCACGCCCGCAAGTGACCAGGAACAGGCAAGCTTCACTCCAGCATGCTCACGCAGCTGAGGACTTTGTGCATTGCTTGTATTATCTTGTCAAGGCATCCAATGCGCCATTACTGGACAAGGCTGATAACGTCCTGACAGCATTACTGCACTACTTACAACAGAGGACTGGTCGTGGCAGTGTCGCCGCTGCTGCATTTGCGGCTATCAATTCCGTCCTGGCTCGAATTACATTGCAGTCCCTTGATTTGACTAAACGCACGGTGCTAGAACTACTCCCTCTAATGAAGTCCATGTGGTCTGAGGCCGTATTGCGAGATGAGATCATGATCAACTTGATGTATACTGAAGCCCACATTGCAAGTCTCCTTCTTGATCCAGACGACGAGACGACTAGTTCCAGTCTTGAGGCTCTGGTCGAGACCATGTACAGCGACTACCGACGCCGACAGGATACCACAGCGCACCAATATCTCGAAGAGGATCATCTTTGCTTTCGGCACTTGGGACCTGCCGACCAGAACACGCACCCGCTGAACACATGCGCCTTTTCCATGGAGATGGAGCATGAGCGCTACGAGGGTCTCTGGTCTACAGTGTCAACTATTGCACGTTTTTCCTTCATGCTCGATGAGAGACGTCGGACCATTGCCCATGATCGTAGCGATAGTGAAGAAAGCTTCAGCAAACGTATTCGCGTCACGCAGCTCTTCCCAGAATATCTCTGTCATGTGTCAGAGCCCAGATCTAATGCCAAGCGAGCTGCTCTACAAGTGGTTACTTTCATGGTCCAGGAAGGTCCCTTCGACGAGGACGTACTTCAAACGATGGTGGAGAAGCTTACTTCATGCATTTCCGACGAGAACCCAGTACACTCGGCATGGTCAATGATAGGTTTGGCAGGGTAAGTACCACTGTAGCCGAAGGGGCGCGTACTAACTGTGAATCAGTGCTGCCCTCCAACGCTCAGCATCTCATCCTGCACTTCAGCTATATTGGATATCAGCGTGGCAGAGCGCGTCTCGGGTAGTCACTTCCACGTCTGTATCTCGCGCGGCATGTCACCTCATGGATGTTCTTCTCAGGCTCAAAATTGTTCCATTCTCATCGGTTTCGACGACCGTACAATCGCTGCTTCTGTCGATCGAATTGAGTGGCCCGGCATTACTCACCGAGAGCAGTTCATCGCTCTTCACTACCATCCTTCAGGAGCGTATCAAAGAAAACCCTACACATTTTAGTTCGACCGCTGAGAGAATCTTGAACTGGCTCATCAGCAAATGGACTCCAGGTACGTGCCCTTACCCTAGTTCATGAGTTCAGCTAATGACCACAGGTCTCTGGTCTGAACGAACTTACTCTTCATCCAATGCTCATCACTGTAACGCGCGCGATGTACTGTCTATCCTCTACGCTTGTCTAGATCGACCTTTCAACCCACCGAAACCAACAGGTTTCCTGGTACTGGGGCCTGTTGCGCAAGCCAGAACTCAGATAATGCGCCACAAAGACTTAGCCGAATATCTGTTACTTCTCCCTGTCACAGCAGATTTCACCGTCAAAAGCGATGAGCCGGCTTGCATTGTCGACGACGCAACGAGTGACTATCACCTTACGCCAATGGGTGATCGAATTACTGATTTCTGCATGTCTGAGCTCAACAGGGCTCAGCAACGCTGGAAAGACACGGCGACAACGAACCTCCAAGGCATAACTTCGGACATGATGCGCATCATCACCAACCTATGCATCGTTGCGTCGGCCGTTGCCACCCTCAGCGACCCTGATGACCATCGTATCCGCATACTCAAATCGTCGGTCACCAACCTGATCGAATCCTTCAGCGCCGTACTAGCCAAGCCCCAAACTGAACAGTACAAGGTGGATGCTGTCCTCGAAGCTTGTGCCCGAAGTCTTCCCAGCATCAGCTCCATATCACAGCCGAGCTCGAACATTTACAAGACGAGTGGGGTTTACCAACTGTCTCGACAATTATCCAAGGCCCTACGGGATCGCAAGGACATCAAACAATCATTTTACGCGGAAGAAGAGGACATGATGGATGTGGACGGTGAGCCCAATTCACAGATGGCGATTGGAGCAGCAGCGTCCGATATTGACGTCCCTCGCCATGATGTGCAAGCAGAGCACGACGTCTCAGCTTTACGTGCGTCGTGCGCAGCCTACTTGCAGTTTATTTCAAGTCTTGCCGAAGACCCAGAATCAGAGCAGAACGAGATACCCTCCCGGTTTGTCAACTACTTAATTTCTCTCCCCGAGAACGACCTTCTCCGGTCTCGTCCATTCCTTCGCGAACTATGGAACAGCAGCATGAAGATATCTCGAATCGATTGTCTCAATCTTCTGGAACGATTCAGTGAAGCTCTCATCGATCCCCGCGCTCGCGAATACAACACATCGGAAGTCGCAAATAGTATGTTTGTAGAGGCCTTGATTGGGACTACGCTCGTGTGGGTGCCAGATGCAACTGAGCGTGAGGCTCAGGATCTCTATGACAACGTCGAGGCCCTGTATGCGTACTATGTCAAAGAGATGGAGAAGGGCGGTGTGAGGCGGTCCGCAACCTTACAAACGACGATCGCGGTCTTTTTAAGTGGTCTCCTGAAGCATCATCCTGAGTTTGCGCAAAATCGCAAGGTCCCTTCAGTGCGAACCAGTCTTTTCGATTTACTGTCACGAGGTGAAATGACCGTCAAATATCACATCGCACAGCACTTGCCGAGGATGTTCGAGTACTTCGTGCTCAGAGAGCACGATAAGATCCTGCAAGATGTTGACAGCAGTTTGCCTGGAGACGATGAGGGAAGTGAGGGAATCGCTGTACGATTGCTTGTCCTATCGCGTCTGGCATCGCAATGGCATACGCTGTTGCGCCATAGCGTATACCGCATGTTTGCCACAGCAGGAACTATACAAGGTGCGGCTTATCATGCCCAACGATGCATTTCTCATGTCGCTCGATCAAGGGGACTTGGTGATTCACAAAGCCTGTTCAGGCTCTTTGCACCGCAGGTCATCTTCACATGGTTGGATCGAGGTCAGAAGATCCGCGGCATCCCGTTCTTGATTTTCGATTATACTTCGCTTCCAGACCTTCTACAAGACATAGAAGCCGAAGTCGTAGGCCAAGCCATCATGTTTGGTCGTAAAGATGAAGTAGAATTCTTAGCGGACCAACTGGAGTCTTCTGCAGAAGAGGTGCTGGCAAAAAACATTGGCAAGGCTGCTGCGTATACCATAGCATGGGATACATGCAGAGGCTCCGCACGGAACAAGGCAGATTCGAGCTGTGGGAACTTGCTGAAAGATATGGTCGGTAGTGACAAGTACTACAGTCTGATACAAAAGCACTTCCCTCAGGTTTTGGGCCACATATTACAAACCATGGATCACGAAGAACGTGTCGGCAAGTCCCTAGAAAAGAAAGCCCCCTTCAATTCTGCGGCTGCAGTCTTGGCGGAAATTACGAGCATCAATCAATCTGCGCAGGGTCTCAATATAGGCATTGAGCCTTCGTTTTCCGCCTTTTACTTGCCAGATCAGCTTGAGCGCCTTTGTAGACGAACAGGCGACAAGCCTGCGGGTTTTTGGTCATCGAGCACATACACTTATGCGATGCGTTCTCTCCTCGATCGCATTCATCCAGCACTAGGCTCGCTTTATGCACGATCAATGATTCGAAAGATCAGAATCATTGTGGCACTCGCTGGACCTATAGCTCACGAAGGCTACCCACTGCAAATGACGCTACAGTCCTTGCGTCCTTTTCTTACAGACGTGCAATGTGCAGAAGACACCGTGGGGATAATGCAGTATCTCTTCGAGCATGGCGCGGCGTATCTTCGCCAGCATCTGAGTTTCGTAACTGGTATCGGGTTGTCAATCCTTATTTCGCTCCGGGTGTTCCTAGGCTCTTCTCAGGAAAGCACAACTCAGCAATCGCAACACTTGGCGACCATGAATGCAGCCAATAGATTTCACACCTGGCTCACGGAGTATCTGAAAGCTCATGCTCAGGCTATTTCCACTTCAGAACGGTCATCAGTTGTGAAAGCATTCAGACTCATCACCACTACTGCTTCACAAGTCAATGCCGAAGGTAACTCTGTTCGAGGGAGCGAGGAAAGCAAGCTTCTCTTAGAGATATTGGACGATGTGCGATCAGGGCGTAAACTCCTGAACAAAACATCGCGAGACGTCGCATTAGATCTGCTATGTCAGAACTTCCATCCGGCCCCTACTGCACGAGATGACGTTCTTGGTACCGACTATGAGGCCGCAGAGTTTGCACCCCTAGTTTGGGAATCCAGCCGCAGAAGCAAAGTCGGTGACGGCTATCTGCTATGGACAGCGCGGGTATTGGGTCGAGCATATAGCGCTTACGGAGAGGTCAAGAAAAGTTCGGCAAATCCTTGGCCATGGTCGTACTCTAGTATGAGCTCGAAATCCGTGCTTGGAAAAGTTTCAAGGGAAGCGATTGTCGAAGAAGTGATTGATCTGTTTTACAGCGACGATCGTAGCGAGGTCAGTCTGGCCGAGGATGCTGTCCGATGCCTGATCTCTCGCCTGGAACCAGATTCACAATACCTGAGTGAGATGCAACGAGTCATACCAGAGGCCATCGGTAAAGCTCTCGTATATAGACCCCCACAGTGGGTTGATACGCACTCTCACCATACAACGCACGGACTTTATGAAGCAATTTCACTCACGCAGGCTAAGCCAGTATCCTCCTGGATCAGAGATCTGGCTGTGGCACTTTGCCGAGTCGCAGTAGAAGACCCTATACTCGGTGCGCTACCTGACCTCTTGACCGGTATCAATCACATGGCGGAGACGCTCTTGCCTTGGATCCTTCATCTTGTACTGCTTGATGAATATGAAGCAGAGCGTCAAGTCCACGATGTTGTTTCAAAAGCTATAGCAGACTGGTTCGACCACTGTAACGTTCACACCATTCCACATGTTCGCATCCTCATCCAGTCTATCCTCTACCTCCGCAGCCAGCCAGTCCCAAAAGAGGCCACTCGAGTGGAGCGAGATAGGTGGCTAGAGGTGGACTATATGAAAGCTGCTCAAGCTGCCGATATATGCGGTATGCACAGGAGTGCACTCTTGTTCGCAGAAACTTCTTCCAGTCAGCCCATCGTCAAGAGTAGTACGAGGAGATCCTCCGTGATGGTTGACCCTCCTAAGATTCCACTGCAGCTCCAGCTATCGATTTACAAGAATCTGGATGAGCCTGACTCTTTCTATGGTGTGGACCGAGGTTCAAGTCTACTGTCAGTTGTAGATCGTCTGGATTACGAAGGGGATGGTGTCAAAAGCCTGCTCTTTCGTGGGGCTCGGCTTGACAGCCAGATGCGTCGACGGAACGAAATCGAACCAGTGGACTCTCGCGGCACAGTGAAGTCACTCATCATGTTGAACATGAACAGCGTCACGCACTCGCTTCTCTCCAATGACCAATTCCGTGATGCAGGGGACGATGTCGTCGAGAGCACACTTCATACTGCTCGGAAGCTCGGTCAATGGGACATCAAAGCCCCGGAAGTAAGCCATACCGAAGCAAGCACATTATTCAAAGCATTCCAGGGATTGCATTTTGCGAAGAGTGCAGCAGAGGCACAAGAAAACCTAGATCGTCAGCTCCGGACGACAATGAACTTCCTTTCTGGAAAGGACAACTCATCAGTGCCGGCAAAGGTTCGTTTGCGGACCTTGGGAGCCCTGACAGAAGCGGATGATATTATTAAAGCCGAGCGCTCCGAACATCTACTAGACATCTGGGATCGCATGAAAGCTCGGGAGAAGTGGATGCGGGCTGGAGAGTAAGAGTCACCCAGCCACATACAAAAGTCAGTTACTTACCTCTATTAGATTCAACGACGTGCGCCAGCTCCTATCTTGTCGTGAAACCTTGTTTAACGTACTCGGTTCAAACGTCGCACTTGTAGACTCGTTACATACAAGGACCGCGACAATACGAGGCATGGAGGCTGAAGCCTTGGTGTCATCCTCTAGTGTCTGTAGGAAACATGGCGCGCTTCAGGAGTCTCTCGCTAGTGTAACCTATCTTTCCGATATTGTGCCAGAATGCAAGGCTATAGGCCTGGATATCGAGGCTACAGCTCAGCACGAGGTAGCGAATGTGCTTTGGGAACAGGGCGAGACCGAAATCTCCATTCGAATGCGTCAGCACCTCATCGATCATGCAGACTTTGATTCACAGAATGCCGATTTGAGCTTGCCGGTGCTGCTCGCTAGACTGGTAAGCACATAAGATGACCATGTGGGACATTACTGATCACAGCAGGGTCATCATCTTGCCGAAGCCCGCCTTGCCAAGCCTGACACAATCATGAAGGATTATCTCGAACCAGCAATCCTTGAGCTCAAAGGCCAGCATCAGGGCTCCGGTCCAGGCCAAGTTTTCCACGAGTTTGCGCTGTTTTGCGACAAGCAACTCCAGAGTCCTGAGGCGGCCGAAGACATGGATCGCATCAAGACTGTCATGGACAGGAAGTTGCAGGAATATCACGATTTCACGAAGCTTTCCAAGACCGACAAAAGCAAGGGGATGCGGGAGACATACCATCGAAATGCCCGTCGGGCAAAGACATGGTACGATCTAGACAACGCAGAGTACGAGAGGATGCGCAAGGGTCGTGAACAATTTCTGCGGCAATGTCTGGAGAACTATCTTCTTTCGCTTTCCGCTAGTGATGAGTACAATCACGATGCGCTTCGTGTATTCTCTTTATGGTTGGAGTACTCCGACACTACGCTGGCGAACCAGGCCGTCAAAGCATACCTCAAGGATGTTCCGAGCGGAAAGTTTGCTTTGCTCATGAACCAGCTCTCGTCTCGACTACAAGCGGATGAGAATGATTTTCAGCATCTGCTGATGGAGCTCGTCTTCCGCATCTGTGTCGAGCATCCATACCATGGTATGCATCAGATCTTCGCGATACAGATGAAAGTCGGCGCTATCACTAGGGAAGATGTCGTTCGAGCCAAAGACGAGTCTGCAAAATCTCGTCAGAAAGCTGCGGCTGGCCTCGCGAATGCGCTCAGTAGCGATAAGAGAGCACGTTCGTACTGGAGCTCCATCTACCAGTCCAATGAGATCTATCACCACCTTGCTATGTTCAAGAGTGAGAAGGAGAGTACTCAACAAGGCCGTGAACTACAGCTCGATAGATACAAAGAGTCAAAGGACTTGGTAAACAAGGTTCCGAAGCTCAACGTACCCCCCGCTACGCTCCAGATCGAGGTCAGGCCGAACATGAACTACAGTGATCTCCCAAGAATTGCAGGTTTCAGATCAACCATGAGCATCGCAAATGGTCTCAGTGCGCCAAAGGTCATTACTGCCAAGGGCACTGATGGCAAACCGTACAAGCAACTGTTCAAATCCGGGAATGACGACCTTCGTCAAGATGCGATCATGGAGCAAGTTTTCGATCAAGTCTCACGTCTACTGAAGAACCATACCGCAACGCGCATACGCAACCTCGGCATCCGCACCTACAAAGTTCTGCCGCTCTCGACTCGCTCAGGCCTAATGGAGTTTGTCCAAAATACTGTTCCGCTGCATCTTTGGGTCATGCCGGCACACGAAAAATACTATCCCAACGACTACAAACCGGACAGGTGTCGCAAGGAGATTGGCGCATGCCAGCAGGATTCGCTCACTACGCGCGTCAAGGTGTGGCAGAAGATTGCGGACAACTTCCACCCTGTGATGCGCTACTTCCTTCTCGAGCGTTTCGAAGATCCAGATGAATGGTTCGAGCGCCGCCTCGCGTACACACGCTCCACAGCGGCCATTTCCATTCTAGGCCACGTCCTGGGCCTCGGTGACCGACATTGTCACAACATCCTTCTCGACGAGAAATCCGGAGAAGTCGTCCACATCGATCTTGGCGTGAGTTTCGAGGCTGGTCGCGTCTTGCCAGTACCGGAAGTCGTGCCGTTCCGACTAACGCGTGACCTGGTGGACGGAATGGGCTACACGAAAACGGAAGGTGTATTCCGACGGTGCTGCGAGTTTACAATGGACACGCTACGCGAAGAGAGGGAGTCCATCATGACACTTCTCAACGTCCTGCGCTACGACCCACTTGTCAACTGGAGCGTTACGCCTACAAAAGCGAAACGCATGCAGGAAGCCAATCAGGAGACTGGTGCAAACGGCACGGCACGCTCAACAACTGTTGCGCCTAGTGCTACCCCAGCCCCGTCGGGGCAGACGACCGTTGAAGAAGTCACAGGCGTTGTGCAGGAGAGTAACAAGAGGAAGGAGAAGGAGGATCAGGCTGGTGAGGCGGGGAGAGCCCTTAGCGTCGTGGAGAAGAAGTTGAGCAAGACGCTTAGTACCAAAGCGACTGTCAACGAGCTCATTCAGCAAGCTACTGATGAGCGCAACCTTGCGGTGCTGTATATGGGATGGGCAAGCTACGCGTGAGCAAAATGCGTGTAACAATCTTTTGGTCAAAATTCGACGCTGCAGCAGCATTACAGGCGCGCATTTGGTGCATCTTTCTTTTTCTCTTGTCCTGCATAGCTTTCAAGCGCGGCGTCAATGGAAGATAGTCTACCATATTTCTTGGACTTGACTAGCAATATATAGGTAGTCTCATGTATACCAAGTACACACTACAAACCCACGCCTTGCCCTATCCACTATAGACTAAACAACCCGTGTACCCGTGACGCGTAAAACGAGGCTTACGTTTGCCGCATTTCCCTTCCATTGTCCTGCCCCGCCCCACTTGCAGCAACCAAACCCCACCCCACCTTCCCTAGCTGCACAAACGAATTTTCGCACCCATCCCGCCCACGTTTTGTGCTAATAGGTTATATATCTTGCGCGTGGTATTTATTCCATCAAACCAGTAAATCAACTGGCCTAATGGCCCAATGGCAAGGCGCTTGACTACGACCCAATTCGGAAATCAAGAGATTCCAGGTTGTAAGTTGTAATCACTCTAAGAGCTGATTGTTCGAACGTCCACTAACACTGAATAGCGACCCCTGGTTAGGTCATAACGTCTTTTTTGCCATCTTTTTTGCTTTGCTCCGCGATAGAGCCCATTTTATTTGCTTACTGCAACGCAACGCAACGCCAGTACTGCGATGTTTTAGGGCTACATTCCATACGTCTAAACTTCTACCATGTCTCTTCCGCTGTAATAACTACATTTAGAAGTGCGCGCCATATATTAGACTGTTCACGGAGTTGTTAAGTAGTCTTGTTGGGTTATTAGTAACCCTGCCAAGCTGTGACTACTACTACTAGGTCTATTCTGTGAAATTGAAGAAGTCTGCTAATAGAATGCGGCCAGCACTTGGAAGTTTATGTTTGATACCCTTGTTGCATATGTACAGATGCCAAATGGGAACGCGTCTACAGCTATGCACATAGTTCCTTGTTTGTCTCGGGGAAATCTCATGGACCTTCCGAACCAGCCCTAGCTCTCCCCCTCCGCCTTGGATGAGAGTTGTTTTTCCCTTTCAACCTCAAACTTAGAATTTTCCCGTTCCATACAATTGCAGATGTGTATTAACACGGAAGTCTTTGGGAAGCCCCGCTTTGCACTGGCCGGCGAGACCGGTATTTCAGGCCGGGTGTGGCGTCGGATGACGGCGATGAACATCTAACTACCGATCGAGAACAGAACACTCTAGTACAGTGACAAGCCCCTGAAGTCTAAGGCTGTTTCTCCGGCCTTATGAAGGAGGAGTGCCGGGCATCAGCCTAGATGTTAGAGGGTGTATGTATGGACGGGATTTGCGAAGTGTGATGCGAATGATAGGCACGTTGCCTCTGGCGGCTGAGACTTCAGCTCTAGCGATGTGTTATATCGCTAGTAAGCCGTCAAACTGGTGACTGCAACATTGGATATCTCCCCAGCGCACCCAGCAAAACACACGCATCGTGGGTACTCAAAGTTGAATCTCTGCTTTCTAATGGCAGACCCTCCAGAACCATTCTCTTCCGCTTCACCAGGATCGGATGTGGACGACTCAGATGAGCAATGTAGTTGTTCAGTAAATTGGTGTCATGTTGACCCTGTCGATACAGACCCTTCTATAGATCAACTTTGGGTAATGCTTAAGAAGACATGCATCCGAAAGGACGCGAAAATTTTCGACGAGATTGTCTGTACGGCCATTTGGAAGTATGAAATCGATCAAGATGCAGTGTATCGCAATGTCCAATGATCACGGCCGGTATGTATAACCAGGTATCGTCTTCTTCGATCATATGTTGATAGTCACAGGACCCTAAGCTGTTCCTACTGCGAAGCATTATCGACGAAGAATGTAGTAGAAGCCCAACTCTTGCGGCGAAGTTTCAGAAGTACGTCGTCGCCTGGAACAAGAAGCATCGGCGAGAAAGTCCGGATCGGAAGCACGAGCTGTATAGAATTATACCCCCAATGTGCAATGTTAGGCATGAGTGTTGGATCCAACAGAGCCCGATAGGCGCTGAAGAGGAGCTGGAGATCGTCGAACACCGGATCATCGACAGCGATTCTATGGATACTTTTTGGATGGAAAACGCATTCTGGACACCTTTCAGAAAATGGGTCAGAAACCGCTATGGCGGATACGAGGCTAGGCAAGAAGAGCTACACGTGTACTATGAGAGTACTGGGATACCTTTTCGTTTCTTAGATCTGCCTCTAGAGCTGCGATATATGGTTATAAGATTGGTATTAGGGTCAAAGGATATCTGGCCGCTTCTGACTCCATCTCACAGACAGCGACTCGTAGCATCGAGCCATGTCGAGCATCGGGAACCAGAGACGTACCAGGAGCTGAGCGATAGGTTGAACCGGTACAATGGCTTGTCCAAGGGAGTGTATCCTATCGAATTTGCAGCGCCGTCCCAGTCGCCAATGAAGCATGGATATAATTCAAAACACCTGGATAAACACCCCGAAACCGTTCATCCGGGTCTTGGTCCGACAAAACAAAAAGAAGTCACGGCAAGAAACCTTCTTCTTGTCAGCAAGGCAATGCGTAAGAATACCCAGGTCATCATATTCCACAAAACTACCAAGCGGTTCAACGAATTGGACGACATGACGGACATTGTCTGATATTTGCACAAGTACACCACCACAACAGCCATACCATCTTTCAAAGCCTTCGATGCAAAGGTATTGCAGCATGTTTCCGTAAGCTTCACCAACTACGATTATTATAAATTTATCGGTTGGCGCAGCGGAGGCAGAGTCATCACGCCAGCTGACCCGGAATTGTGGAGGTGCCTTCTAGACCGGCTCTGCAGCATCGATACTCTGGAACACCTGGATATGCAATTCCAGCGCCTGGAATAATCCGTCCATGTGGAAGACGGATACGTCGAATCTTGGGATCCCTTTGGTGATGCCCACCAATCGTACGATCTAGCTTGCCAGAAGGCTGTCGTCCACAGCATCTTGGTGCTGGGTTACAGCAACTTGAGATGTATCAACAAGGTCACCATCTCCGGCCACGTGGGACCGCGTGCACACGAATGCTATGACAAGATCTTTTCTGAACCGCGCTCTCATGGTGGCCAACTCAGTACTCGACAGCGCTTCTATGATCAAACAGCATGCGCTACTCCAGTGCAGTTTCCTGTAAATTTTGTTAATTTTCCACCAGAGTATGAGTAAGTACATCGCTTATACGAGTGGCGATTACTAGTAGCTTTTCTTACTAACTTGTACTTTAGAGACTTCGAATGCTTTTGTGAGCCGAAATGCGGACTTGATGCAGAGGGCTATAGAGATCGTGATGGTTATCGAGAACGAGTGCCTCTCGAATTGCTCTAGTCTCTTCTCCGGGAACGAGCTTTCCTGAGTACAACATAGAATGCATCTAGGGTGTATAACGGACGTAGATGTGTCCTTGGCCTTTCGGTGTACTTCGGTAGAATTCACCAGTCAATCCATCTCTTCCACATCTCAAATTTGACACCGCACCCACGCCTCAAGCCTCTCTCACTTCAATGCTTACAAATGTTTGATTTTGATTATACTGTCGACTAGGAAGGGGTAAATGTTCATGCACCTGAATCTTGCGGTAGTTCCGAATTATCCGCTGTTCCGATCGGAACTGAAATGCCTACCACACATGTGCACTTCGCAAGGGCACGTGTGCACCTACTACCAACGTAGTGAGTCAGGCGGGTAGATAGTATTGTTTATTGTGGTATGCGTTTGTCATAGCTACATGTAGATGCCTGTTAGAGACATTTCTCAACCGATTTCTTCTTCTTCTGTTTTTACGAAGGTAGACGTGTGCTTTTTGGACCAACAGTTGGATTAAGCTGCGACGGGAGAAGATAATCACTGATCTGTTAGCCCGAGCTCTAATAAAAACTCGTCTTTTACCGCATCTCACATGTGACATGGAGGGTGTCAGCCCGTATAGCGATCTCTATCTATAGCTTTCATTCTCTATTTCAGCCCACAGAAACTTTACATAAAAAATCAATCTGCTACATTCTGTCACGGTGGCCGTGAACTTGGCAGTGACATTCAAGCAGTGACATTCAGTGCACGGGAGGCATGCATAACATATTGATACAGTCGAGCATTAACACGGTATACTCGTCGTGAAATTTGGTGTAATCTTGTGTCAATTTCAGTTGGGTGCACTAACCACACAGTTCGCGACACAAAACCTAGGTATTTTAAGATGCTTGTAGATTGTTTTTGTAGATTGTATCGTACATGTATATATGACTGTACATGTGTGTATAGATGTGTAGATGATCCCATCCCATTCCGTTCCGCCCCATCCCGTAACCCAGCCTTGGCTCACGCCTAACCCCATCTTCCGGTATGAAAATGCAAGCCCAACTCAGGTCCCTTCACCGCTATACTATGCAATGTGACTCAAAGAGAAAACCAAGGAGAAAGAAAACTTCGCTAGGCGAATAAGGTGTAAGTGCAAGCAAGAGGAAGAAAAAAAACTTGCTCTTCGCTTAAACGGGCAAAATGAAAACAATCAACCAAGAAGATGCGGTCAGCACTTGACCGTTTTCCAAATAATCTAGGTAACGAACCACATCCCCCCCTCATCCCTGTCTGGCGCAATGAGTGCGCATGCAGAAATGCAAAAATTGAAACACGTCAATCTAAGTAGTGTAACTCCAACTCAGGTTGTTGGAGGGTCGCTAAAATATGCAGAGGAGTGCTAAAACGGCAAAACACGTGTCTTGGAGATGCGTGCGTCTCGGGGGAATCTCGTAGATCTTCGGGATAGGATAGATGTAGCCGCAACCAACCCCGTGCATTTCCTTCATCTTTTTTCTTCTTTGCTCCACTGAGTTTCATTTAACCAGAATTTTCTTGCTTCGACACAAACGTGTAACGGGGCTGGACTGGATGGCTATTTTGCGAGACCCCCACTGCTTGCGCGCCGCAACCGGCAACGGTATCGGCGAGACCCGGTATTTTGGAGGCGGGTCCCTCGGCAACCTGCAAAAAAGTCGGGCAGTTTCTCTGTGCTGGTATCGTCAAAGGGGGGTGCCCCATGTCGAAACCCATGCATTTCAGGAACACAGGCGGGGGGATGTATTCACCGGAAGTTTGTTGGTCGTGGTGTGGCGCATGCGCTTAGTTTGTTGTTCGTGTTGGCTCCAGTAAAACCCCGTGATGTATACGAGCGGCCGACGGCCAAAAGATCAAGACAGATTGATCAACCACCATACGCGCAATCCACCTCTTTTATTCTCCTTATGACGTACACGGCAATCGGAATAATATGTGGTGTGGAGTCCAAAGGTGCCAGATCCCAGCAGAACGGTCGCGTGAAGCTTATGCCGAGACCAGCAATCCTGTTATCCCAAACGAAGGCGTCTCCACACTCCATCCGCCGCGCCAAACCATAGCAGGTCATGCGATCCACGGAGAAACGGAGTCCGCGATCGCCTTCAGGGCTCAATCGGTGCTGCCCAATGACGGAAGCTCCAAAACCTTCATCTTGCGTGTGTGGAGACCGCCTTACAACGTGCATTTCTCGCTTCGCCTGGCTGGCAGATGTCGACGAGTAAGTAATGTACCGGTCCTGCGTGCGTGCCCAACTCTTATGGGAACGAACACGTGTGTGTGCTGCAACCCTGACGAAAATTGCAAGCAAAACTAGCGTCTTCATCCCGCAACGATTGGAGTCCAACGAGCGGGCACACGGCTTGCGTCATGGTGTGTGGGTGCTTTGCTAGACCCTGATTTTCTTGGCGGTAACCAGATGCGTGCCTTGCCAACGGCCTTTGCGTCGAGCTTGCCAACACGTCGCATGTTCATCTCGAGCACAATGACTCGTAGGAAGTCGCTGTTCTCGCGCGGCTCGCGTTGCCGGACGGTGGGCTCGTCGCCAGCAAGGACTCTTCCTGCCTCGGAAAACGGATCTGCGGTGCGATTTCGTCGGGACTTTTGCGATCGGCCTCGGCGTTCGTACGTCTGCATTTGGATCATGGGCGCGTTAGGATCGGCGTCGATGTCAAGTGAGAGGGCGTCGTGGAGCTGCATGGAGAGCTCAGTAGGTGAGATGGGTGAAGGCTGCGGGTTGAGGTATCGTCGCAATTCGGGTGATGGTAGTCCTTCCAGGTGTTTCGGTCGCATCTCGCTTGTGAACCTGGGTGACAACAATGATCGCGTGAGGAAGTCATCCGGCGGAACACTGGGTGCCGTGAAGTTTGAAAATGACTTGGCTGCAGATTTGAGTGCTTGGAGCGAAGCCGTCAAATTGGACTTGAATGATCGGAATCGCTCGTTGGAAGGGGCGGGAGCAACCTCATCGCTGATGTCTGGAATGATGATGTCATCGCATTCATCAGGCCCAAAATGAAGCAACGGATGGTCGAGGATACAGTCTTCTTTTGGAGGAGATGAGACAATCTTCTCGCGGCGCTCTGGTAGGGATTTCCGGCCAATCGAGTCGGGCGTGCTGAGGTTGTCCCAATGGGATGCGTATGATGGGCCATCGTAGTCCAGCGAGGGCGGCATAGTAGATATGGAGTCGCTTGAGATGGATCTAGATGTTAAGAAGGAGTCCTTCTCTTGTTCCATGCTCATGACGCTGCTGTACTCGTCGTCTGACTCGTCGACGCGACCAAGCAGTAGATCCATAGGCGAGCCCACGAGCGAGGGTGGAGTGTCCGAGTCGTCCTGCTTCCACTCCTGTATCAACTCGTCCATTGATATCCTCCTGTCCATTGTAGAGCGCGGTCTTCGGCGGGCGGGCATCTTGGGGATGGCGGTGACGGCGAGCAAGGCAGCAACGGCAGGCGGCAGCGCCTTTGCATCGTGACTCGGCGCCGAACGCATAGACTGACTTCTACTCTGGCCTCTCATTCTCACGGTCTGTGTCGATGATGCTGACTTCATGGGCGAGCGAGGCGGAATGCCAACGGGTTTGGTCATGGTAACAGGAGATTGACCCGCTTTGTGTTGGAGACTTGGGATGTCGTTATTCATAAATTGCGTGTCTGTGTCCACAGTAACCGGCCTAGAACTTCGCGGAGACGGACTCGATCGCGTTCGCGTGCCCATCTTCTCGGACTTTGATCTAGTAGTGTGCGATGATGGCGGAGAGGGTTGCAGATAAGGGAAGGACCTTGGCGAGTACATGATGCTGGTGAAATTGGGCCCTGAAGGCGTTTCCCCCGTGACTAACACGTCGGACTTTCCAGGAACGGCTGGGTCTTTGGACTGTTGGCTAGGCTGGATGTGACGTGCGAGGGCCGGATTTCTTTACGTTATTGCTGTCTGGCGATTGGATGGTCCTGCAAGGGCAGCTCGCGAGCGACATCAGACTACAGGGATGACGTGTGCCGAAAGTGACCGACGCACTGGGTCGGCAGTAATATATAGATCTGAAAGGTAGAGATGCCGTAGGACGCAGAGAAAAAGGAAGAATCAGAATGGCAGTAGTAAATAGTGATAGATGTCGAGGATGATGATGGAGACGGAGGCACAACCTCGGCGGTGATAAGGACGTATGACGGCGTTGTTGGGTTTCAAGGGTTATCGGGTGAGCGATAGGTAATAAGGGCAAAGTCGCGTGGGAGGCTCCTATCGGACACCAAAGCACACGACCAGGCTTCCGCCAGGCCGCGGTGCATGCACAAGCAAGACTAAGACGAGATAATCGCGGCTGAGAAGACGAATGCGCGTCCTCCTGCACCGTCAACGCCTACACCTTGCTGATCACACCCGGTGCACAGCACGCCGCACCTTCCGCCCCGGTCGGTCCCGCATATGCGCCACTCTTTTTTTGATGATCGCCCCCAGCCCGCCCCTGATTGGCTTGGCCGCCACCTCCACGATTCTCAGCCCTGCCCGCCCCACGCCTCTGCCTTCTGGAAGACTCGCGCTTCTCGTCACATGAGGGCTTGAGGCTGGGTCACACCCCGTCATCTGAGCTCGCGTCGCCGCCGTTATCGTGACCGTTGCTGGCGCAAACAGGCGCTTGGTTGAGGTTGCCAATAACTAAGAGTCATACCAGTACGGGCACCGGCGTGCGCGCGCGCATCTACCATGCCTGGATGACACCTGTACGTGGCTGCATGTGTGTGTGTGTGTGTGTGCCATAAGCCTGGCAACCTTCCGGTCATGGTTGGGCCTGTCAAATCCCACATCCTTATCTATCGTATCTCGCTTCATGCACGTAACTTCTGCCTTGCATCCGCCGGCCGCCAGCGCGCTAACTTCGCATCATGGCCCTCTGGGGCTTGTGGGGTGCATGCCCGCCCTCGCTGAAAAATAAAACGTGGAGCGAAGTTTATTTAGACTCGACAACGCCTGGTTTTTTCCCCATTTCGACGTCATTGGCAAGGGGAAAACTTGAAAGGGGACGTCAGGAGAGCACGTGTCGGCCATGCTAGGGAATGAGGCTCAACGGTCGTGCATAATGGAGCACAGTCACAGCGTTCGCACCTGCTCAATTGAGGTTAAGGGATCTCTTGTGCGAAAGAGGAAGGAACACGAGTACGGCTTCTCGTGGAACCACCAAGGGAGCTCTCCGCCGCAGTTACTCAATTAATCTGAGGCGCCCCTGCATCGACTTCACCGAGCCCAATCTTCCTTCAGTCAAGTCACCATGCACGTGTGTCAATCACCCGGGTGCTGCAGCTTAACTTGAAATGTTGCTTCATTCTGTTCAATGGTAATAGTACACGTCTCCTCTCTCGAGCTCACACTCACTCACACTCAATCTTACGTCTACCAATCGAGAGACATTTGTATGCACTTCACCTCGCTTCACCCGCACCCAACCTTCAAGTGCACAAAAAAATATAAGGCATAGCGCATATCGCGCCTCATCCAGTGTCGGCCCACGCCAACAACGCCGTAGCTCCGCAATACCGCCGCTTTGAAAACCAAGTAATGTGAAGAAAAATGAAGAGCCAGGACCCGCCTCCCCTCCCGAACCGACAGCGGCAGGGTCGAAGACGCAACCGCAATAAGTGACGTACAGCAACACCCTGCCAGCCTCCCATACGTGGCGATTCTCCCCATCTTGTGAAACGAAGGATTAGCCAAAGTGAAAATTTTCTGCAACCAATACGCCAGGCTGCCCGAAATCAGCATGAAAAAACAATAACCGAATTTGATCGGCCGTAGCGGTAAAAGTGTCGTCTGCCGTTATACCATGCCGTCGTTGGTCAAGTCGATCAAAGAAGGGTCCAAATGGACTGCAACAAGCATGACCCCTTCAATACCCGTCGCCATCATCCGTCCAGCCCGCGTCTGAGCCTTCCTTGACCCGTACCATGCGACCGTCCTGCTCCGTTAGAGCTTCGCCGTCGACGCTGCGTATGCTGCGGATCTTCTTGCCTTGTACGCCACGTGGGCTAGCTATATGGCCGCCTTCTGGTGTATAGCGCTTCATCTGCCGTCGGTAATGGTGGAAGTCGATTTCCTCCTCGGGAGGCTCGTCTGATCGTTCACTGAACGTCTCCCAGTTCTCCGACCCTGACTGCATCGTGACACCCGTAGCAGCCGTCCCGTTCGACGAGGTTTGTGAGATCTGTCTACTGCTTGCGGAAGATAGCGATGGTGGAGGGTACGTTGGCGTATAGGCACCACGCATCGTGTTGTGATGTCCCATGTAAGAAGGACCGTCGTCGTAGGGGTCCTCTGGCGGTACGTTACGTACAATGCTCTCGCTGCGCTCTCCACGGTTGAAAGCAAATCGGTTCATCGGTGTCTCCATTGTAGATGGTTCTGGTGGCACAAAGAGGTCCTTCATGCGTGGAGGAGGTGCCATTGGCGGCGCCATCTTCCGGAGTGTCGTTGAGTCTTCTCTGGAAAGCGCCGGTCGACGTTCAGATGGGTTGTCGCCCAGAGGTGCACTCTTGAGTGTCGCACGAGAAGGGATTTTCGAAGGACTCTTCGGACCTGATGCCGAAACAGAAGCACCAAAGTTTGAAGAAATACCTGACGAAACAGAGCTGGATAAGGTATGACGGGAGACGCTTGCGCCGAAGTTTGATACGGGAGTCTTTGATCGGGTTGGGGGTAGTCCACGAACTGTCCCAGCGCGACTGGGGGCCGTCGATCTGGATACCGTCGCTGGCTTTGAAGGCATGCCCGTATTTGAGGGAGTCTTTGCGCGAGGTGGAGCGGCCTTTGCAGCAGCGGCGGCGGCATACAGTTCGTCGAGGTATCGATTGCCATGGACAAGGAAGGGGCGGCCATACTCGTCTTCCCAGTTCTCGAGAGTGTCCTTCAATTCCTGCCATGCTGTTAGTCCTGCTTCTGGTAGAGGGATATTGTGTACTTACAGCCTCAACCTTGGGCAGCTCCTTTGCGATGCGCTTGCGCATCTTCTCCTCGCGCAGGAGCTTGCCTGGGTCGCGCCTCTCGCCCTTGTTGCCGCGTGCCATGAGGCGTGTTGCATCTTGACTGGACTGCTGGAGGTCATCGCGTTCCTTGATCAGCTCGCGGTGTCGGTCGATCTTTTGGAGGATGGGTAGTCGCTGCTCCTTTAGTGCTTCGAGGCGCGCAATCTCGGACTCGTGTGCGGATAGTAGGGCGTCACTGCAAACATCTGAAAAGGCGGGTGTAAAGTCGAGCATCTCCTCCTCGGAAAAGTAGAGAGCATCCCAAAGCTCCTGGAGTTTGCATCGCGCCTCTTCGACAAACAAATGTAGGTTTTGGCGTTTTAGTTCGTTCAGCCTGGCCAATTCGTCTTCATACTCGTTGATGGTGCGCAGGCCACACCCGCGGTTGCTCGTAAGGAACTGCTTGCGCTCCCGCTCCTCGACACCTAGGCGATCCCAGAGCTCCTCGATGGTAGTGCGCAATTGGCCTAGTCGTCGTTCCCGGCTTCGCTTCTCCTCGACTAACCGTTCCTTTTTCGCCTTGAGTTGCGCAAGATCGTCCTTATGTAGACCCAGTTGCTCCGGCGCGTCACGGTGGCATTGCACGATTGCGCTGTCGGTTTGCGCCTGTGGAGTACCAAGTTCGGCCCAGAGTTGTATGATTTCCTGACATAGAACCTTGACCGTGTTGATTCGTCTGGTGTACTCTTCGTATACGCGTGTGAACTCGTTATCCAGCTTGTTGACGTAGGAGGGCGAGATGTCGAAGGAAGGTGAGACGGTAGCATTGGGTTCTGTCGGCGGGAGCTTGATCTGCACAAAGGAGGCCTCTAGATGCGATGCATATGACTCCAGGGCTTCGGCGAGTTTGCGCACCTGCTCGAAGCGCTCCTGGTGTCGCTTGCTGATGGTGTTGTATCGCTCCTTCAGCCCCTGTAAACAGCGCGTCAGCGGGAAGGTGATGTCGTCGTCGTCGGGATCCTCGTAGTTTGGGTTGGGCTTGTTGTCGTCGAGCGAGGCCTCCATTTGCCGGATAGTCTTGAGCAGGCGATGTGCCTCTTCTGTCATCTCATGCTTCTCGTTGGTGACCTGTCGCAGCTGGTTGTGAAGTGTTTCGGAAAGCGCAGAGAAGAGCTACATATTGTTAGCAGTCGCAAAGACGTATACACTGTCTAGACGCACCTCTGCCTCGCGAGAGTCTCGCTCATGGCTGGGAACACCAATGTCGTCGAAAAGGCCGTGCAGCTGGCCAATGATGGTGGTGACCTGCTGGGCTAGGTAGCTCGTGTCCATGGTGTCTGCAGGCCCGCCAGCGAGATCGATGGATGTTCAAAGGCGCATGCAAAGTTGCCGCTAGCAGTGGGGCGTTGGAAACGTGTGCTCGAATCTTTCGGTGCAATGAAGTAGTCCCGTCGTGCCAGTGGATAGCCGTGGGGAAGCGAGGAATGCACGATGTCGCAGTCAGCCGGAGATCGCGTGCAAACGAGGGTAATCACGCCAAAAGCGCTGTTGCTGAATGCAGAAACAAAGTGCAATATGCAGTTCCTGCAATTCTTGAAGTAAAGCACACACTGTAGGATGTGATGCAATGTTGGGATCGAGCGTCGATCGGGGTGCGAGCGGCTGGGTGGTCATAGTGGTCGCGCCCCCAGACTATTTGGAGAGAAACGCAGAGTCGGTTGTGAGGGGCAACGTCCCGCCTCATCCAGAGGCGCGTTGACATCAACGAGAACGCCCAGTGTCACCGCAGCGCGGCCTACCATTCATAGCGGGGTACCAACCCAAGTCCGTGGCAGCAGAGAGTAGGACAGCATGGATTATGCCGGTATTGCGCATGTCAACTTGTCAACACACATCCGGATTGAGTCTTGAATCTTCTTGGAGCGGATGAGTATGCCGTAGTGGAGCAACACCATACAACAGACACACTGCACCCGTTTCCAACTACTGTCGACTTGAACTGGAAATCATCTCACAGACGTTGGCGTGCCACCCTGTGGCTTGTCACGAACTGCTTACTCTCGCCGCAAACCTTAGAAGCCTCCGATCTTCGCGGGGGGCAATAGTTCTGTGCTGTTTGTTGTTTTTCGAACCGTCCAAGGCAACCTGGGCATCCTACAAGCGTGAACCCACATATCAGCGGCACAAAAACCTTGGAAGCAACCATGACCTCCGCTATACTGGTTGCTCAGTCGACTCTACTATGCTATACGAAACCTTCACCAGTCGCAGCCGCTTAGTCGTCTTTCCTTGCATATATCTGCATCAAGTGTGGAGCTGAGATACGCGCAATCCGATGGTCCAGAGAATGTCTGCCGCTATACATGCAGCTGATCGCCGCTACTTCATTTCTTTTAGTCTAATATTAGACCTTGCTTACTGCAAACACTGAAACGTAGCTGTCCACTTCCCTCCGGCAACACGCTCCACCGAGGCAGCTTCCCCTCCCTTGCGGACGTCAACAACATGATAGCCGCTCAGCCGACCTTGGCCTCTCAGGACGACTCTACCAGCGCAGTCTAGCACCGGCATCATCACCTCTCCTGTCGTACCCTCCGGGGCCTCAAACTCCAACATTACGCTACCATTCAAGATCTGGGTCCTTGCTCCGAAGAAGCCCAGTTTCGTCGTGAATCCTGCATCTGCAAACTTCAAGTCCCCTAGACTGGGTGCTATGCGCCATGTGGCACCACCAGCACTGAGAAGCTGCACTCCAGCCACATACTGGGTCAATGTACTCGTTGGTCCCGTAGCCCACCCATGGGCATGACTGATCCGAGCGTCATTGAGGTACGGCGCATAGTGTAGTTGCCCAGTCGTGCTGTAGCCCTCGATAAACGTCGAGTTGGTCATGCGAGGATCATCCATCATGAAGCCCCACTGCAGTCTCATCAACGCGAGAGCAGCGCTAGTGTTCTGTGCGAGAAAGTGAGTCTGTAGCTCAAAACCAGAGATGAACGGCGATATAGAATCGTCGGCTTCGGGGGCAGGTGCGCCGTAAGGTGTCCAGCGCGAGTTCAGTCGCGAAGAGATGAGGGCATTCTGCGTCGCGTTGAGCGTCAGGTTTGCGACGACGGCCCAGGAGTTGCCGTCTTGGGGCATCAATGTTGCTGTCTCATTGTCTCTGTACATTCCTTCCTGTGTATCCCAAAGTAGATCGTTGGCGGCCACCTTGATGCGCTCAGCAGTGTCTCGCCAGGTTGAAACGTTCGCGGTATCATTCAACACCTCGGCGAGGTAGATGGCCTGATTAAGCGTGTAATATAGAATGGAATTTGCCTCGATGTTGTGTCCACCCATGCCAAGACGGAGCCAGTCGCTGGGCGAGGTGACATTCATCAGTCCCGATTCATCAATGTTCGCTAGTGGGAAGGCGAGAGCAAATTTGTATTGCTCCCAAAGGGACTTGAGGTAGTCGATTTCACCCTGGGGCTTGGTCAGCAACATGTTGAGAAGAGTCATGGAACGCTTACAGTGTAGAGATAGTGGTCTGCAACACCAATCAAAGTGTAAAGGTGATATGTGAACGATATTACAGAAGGGAAAGGTCGACCGGCGTATGGAAGCACTCCAGTCGTCTGGTTCTGGACAGCGAACAGCGAGTTCAACGCGTTCTCAATGGATATCACGTCGTCCGTGGAGACTACAACGGCAGGGACTGCTATGGCCATGTCTGTGAATACTTGTCAGTGAAGTAATCCACCATATTCTGTGGTTGTAGCATACCACCAGCCCATACAAGTCTGTCCCTCTTGGCTCCATCAACAAGGACACTCTCTCCTCTCGTGATCGTGTAGTTATTATACCATGTGACATTGACCGGGCTCTGGTCGTCTGACCTATCGTAGCCTGGTTCGCCAAGATGAACCAATGCATTTCCGGTGTCTGGAGGGATCGTGCAGATCTGGTTTGTATACGCTCCAGCGTACCATATACGATTGAGAAGCTCATCTGCGTACTTATAAGCTTACCATTATCATAAGAGAAGCAAAAGATAGACGGAAACTACATACCATCGCAATGGAAGTATCCAGTGTAGTTTCTTAGCGCATTGTCTTTCCAGTGAGGCATAGCTGTATAATGCACTTCTGCACCTGTAACTTCTAAACTCCCAGTTCCATTATGCACTAACGTCATATACCTAAAAGCTCCCCTCAGCTTCTCACGCGGTGCTGTATACCTCCCGGGACCATTGACGTGGAACCAAAGTGTCTCATCTTTTCCTGCGTCGGCAGTCGCGTCGCTACTCCTATTGCTCACCCATAGAGAGCTCTCAGAGAAAGCAACGCCAATGTATTCGTCTGAGCTATTTGCGGAGCCAATCGTTACGGTTACGAGGCCAGCAATGTTGATCCCAAAGTCGTAAGCTGTTGCTGCGTCGCCAGTAAAGACAGAACTGCCATTGACGCTGAACAGACTCTCGGGGTTGGTAACGGACCCGTTCGTACTGTGTATCGAGGCAGGACGTAATGTGCGAGATTTAGGCGCAAGGATGTATTCTTCGTAGGGAATGGCAAGTGTAGGCACAACAGCTGTCAAGCTAACCAAAAAGCCGAGAGATCTCATATTCATATTCCACAGTCGGTATTCAACACTGTATGTCTTTCTTGATGGCGCTTCTTTCCCATCTTATATCCCCTCTCGGGATCCCCACTGCCGTTCGTCGATTCCGACGTTCACAGGTACCCAAGTAAACTTTCTGATCTTGCTGCACTTCGGCGAAGCAACCTCCGAGATGACCCCATTCCCGAATTCCAAGACTTTTGATCCGGGGCGCAGCCCTGGTAACTGCGGGGAAGTGGGTCTGTAACATGCACATTTGCTGGCGCTAGAAGTGAAATTGCCAATACATAAAATACTTAAAAACGGCAGTGTAGGTAAAATATGTCATTCCTGATAGGTCTATTTGGTGGCCACAGTAGCTTTGTTAATACTGAGTGTAAAGTATTTCACGTCACCCAGGTGGATGTAATACCAGCTCAGGTACTCGTCATTTACTCCACATCCCGAGATTCTTCCCAATAGTGCGAAATGAAGTGGATGTATTTCACCCGAACACCACCTTGAAGCGGCCTATTCCCTCTTTGGCTTCCCGGATCAGCAATCTCGGAACGAAAATAATGTCATGCTGTGATGCGATGTTATTCACCCCCGTACAAGTGCATACAGAAGTATCTCATTATTTCCTAGAAGGGCACGCGTTTACAACCCAAATTACCGCTTACTCTGCGGTAACATTCCCAACAGCCTCTCTACCTCCACCGCCGCACTGCCACCTGCCTTCACCCTAATCTCCTCCAACAGCTCCCTATCCTTCGCTTTGAAAGCCTCTTCACCCGCCTTGACCATTAAACCACACTTGATCCACATCTCGACGCGCTCCGGTACAGTCAATGTCGTACACTTTGGGATGAACACGCTCGCTACCCTTGTGTTGCCTGCACCGAGTATTTCGTTGAAGAATGGCTCCCAGCCGATCGGGCTCTTCTTCTGCTTTGCAGATTCTTCAAGCTCAGTCCAGTGTCGTGCTGCTACAAGCGCACGAAGACGAATATACGTGTATGTCTTGTCGTTGATTTTGAATTCTGACTGCACTTTTTGCGCACGCTTGTGGTGACCCTGGCGGATGAGTTGGAAAATGGTCTCGTTCGCCGAGAGACCGATATATGTCTGACCCGGCAATGCACCAGCAGGCGTAGAATCTCTTGGTCCATTGAGGTCTGTTTCAAATTGGGTTTGCAGACGAAGCAACTTGGCGGCATCATCGATAGCCTGTCGTTGGAAAACAGCGGCGCTGTCACGCGAGTCTTGGAGATACTTCGATGCCAACTTCAGCTTGTCTTGCGCAGCAGTGTGAGTCTCCTGTGCCATGGCTTCAGATAGTAGAAGATTTGAGCCGTCTAGTCGTCGATCGTCTTGGTAGTAGAGATCCTTGAGAAGCTCACGATCTTGATCCCATGCTGAAGATTCGACGAGAGCTGTAGCAACGGGCCTGCTGTTAATAACCCGAAAGAAGGAAGCAAGTGGCAGCTTCCTCCGTAGATGCAAGAGGACGTGGTATATAAGGTCTGTATCGCCTGACTCAATCGCCTTGTCGAGCGCGATATTGTCTTCTTTCATGTTGAGAAGTAGCGGAACCTGTTTGCCGGCCCTGGGTTCGTAGTTGAGCAGCTCGGTGGCCAGTCGGACGCGACCTTCGTCATACGCCGCCCGTGCAATCTCCTCAAAAGAAACACCTGGCTTACCATTAAGCTTCTTGACTATAAGGCTACATATCTCCTCTTCGGGATCAGTCGATACGCGAACCTTTTGTTGTGCCCAATGGCCATGGATCTGATTTGCAGGTAGATGCAGGTACTCGGCTATGCGCAGTGCTAGAAGATATTCGCTACGGTTCGTGAGACGCTCAACGAGCTTTTCTGGAGTCATGCGACGGTACTGTTCGTAGCTGAGTGGTAGTCCAACTTCGTAGAAGCGGACAGCGTTCAACACACGTAGGGTATCGCATGTATCGACAAAGTCATCAGACGAGTACAAGTCCAGTACTGACTTTCCATACGAAGCAGCTTTCAATAGCGCCTTCTGCCAATGGATGTTGTACTCATGCGCGGCGGCCTTGATGCATGTATCCACTGCTTCTGCCAGGCTCGGTCGGATCAGCTGTATGAGGTCGTCCGCTTTCGGGCTTTTCTGCTCCAGGAGGGAAGACGCCTCTAGAAGGTTTGCAGCAGGCGAATCTGACCCCAGACGGAACACATCGACCGCTTCGTCTGGGACTTTTTGAATGAACTCGCATATGTCATTCGTCAAAAGCCTTATGCCATCGACGTCCGGCAACAGGTGCACCCAAGTATCGTAGTAAAACTTGGTCGCCGCACTTCTTGGCCCAATCAAATGTACCTCGTCCTCCCATGCCAGCGCAACAGCGTTCGATCCACACCATTCCATGTCTTTTGGTACAGTCTTTATCTTGCTGTCATATTCGCTCAGCTTTTCGCTCCAGTCACCGCTAACGACCCAAACCTTGCCATCCTCGGTGTAGAAGGCAAGGAATTCAGCACGCGGACTGACGCTGATATGTCTAAACGGACCAGCATCGAAGTTCCTATCCTCTGCTTCGGTCGCATCCACGACGTAGAGTGTGGCACCAATGGCAAGAATGACTTCGACGGAGCGCGAAAGCGAATAGGCAGGCGGTATTATGCTCCACGATATAACGGGATCGGTCGGCGGTATAGCGAGGAGCTTGGGGCGCGGTTCGGCGTACGAGGTAACGGAAATGAGGTGATTGTTCCCGAGAAGCGCAACGAAGCCGGTACCATAGAACTTGCAGGATACGACGCCAAATTCTTCTGCGCCATGACCGAGTGTAAAAGGCACGAAGTCGCCCTGGAGATCGTAGTAGCAGCGGACCGTGCCGTCTGATGTGATGACGAGCAGCTTCTCATCTTCAGACCAGCCTAGGCCTTTGATTGTGCCCTTGTCCCACTACATGCCGTCAGCTTGGATGCGGTCTTCGCCATGGTCCATGTGCAGGCATCGTACATTTATGCTCCGGATCAGCTTGCCCGCGCAGCTATAGATGTCGATGCTAGGCTTGGATGCGCCGGGACCCCTATAGGTATGCAGCTTCTCTTCATCGCGAAATATGGCTATTACAGTCAGTTTTCACTTATCCATAGACACGCGCAGTCAATAGCAGGCCAGCGGGACATACCTACCTACAGCACCGCTATACGGCGCCCCCACCACATTGTAGTTCTCGAGCTCAAGGTCCTGGTCAAATACAGCTTGGTAGAGCTGCACTTTTCGGTAAAACTTGTCGCCGACCTTCTCCCAGTTGGCTGTTGGCTTGGACATGGTTGGTCGCAGCTATCGCGGTAGCATTGCGCGAAGGTGTCGGGAGCCTGCGCGTTGGGGTCGAGTTCCAGTCGCGGTCATAACGTGTCTGTGCGCGTGATGCCCATAATCGCGTGCCGCACACCCCACCAATATCGCGACGACGGCAAAGTTGAGGCTGCGCAGCCACGTACAATAACTATTATCGCGAGATTTTCCGGTGTATTGATCTATAGACGTAGCTCTACAACTTTGTCTATCTATATTTTGCCGGAGTATTGACGGCCCGGCCGCGTCGGGTGGTTGTTGGTGGGGGAGCCGGTGCAGCCACCTCAGCCAGAGTACCACCGCCAGCACCACCCACGCGTCGTTTTTTTGGCTGTTGCTTTGCAGCGGGCTTTGAAGCCTTACGCTTGCCCGACTAGGGTTGTTGTATAGCCTTTGCAGCGTCGCGATCGCGTCGTTTGGCGTCAAGTTCGGCAGCCTTTACAGCCTTGGCTTCATCCCGCACCTTCTTTGCCTCCTCACGCGCCGCCCGCGCTGCCTCTTTGATCTTAAGTTGATAGATCCTGTTGTTCTCCTTTGCCTCTTTCAACTCTATCTTATCAAGTAGCTCTTTCTCCTTCTCCTTCTCCTTCACTAGCTGCCTAAAGCGGGCCTCTCGAAGCTTGCACGGCGACCACTAAACTGCCCCTGAATAGAACGCTTTTCGCTGCTGTAGATCTAGGGGAGGTTCGTGCCGATTGCGGGGCTTCTGGTGAACGTGTAGCGCCGCGCGCAGTGCGTCCTTCTCGTACTCGGCGATCTCTTTGGCAGCCTGGAGGCGGAGGAGTATTTCTGAGAGGTTGTTGGCCGCAATAGAGCTCGGATCGTAGGCCTGATTAATGAGGTTCGTGATAGTAGCTCTACTCACGTTCACTAGTGGCGGCGGTGCTGTTAGTGTTGACTTTCGGAACTTTTTAAGTACTACTTCGGGATCTATAGGAGCTATCCCAGTGGCTTTAAATGCCTTCAACGCGTGCTTCTTAATAAAAGAGGAGTCCTAGGCAGGCTTAAAAAGACGGTAGAAGTCATCCTTCCTCACAGCTAAGAGACCGTGGCTCGCCTGGAGGTAGTGCTGCAAGCTGAGTGAGTACGCGGCTGCTAGAGGTTTGAACATTACCACATCGAGTGGCTGCAGCGTATGGGTACTATGGGGGGGTAGTACGAGTAACATAATATTGTGGGCGATCGCGTAGTCAATAAACTCCATAGTAACGTGACTCCCATAGCCGTCAAGGATGAGTAAGCGTGTGTGATTGCCGGCCTTCTCCTTCGTATGGCGATCAAACACCTGTTCGAGCCATGCCAGGCCTACCTAATCATTGGTCCACCCTGAGGGACTTGAGGTAACGTAGACTAGATCGTCAATTGCGATATCATCAACCTATCTGGCGTACATGTTGCCCGAAGTAGCTTCGTATATAATCGCGGGCGGTAACGTACTCCTATTAGCACATATAGCAGCGATAACAGTGATCCAATCTCTGTTGCCGTCCTGTATCACTTTCTTAAAGCCCCCAGTCTCATATTTCTGCTTACTAAACACTCTCTTACTCCTCCCCGTTACTCTAATAAGGAATCCCTTCTTATCTATATTATATACATCCTGCGCCCGAATATAGTGCTGAGCCATTTTAGTAGATAGTAGATCAAAGTACGACTCGTACTTGTATACAGAATCAGCCTGGTGGCGATTGCGGTCCAAACCAGTTGACCAACGTGATATAATCGCGTCGGGATGACGGTGAAAGAAGCGCGTCACCTAGCTTTAGGAGGCAGCCCTTCCGGCTATAGCACTAGCAAAGTTCTAGATTATAGTCCTCGTCGGTGGTAAGCCAGCCTTAGTAAGCTCATTAATGTGCTCTAGAAGCTGTAGCTCCTAGTGTAGGTAAAGGAGTTGCTGATTACGTGATTTGGCTTCATTTGAGCCCCGGATCTGTTGATGGCGTCGCGACAACGTAGAGCGATCAACACCAAAGCGGCGCGCAACCTCAGAGTATGTAAATTTATCTCCGGGATCACGCGATTCAATAGCTTCAATCGCAGCGTTGATACAACTCATAGTTGTGGAGTTATGGGTGGTTGAAGTGGTAAGGGTGGATTGGTGTTGATGTTGCGGGGTGTGCGGCACGCGATTATGGGCATCACGCGCACAGACACGTTAGCTCTCAACATCCGCCGAGGCTGGGTCACCCATAACTATGCTGTACACAATCATACGCTATAAATGATAACAAAATGCTCTGCATTATTCGAATACTATATACTGCTACTAAACTATCCTTGCCCATCACTACGCCTTGTAGGAACAAAACGCCGTCGCTCATGCATTTGTAATCAATTTGTGCGCCGTAGAAGTCCGGTTCCTTCATCATTCTTAGCACAAGTCCCTCATCTCTCGTCTCTCGTCATATTCAAACACCGTTCCCAATGATTTCAGCAAGCCCTTCGCGAATTCCGAATCTCTCCACGTCACTGCCGACCTTCCTGCGGAACATGCCTAGATCCCTTAGGAAGTTCTCCGCCTCGTCCTGCAGCTCTTGTGCCAGCTCGTCATGGTCACCCTCGTCGTAACCAGAATCAGAGTCACCATCGCTAGCCTCACCGTCAGCAGGGGGAGCAACCAAGCCCTCTGTGCCCTCCCCTTCGCCAAGCCATGCATCGCTCTCAAAGTCCGGTGTGCCAAGTTCTCGTGGCGGAGGTAAGACGATGGGGTTCTTGAGTTCTCCAAGGGCAAGAGCGAGATGGCGACGCAATGTGTCGATCTCGGCGCGCAGAGTCACGTTGAGAGGGCGTAGCTCTTCGACTTCGGACGTGAGCGCCTTGATCTTTGCTGCCGAGACCTGTCGGTTCTCTTCCATGAGACGTTGCATGAGTGCGACCTGTCTCTGGTACTCGTCCAGCTCAGTAGCCTCTTCTCTCTTCCGTTGACTCGCGGCATTGACGCAGACCTGGAGACTCCGGATCTGCTCCGACATCTCGGCGATTTGGGCGTCTCGCTGTGCAGCTGACATACAGTCCTGGTTGACCAAGGCACGAGTGCGGATCCGCTTCGCTTGGTCGGCGTAGCGAAGAGTGGAGAGGGTCTCGTCGTAGTCGGCTGGCGCAATGCAGGCGACCATGGCTGTTTTACTGTTGCCGCCCAGAGAGTCTCTCAGCAGCCATGTCAAGACCGAGTCGCGGTATGGAACGACTTCGCGCGGCCGCCGTCCTTTGGCACCGTGTCGCCGTGGGTCCGCGAGTGCAGCGATGACGCGCCCAAGCGTAGTAAGAGACTTGTTGATTTGCCCACCTTCCTTCAGTCGAGCTCCAGTCGCCTCTGTGGATTTGGCACGTTCGGAACCAGCGAGATCGACGAGGCGCATGCGTGCTGTACGTTCGATGGTCTCGTCGGAGAGGAGGGAATGTGTAATCTGCTTGAGGCGAATTGTGAAGACGGCGTGGGAGCGGGACGATGTGTCGTTCATCTTAGTGGATGCCGTTGTTCGACTCTGCATAGTTGGTTAGTAAACCATTAGATTCGACACAGGACGAGATACTTACCATATCACCAACCTTCATCAAGCGCGCGACGTCAGCATAGCTCTTCACTTCGGCCTCAGTCAGACCCTGCACGTAGACACCGTCCCTTTGGCTCTCGCGGATCTTGAGGTAGATGGGCGGGTTCGTCCTTGGGGTGAGCAAGTCGCGGACGTGCTCGTTGTATACTTCAAAGTAGGAGACCTGGACGTGGTAATTGGTGTTGGGTGACGGTTCATGGGCGATCCTGTCGAACAGCTCCTCGCACGTTCGCGGAATCAAACCTGGATTGTCTGGTGTGCCCATCATGGTATAACTCTTGCCCGAGCCCGTCTGTCCGTACGCGAAGATACATGTGTGGTAACCGCTGAAGTTGTGGTCGAGGAACTCTTCGCCAAAGGAGCGGTAGACGTCTTCCTGGTGGGCATAGTGCGGGTCGCTCTCGTCATGCGACCAGTATGAGCGGTCAAAGGTGAACTCTTTGTCTTCGAGGACCCTGCGTCCGTTTCCCTCTTGCGGCGCATAGAGAGTTGTTTTCTGCGATGCTGGGTCCATACGGATAAGACATTTCGTTCCCTTTTCCTTTTCTGTAGTGGGTCAGTACGTGTCAATGCCAGTTAGCCTGCTGCAGACGTACCTCTGGGTACAAAAGCTCTGCATCGGACCACGACCTTCACGTTGCCCGGGTCGTCGTTTGTTGGGGTTAATGGAGCCATGGCAGGACGATGGTTTTCCGAAGCGCGCATGGAAGGCGCAGAAGCGGTCGTGTGTAGTGGATACATTCTTTCGTCCAAAATAGCTTCTAGGAGGTGGTAGCAATAGTCCAAGCTATGTTTCGACCAGGTTGTCTGTAGAAGGTGCATAGACGGTGTAGAGTGGGTGCACGCACTGCACCTGCCATGACTCGCGGGCCAATGTTTGGGCGCTGTCAACACTCCGTTGCCGTGAGCGATAACACGTCACTGCTTGGCCCCCACACCCCGCGCGCAACCACAGCGCAACGCGACGGCATCAACCTTGGACAATAGCTCTGACGGCTCGTTATAAATAACTGTAATCAAGAGAAGAATACGAAGCAGAGTAAAGACTGCCGGAAGAGTTGCGTTCCGGTGAAGCACATACCTGCGCATTCCTCAGTCTTTACCGCCTGTTCCTCATCAAAAAAGGAATGCAAGCTTCCTGTACTGCCCAAAAGCAAGCGCACTTCAGTACGAACAGCTGCGAGATTCCCCTTCAGCGCGGTGATCTTCATGTTGAGAATGCCACCTCATTCGTGCAGAAGGTCTACATGCACGACATAGAACAGGGCGAGGGTTGAGAAAAAGAATCTCGGAAGGCGTAAATAACAACGGGACCCTGCAGGGTCAGCCGTCATTACTACTGCGTGTATGTCGCCCTGTACCTTGTACCTAGGTCTGCTCTCCTATCGAACTGTTGTTCTGTCGAGTGTGCGGATTGCATGCGCGACTGAAAATTTCGACCCTAAGCCGCCCGCAATATGACTGGTTCTCCTCGCAACACACATCATTTTCCCACCGTGAACATACTCCCACCAAGATCATGGCCCACCACCATTGATTTGCATTGATACCCGTAGCCACGCGGCACGGATAATCCAGGGGAAGCGAAACGACGACGAGGTCATTGCGTGCATTAGGCCTACACTATACGTCATCCAACGTCCGGGGCTCAACACTTGGGAGACAGCACTCCCTATTCGCTTGTCATGGCAACACCTACTATACTGAGTTTCCTGGATCAGCACACCAGAAATGCAGCGTTTGACGCCAGTCTCGCGAAGCTCAAAACGACGCTGCATGGCATCGACATCGACACACTTGACATTTGTGTCCAACTATTACCAGCACAAACTCCTGATGACTCCCAGGCTGGGCGTATGTCACACTATGAAGAGCTATGGGATGTTGTTTTGGAACGTCTAGTCAATGAGGCGACTGCTGAGCGGCTCTATGAGATTGCCGAGACATGTCTCAGTCGTGGACCATACGCGGTTGAGCAACTCAAAACCAAATTTGAGCGTCATCTTTCGAGCATGGCCCAAGAGCTTCCGTCCGAAGAAAGCCAGAGCTTTCATACCATCAAAGCGTATCTTGGTTTTCTCAAATGCTCCTTCTGGCTGCCCACTGGACATCATCACATGGCTAATCCCAGGATTCTCCGCCTTCTCTCAAGCTTCCTCACCGTCTACGGGTTAGAAGACGTTGCGCATGACGCATTGTCCGCTTTCTTTTCATTGTTAAAGAACAACGGAGAGGATACAGCCACACGATCCGAGACGATTGACAAGCTATCCCTCTGGGACCAGCTCAATGCTCTTGACGTGAAGTGGTTTGCTGCCAGGTCTAGCAAGATCTACAGGACATGGTTTCAATGGGTTTCCCTGGCCGCTTCCAATGGCCTTCAACTGAAATGTGTCGAAAATGAACAATACTGGAGGAAGCTACGACTGGGTCTGGTGAAGGGCCATGCGGATCAACGCAAATACTGTCTTGGAATTATCAGGCATTCATTCCTTGTCACGCCCAATCTTATCGACACGCCTTCAATGCAGTACGCTGCTAGTGATGTTGATCGGGAGAACTACGAGCTTTACTCAACACTATTTGAGACGATCGTGTTGCATCGCTATACGGGACAAGTGGAAGACTCACTCCCGACTATGACCAAACTGCTCGGATCATCCTCGGATATGGTTCCTTCCCGAATTACTGCTGCGATGACGACCACTTTGCTCACTGCAGCGCTTGACCCCTTGATCCAGGAGAGTATTCGAAAGATGGTTGGCCGTTGGTATATGGATTTTGTCATCGAAGTAAGTAAACATTAGTATCATTTTCGCTCCTCACTCTCGCTTTGGTTTCGAAGTATGCAATTCTGCGCCTACCAATCCCTCATATTAATGAACAAACACTCTTTGCAACATCGCAATTCCATATGCTGACCCTATAACTAGCGTCGTGGCGACATCAGCGGTCACATCCACTTTTTTTTCGACGGATTTCTTCCTTGGGCAACAGAAGGCAGCCTTTTCACATCCAGTCTCACTAGCACACGAATAACAACTGCGTGCAGCCATGGCGATGCACTTGCTGCCGTCGTAGCACGCTTCGCATCTGACACTCAAGACACACCGTCTTTTGTTCCCTCAGTCGAACTCGATGTACAGGAAGTCGGTGTAGACAATCGCGATGGTCGCGCAATCATACTAGGTGTCGTTCGATACATCATGAATGCCCGGGGCAGATTGTTCCAGCCGGCAATCATGTACCTGCTACATGGGCTCATAGAAGGGTTAAAAGCACGGACCGCTGCTTCGCCGTTTCATCACAAGTTGGAACCCTCTGAACTCTCCGAAATCTTAAGTCTTGCACGAATTACTGGTCTGCCTGAGGTTGCTAGCGATCTCCATAGTATCTATTGCCGAAAGATCTGCGATCTTATTGACCCTGACCTGAAATCACTGCACTTACCGACCGACGAATCTTTACGAGCCCGATGTCGAAAGCTGGAAGAGTCCGTAGACCAGTCCACTTCAACTGCAAGTCTTGCTACGAATGGAAGTGGGAGGTTATCGTTGCAGTCCTTCTTGAATGACCTGCATGAGTCGAAACACACCTGTATTCAAGGCCCCGCTTTCGCACCAGCCTGTAAAAGCTTAATCGAGCTGCTTGATCACACTGAAGTCACTGTGGCTGATTCAGGTGATCTGCATTCCATTTTGGCAGCGCTTTGGGAGGAGGCTGAGATACGCGATTTTATTCGACCGTTCGCTGTTCACTTACCAGCGTTACTATTCCACCCAAAATGCATAAAAACATGCGTCGAAAGTAAATCGGGACAAGAAGACGCATCGGGGCTAGATTTGATCAATCTTCTTACTAAGGCGATGTCTCGTCTTACGAAGTTATCGAAAGGCCGATCCTATGTGCTTGCCACACTTGCGAAATCGCTACGCAGAGCTGCGTTTGCGAATCCGTCTATAATCTCCATACTTCCTTTCGGAGACTACATTATTGATTTCGTCAACGAGCCTGCTACTATCCGATCCGAGTTCCTGTTTGAAGTCGCGGCTGCAGAAAAACTCCACCAATTCCTACCACACAGATCATACACGTCATACTACGGACTGCGCGAATGGCACGCCTACGCAGCCATCATGGACCTCCTACGGCGTTTTCCAGGCCAACAGCTGGGTGCCGCTCGGAGCATTTTTGACCGCCTCCTACAGCCTTGGAAGGACCAACAACCACCAGTCGCGGTCAAAAGTCCATGGAAAAAGACTTTGCAGTTGCAAGTCATATTAATGTTGAGTCAATACTGCATTGCAGAATCTGATGCAGATGCATATATTGACAGTCTTACACACGCTCTAACATTAGAATCATGGCCGCGATATCGCTACTTGCTTGAATGGACCCTGGCCCGCATTTATCGCCATTTCCCGGGAAAGTCTTCTAGGATCGTAGAGGAACTGGGGAACCTAGACGAATACAGTCCCATACATGTCGCTAGCCTGATCAAGCTTGGCCTCCTAGTGGCACCATATGAGTCCGAGGACTTTGTTGCCAAGCTTGTAACACAGCTAAACTCATACTCCGCTAGCCCAAAGGTCCAGATTCGCCACGAAGCAAACTTTGCTTTCCCACTGGTTTTCGACTTGGCGGAAGCAAAAGGTTGGAGAAGCGTTAGCGAGAACCCTGCGTTCAGGGCTATGAACGCCTTCATTCGACGACTGGACAAGTTCAGTGCTTCTCCTTGGACGATTAGGACCCTCAAAGTCGACATAGAACGAGATTTTACGCTAGTGGGAATCTTTCAGGGACAATATCTGTCCATTGAATCGCCAGAGGATGATTTATTTACGTACGAGGACTTCAAGATGCTGGAAACGAGCGATGAACCGGCTGGAGTTGACTGCCCGCCGGCACGCATTGAACTAGGTGCAGCTCCGGCAGTGGACACCGTCCCTCTCAAAGCAGTCGATCAGACTCCTGTAGTGTCCATTGCCGACCAAACTATCCAAACCACGCTACAAACCAAAGCTGGCATTGACCTTGATAATCTCCATCCACAAAACGGCCCACCGAGTATGCAGAACCAACGACCCGCGTCTGTCATGATGATTGCATCTTTGATTGATAATCCGACGAACCTTGGTGGTCTATCACGTATCTCCGAGTCGTTTGGTCTCGAGGCTTTATACATTGACAATCTTAAGAAGGCAGCACACAAGGACTTCAAAGCTACAAGCGTGAGATCCGAGAAGCATTTAGCTATCCGAGAGTTGAAGGAGGTAGGTGTACCGGCATTCTTGTTGGACGCAAAGAGCAAGGGATACGAGGTTGTAGGTATTGAGCAGACCGACCGTAGCGGAATCTTGGGCCATGAGGATAGCAGTGACCAAAAGGAGATTTTGACCGGGGATAAGAGTGCGGGTGGGCAAAGTACTCACGTGATTAGAAGCCAAGATATAGGCACTCTTCCAAAGAAATGTTGCCTGGTTCTTGGCAGTGAGAAAGAGGGCATCTCCGCGGAGGTGCTGGCGGTAATTGATCGTAACGTCGAGATCAAGACCGTGGGTGTGACGAGGAGTCTCAGTAAGTGCTTGATGTTTCATTTTTCATTACAATTCGTACACTGACTGTGGTGTCTACAGACGTGCAAACAGCAGGCGGTATAGCTCTATATGAGTGGTGGAGAGAGTGGGGCGGGAAGAATTAGCGGAGATTCGGGTAGCTGAGCCCGGAGAACGTGGAGGCGGGCATTGACGTTTGATTCAATAGGTTACTGTGAGATCTATATCACAATCGCTTCTTCAACGGCCTGTTCTTTCGTGAAGAGATCCTCAGGCACACGAACACTGCCGAGGATTCCAAGGCTGGGCACTCAGAGAAGCATGCCAAGCGCCATGGCGGGGGATGTGGCACGCAGGGAATCGCTATTCTAGTTGCCGAGTTCCCGGATGGATGATATGCCGTCGCAGATATCAAGATGAAGGCGTCGTTGCCGTGCTGCCAAGATAGATCTTTGCATCAACCTTGGATGTCAGCGTATACCCGTCAATGCCCCAACCCTGGATTGCAATTGTCTTTTGACGATGTAGCTGTATACGAGCGAACGATGTTCGCAGCGGCCGCTCCCGAGTGTTGAGGGCAGCACGCACCCGGATGGCATGAATACCTGACATACTAGTGTACAGAGGTCACCTGTAGGTGCTTACTCACACGTCAAGTCAACTATTTCAAGTCACCCAGGTGCACGTGTGATAGCCCAGAGAGCGGCTGAGGCGCGGTGGATCTAGACGCGGGATACCCCGCGTTAGTGTGCATTTTCAAACTCTTCAAACAGGTCATTTCCTTTGACCTGCGCCATGTAGAAGCGTCAGAGAAGAGAGTTCGTAGGAGACGGTGGCGGTGCTGGTGGTACCTGGCCAAGGCGCCAATCGTCGCCAGTCAGGTATCGTCTGATGCAAGCGACGCCCCACCTACCCGGCCAAGCATCGTGAAACCGGCGTCAAACTGACCATCTGCCCACGACATCGCATTGCCCCTACATTGTACCAAGGTTGCCCAGAAATGCCCAGCCATTATTCGTTCCTATTGCACCTGAGGGTTTCAATCAAGCAATACTTGTTCCCGCTCAAGCCTTAGGAGCTGTGCACAGAAGCTCCGACAAGCATCCTGGCGCCGCAGCATCGAACGCCAAGATGGAGCTGTCACGAGTGCTGAAACGATGTCTCCGTATTGATGGCGTGGAGAGTTGAGGATATAACGGCGTCGCTACCCACAACAAGCAAAGATGGAACCAGATTATCTACTGAAAATGCCTTTCATGAACACCAAAGGTGCAACAACGCTCGGTCACACTTTCCGGAACTTTGACCAGACCATCATCACAATCAAAGTCGGCTCCAAAGACTACCCCGAGTCTTTCAGCTGCCATCGCGAACTCCTGCGAAGATGTTCTCCATACTTCAACACGTGCTTGGAGGAGAAGACCGAGTCGCCCTACAAGAGCTCAGCCACGACGCTTGAGCTAGAAGACACCCACCCCGATGTTTTCGACGCGTTCATGGTAAGAGAGTTCGGCACAGTGGGTGTGAGAGACGCGTACTAACTTTTGACCCTACAGCTCTGGTTGTACACTGGCTTCATCCCGCACCATCTCATTGAAGGCGGAAAGGAGATCCATCCCCCGACGCATGCCATCAGCGTGCAGGGAGAGGATTCCTCCAGTCACACCGATGGTACCGACACAGAGGACGTTGACACTACATCATGGGGCCTGGGTCTGGACAACGACGACGCTCCAGCTGAAGCAACACCAGCCCCTGTCGAAGCAGAGAGCACCCCCGCGCCAGCTATCGCGGAGAAGGTACCTGGCGACGTTCCAGAACCCGAGAAGGCTGCTCCGGTACCACCGCCTCGCAACCCAGCCGAGAAGCATGAGGCGCCGAAAGAGACGCTATGCCCATGTTGCTCAAGGCCATACAAATGGAGGGGCTTGGAAGGTTTCCTGGAGCGCCGCTTCATCTCGCTCTACGTCTTCGCTCACCGCTACGCCATAACCAGGTTACGTCGCGCCGTCTTGCTAGCATGGCAAACAAACGACGAGATTCTACAAGTCATGCCCGACCACAGCAATGTCATCGCCGCTTACGAGAGCCTTCCTCCGGATGCGCCCCTCTGCCGATACTTCCTCGACATGTACTCCGTGTACTGGAACCCCGATCGCGACGACGAGCGCACCATCGCGTTGCGAAGTCAGCTCCCACAAGCCTTCCTATTCGAGTTAGCCACCGTACTAGCGCGAGGTGAGCGACCCAAAATTGAGAAGGAGTGGTGCGAGTTCCACGAGCACGAGAACGAGGAGGACAGGAAAGCTTGTCTCGATGAGATGTCCAAGGACCCAGTTGCTAGCAAGGCGCTGCGACGGATCAAGGACAGCAAGGGCTGGAAGGGCCTGGTGCTCAAGAAGGGCAAGAGATGACGAAATCATGACAACTGGTCAGGTATATCTCATAATTGGTAGTTTTGGCGTTTGCGGCTATGTAGTATCTTTTCTTTTCCTTTTCGGTCAAGCAATGAGACCTATTCTCTCTTCCTCTATATACTCGCACCTGCAATTGACGTGTCTCAAGCGTGACTGATAATAACTCGCCAAGCTGCTAACTACCCCGATCAAAAGGTTGTAGTCGAGGGAGAGAACGTGGCATCTCGCAAGGTACAACTCAGTATTCCCTCCTAGTGCAAGAAGCAAATGAACCATGGACCGTGCACGCTGCTGTCGTCCCTGTGCTCTGTTTAACAAAGCTCCCTTAGCTCCAGCAAGACTCGACCAAATATTACAAATAACCCCTTTGCGCTTTCCCCTGTTACCTACCATTCAAGCCACTCTTCTCCTGAGCCGGCATATGAAACACTTGTAACATGCGTGATGAGATTGGCGGAAGGGGCCGGGGTTTTTACGGAGTTGGGTCCGGTATTGGGGCTGCGTTTTTATGGGGTCTGATGTTTTTGAGACTGGAGAGGTGGTGGTGAGGAGTATGGAGGGGTGTTGGTTTGTGCTGGTGTATTATTTATGGGTTAATTGAGTTGGGATGCTATGTTGTTTGATGGTTTGAGTAGGTTTGAGATACTAGATACTGTGGTTGAATGGGGTTGGAACATCCCGCACTTTCGCTTACGAGGAAGGAGGACTCAGGGGTAACTGGTATTGGGGACATATAGTCATAGCATTCGACATGGACAATTTCAAGATGTATTTTTATGGAGTTCTACTCGTCGCTAGGCTCGTCGATTATCTGTGTAATCCTGGGTTGCTTGGTGCTGTACAACTCCACATCAGAGGGATCACGGTTTTCCATCTCAACACTACCACCAGTACACGTAAGATGTATAGCCATATAAGCCACGCGTTTGAAAATCCTAGGATCGTCCTCATCTTCAGAATCTTCGATACGAGGCCGCTTTTTGTTGGCCGGGGCAACAGGCTCTCTAAGTCGTGTTATAGCTGCTCCCAAGCCGCTTGTATATGACAGAATCTCATCACAACGAACCACATAAAACTGAAACCATTCTAGGCACTTCTTGCAGAGCAATGGATCTTCCGTGTAGGCTCCTACAACAGTTTCGCAGTATGGGCACTTGATGCCTATTTCGTAATCCGGTTCCCATTTTACACTGTCTTTCAGTCGGTAACGGACTCCCATTTCGATATTCTTGCCTGGCAGAAACACACTCTGAAATGGCCATGTTCTATTCATGTAATCTCCAGTGCTTGGATCCATCACGTCGTAATGGCGCCGCTTTATCTTATTATATATAACCCTGGCATATCCTGGAATCGGGACTCGAGTACGGCGTGAAAAACATCCCAGGACGTAATGAATTGCAGGTGAACAGGCGATATGCGACCAAGAGGGTCTTCTAGTATAGCCGGCTCCTCGATAAGTCCTCGCACCATTGGACTTGGAAGTGCGGCCTGTAGACGGTTTATTGCCTGGTATGTTGCAAAGTTAATGGCTGCTACGCCGCACATCAACTCTTGAGCTCAGAGCCCAGTTGGCGGAGCCACTTCAGCCTGAGTGCTTCGATAAACTTTCCCAAGACCGAATTGCCTGCTTCTATGTTTTGATTCGCGAGTTCGATGCGGTATTTGATGCTTTCTAGGGTTGCGTCCTGTGCGGAATTGGCTGTGTCGTTGATGCGCTTTGCTTCATCGAACTTGTCGTCCATCTCTTTGCGATTGACATCAAGCAAGGTACTACAGAGTATTAATTTCGATCAATGTTACTTAGAAATTCTATGACTTACATGCTAGCAGTAACCAACAGCATCTGTAAACTGGAACTAGTCCCCGCAATCTCCACACGAAACTGTTCAAGTGCTTCCTTCTCCCCAATTCGCTAACGTATGCCCATTGCCGCCTCTATAAGCTTTTTGCCATCTCAATCAAAAGCAGTTTTGTACTTTCGGATGCGGGCTAGAAAGTCACTAATCAGACGCACACATCTGCTTACGGCCTGGTTTGCCGTCTCCCATAGACTCCGCAGCTCGGGCGTGGCTTCACTACCATGCTGTTTAGTGATCAGTTCAATTTCAAGAAGAACGCGTTCCAGTATCCAGAGGTCCCGTATCGCGGCCTGGTATTCTGCTTTGGAGCCACGGGCTTTGTCAAGCGCTGTGACGAGGTCCTTCACCAGCAAACAAACTGAGATGATATCGCCGACGGAACCAAAAGTAACGGACATTTCCAAGGTCGAAACTTGTTTCAGGTGTGTTGGAGCTTCTTGAGAAGGTAGATGATGTATCGATGCCCGAGGCTGTGTCCGACCCCGCCTGCGTGGTACGGCACAGTACAGGCGGGCTGAGCTGCTAAGCCTCTCTACGGCACAGCAGTGCATGCATAGCATGTCTTGTAACTCTACCATAGGTCTACACGTATCAGATAGACATCTCCATGGAAGAGAGCATGAATCGCTTACCGCTTAGGAAGAACCAAGGGACAGTTGAATATCCAGCCCCATCCGCCACCGCCACGCACGCGTTCGCAAAGAGCACTTCGGAACCAAGATCTTGATTATCAGCCACACATCGTTCCCAAATTTAGCACAGATGATGTCTCGATGAGCCATAGCATGACTCAAAGCCCCTATTTGCTATTCTTAACAGCCATTCTTGAGTTGTCCCCACATGGCACAAAAGGGAGAAGGGTCTCTACAAAAACATGCTGCATGTAGTCATCCGCATCAAATCACGTCACTGCCAAATCTAAAGAAGTTGCATCAACGGCGTGGAATCGCTATTTGGATCCAAGAGAAAGAAACAGCCTTCTCAGCATTTGAATCATTGCCCATAGTCGACGCCTGTCCGATTAGACGAGTGCGGCCGTAATTCTTCCCGTGATCAAAATTCTAGGAACCGAATGCAGCAATTAGCCCGGTTTCATCGTAGCCATCGACTGTAAAGTAAATTTCTCCTATCTCGTTCTCCCTGGAGTCGTAGTACCTAGTCGGCCTTCTCCACAATGTCTGTCCTCGTAGCAACTCAAGAATATATAATGCCAGCAGTTTAGACTTGAGTGGGAGAGGATAGTCTTTCTTGACAATCCGGCAGATCTTGTTAGAACAGATGAGATGTCTATTTACAGGATGAGAAAGGAAAGATAGGGTCCAATGAAACATTCTCTCTTGTATCGAGGGATGATTGAATAACGATGGCGTCTCAAGATTGATCCGTATCCTGATGGTCTTCAAGCCCGGCCAACATTGCCGCATAATCGATGAGATTAATCAGAGGGCTAGCGTTATTTGTAGGCGGATCACCAAAACGTCCAGACATCCCCAAGGCTCTTCCGAGTCGCATGTGGTAGGTGTTATAGACGGAGCCATCAGGAAAGTCGCGGATGTTTATATCGATCATGTTGGTGACCGTGTTTGGACGGAACATACGACATTACCATGTAGTCCAAAGCTTAACAGTATCTTTGCTGATATCTTCTGTCGGTATGATATCGTTTGTCATCATAACATCAAGAGTATTTGGCGACGGCGACTTGTGCCGACGGATGCCACTTTTCGTGTCCATGTACAACCGCTGGTTCGTTAAGAGTAGCGAAGTGATGTTGTCGTTTGTGCGCACCATGGGCACTACGCGCAAGCCGTACGCCTCCAAGCGGCGGTTTTGATCGTCGGAAGGATGAGGTCTTGTGGCGGCTGTTCATTTCCGAACACGACGTACTCGATAATAGCATCGCAAATTTGGGTAGGAGGATTGACAGTAGGTTAGATTTGGCGGCCCTGACTTCCTCTGCCTTCTTTTCGGCGCTTCTGCGATGCCTTCTCGCACGTTCTCTCTCAGCACGTCGCTGTCTCTGTCCTTGAGTCAACATAATGAAAAAGACCGCAAAGACGCAGTAGATGAGATGCAGGAGCGATGAGGGGATAGTTGATGCTGGAGCTACCCGGACGAATTATCCCGTATCCAGTTAGCCGGTCGACCTGCTCATCTCCTCTTGCTGCCATCCATCTTCAATCGATTTTGCCCCTGTTTCCATGTATCCAAGACGACAACTGATGTATTGCGAGCTGCAAGGACTTCACTGAAGTATTTCGCATTTCGCGAGTAGACCACAAAAGTAGCAAGAGGCAATACATTCAACTATCGCAATGCAAGAACATTATCTAAGCCTAACTACTTGTGTATAAGGACCAGTGATTATTTGGACTATGATTGCGGCGAAAGGCAACATCTCTAATAATACAAATAAATTCTTTAAGCTTTGTTACGCTTTGTTACGAGTAACATGCCGAGCAAGCGTAGTCGGTATACTGTCTATATGAGTGCGCTTCTTGACCTGCTATCATCTCACTTTCTTCAAAGCGCTACATGAACAGTGCAGAAGAGTACAATGTTCGATTCAAATCTTTCAGAGATACTGTCGTCACCCAAGAAACAAAGAAGCCGACACAATGGGATCAGATTCAAAGAGGCCATTGTCCGAAACCTCGTGAAGTCCTACGAATGTCTTAACAGTGAGAATAAACGGCCCTGAAGGGTACGAAATGTAAGAGGACTCAAGTTGATCGGTTTTATTGTTTTAGGTACAGTGCCATCTCGACAGTGTTTTCAGTTGGGATGACAATGCGACTTTTCATACACTCACATTCGCTTTCAGCAAATATTGTACAATTCACTCGCACCCTTATCTTAGTTACCATTCGTCCAAAGTCATTGGCGTGGCATTGATAGTCGTGTGCTTATTCTTAAATCCCCTGTGGCCCTAACCTATGCATATCTTATTACAACACTTGGTATACATTACCATATACTACTATGAACCGCAAAATTAACACTAAGTTTAACTTTAATTACAACTATACATTCGATGGCACCCACATCATCTAAGCGAAAAGCCGGCAATGAGCTTGGCTCATCACCACCGGCAAAGCGACGACAACTCAAGGAGACGAAATCAACCCAATCCGTGTCGCATCAATCATCTTCAACATCTCGAACCCCTTCCCTTACCCCACCCCGCCCCTCATCCGCCTCGCTGGACGAGGGAGATGTTGAGGAGCCTGATGAACTTCTATACCGCATACAATCCGGAATTGAGTATATCGCCCAGCAGCGCCGTCGTGGTGAGGCCATCGAGCAAACCACACGCTTCGAGATCAACCTTGGTGGGGCATTCTCCCAGGCTGCCTTGGACCTTCTCCGGCGCCATGCCACACTCATCTACTCATCTCGACGCTTTGAAGTCTTTGAGCTGGGTGTACCTCGACCTAATTGGGTCAAGGAGGGCGGCGTGCCCGGCGTTCATGATACTCAGTGGTGGATTGGCAAGACAGCGGCCCATATCAAAGCTGGCCCATTTGCAGAGGAGCAGGACGTGAAGAAGGCTGCAGCCAACTTGAAGGGGATGCAGACAAGGATGAATAAAAAGAAGGAAATGACAGCCCGTGAAAGAGAAGTGGATGAGAAATTAACGGAAGGGGTAAGGAGGCAAGAAGCGGGGCTGAAGATGAGGGAGAGTGATGACAGTGAGGATAGCGATGACAGTACGGAGAATGACGACAGTACGGAGAATGACGACAGTACGGAGAATGACGACAGTACGGAGAATGACGACAGTACGGGGAGCGATGAGGAGGAGAAAGAGGATCCGAAAGGTCAGCCAACTGCTGCTCCAAGGAATTGGAGATGGAGACCGATAGTTGAGGATAGTGAGGAGAGCGATAAGGAGGAGAAGGAGGAGGAGAAGGAGGAGGAGAAGGAGGAGGAGAAGGAGGAGGAGAAGGAGGAGGAGGAGGAGAAGGAGGAGGAGAAGGAGGAGGAGGAGGAGGAGGAGGAGGAGGAGGAGGAGGAGGAGGAGGAGGAGGAGGAGAAGGAAGATGACCAGAGAGTTCAGCCAACCGCGGTTCCAAGGGGAAGGAGGTGGAGGCCGGTGGTTGAGGACAGTGAGGATGAAGATGAGAACCAGCAAGATCGTCCGATCACTGCTCCAAAGCGGAGGAGACAGAGGCCGGTGGTTAAGAATAGTGAGGATGAGGATCAACAAGATCGTCCGATCGCTGCTCCAAAGAGGCGGAGGTGGATGCCAGTGGTTGAGGACAGTGAGGATGAGATGTGAGGAACATCTCCTTTGTTATTGGGATTCAGGGCATATAATAACACAGTGCCTTCAACCCAAATGTAGTGTCATTCTAGTATTCATGGTTGTAATGCAAACTCTTCTTGAAAATAATACACGTGCCACACCAGACCCCAAAATGCCAGCATAATTCTTAGTCAACATCACCATGCAGAAGCAGCGACCAGAAATCAAGAGATGCAAAGTTGAATGAAAACAATAGTATTCAGGGATACCGAAGACTATAACCTAGTAGTATCTACAAAAGGGCAGCTCGGCTGCAAAAGAAATAAGGTATATATACCACAAAGAAAGGAGCGTAGAAAAGCTCGTCTTCAACCATCTAACACCCTCATTTTAGACTCCTCCATTTGAGTTATCTCGGCGTTTGGCGCACAAGACCTAAAGTAACTGTATCTACGCCTTGAGGATAGCGTTGCGGAAAGCACGGCGACCGCGCTTGTTCTTTCCACCTTTGCAGTTCTCGCTGTTGTGCACAGGAGGAAGCTGGGTAGGGTCGTTGGAAATAGGGGAAGGAGAGGCAGTGGCAGTGGCAGCAGGTGCGGCGGGCTCGGGCTCGGCAACAGAAGACGAAGTCGGGTTGGTAGCCTCCTCAGCAGGGGAGGTGGAGTTGCCGTCATTGCCATTGTTGCCGCCAGTCCAGGGGCGGGGACCGGGGAAAGTGTAGTCCTTCATTCCGCCCCAGACGCTGAAGTTGAATTCCGGGTCATCCTTCTTGTATGCGCCGGGGAACTTGTAGGTGGGACCAGGGGTGCCGCTACCACCACCGGTAACCTTGACTTGCAGACATCTTTGTAACGTTAGCTTTTGTATTAAAATTGCCGGTGAGAGAAAGCACTTACCCGTAGTAGAACTCAGCCTGACCATCGTGGGCACCGTGGAGACCAACGTGCTCCGAACGGATCAGGTACTCGCCGTCAGGTGTGCCGGCCGGGATAGTGAACTCAACCCTGTCCTTGTCCCAGGTGCACCAGGCGGGGCCCTTGATGTCCTTGCTCTTGTCGCAGATGCCCTCCTCGTGGATCTTGAACCACTCACCATCGCCCTCGTAGTCTTGTACACTGCCAGGAGCCTTGGACATGTGGGCAAAACACGGACCAGGATGCTTCATAGTAGCTTGAACGCCGAGACCCATAGCCACCTTGGTGCCAGCTTTGACCTCAAGGACTTTGGTGTTCTTAGCGCTCTTGAAAGCGCCCAAGTTGCAGCGGAAGTCGGGGTCATCAGGGGTCAGGTTGTCGAAGGAGTTCTTCCATTTGGTCGGCATGTACGAGATGGAGCGGGTGTTCTTGCGGATGTACTCGAGGGGCTCGCCAATTTGCTCGCCATTGACAAAGGTTTTGTCAAAGAAGTAATGAGCAGAGGCGACCTGAGAGAGGGCGGCGGCGGCAAGGACGGAGAACTTCATCTTGTACTGAAGGTTGTGTTTGATGTTGATTTGAAAGATAAAACGAGAGTATGTAGTAGGACTAGCCTGTGGAAATGAATGTAGTAGCGAAAGACTGAAAAGTTGATGAGAAGCGAAAGACTGTGGCAGATGTGCTGATGAACTTTCAATCTGCGTTCTGTATCGCTCCTTATGTATCTCAGCCTTGGTGCCATTTTCGGTCCGTCACCAGAGTTGCTAACTGTTTCCAGTGCCCAGATTGTTTCTCTGGGTCCGCCCCTTGGAGACCCGTGCCGCTGTCATTACCATGCATAGAGCGGCTTGCGTCTCTTGTTTCCTCACACTGCCACATGAGGCCATCTTCTCTTGGCTTTGATCTAAAAATCTTATGTCCCGCTTAGCTGTGACGAAGCGAGATGAGCAAACGAACCCGGACAGGTGTTGCAGTGGGATTCCTTGCCCGTATCGCCCGTTTCACGGAACGAACAAAGCGCGGTGGCGTAGGTTGCACCTACAGATGCGCAAGGCTGTCCATGTTTCAACCCATTTACCTAGCGGTCGGAAGCTTGGCGTTCGGAGGTTGGTCCCATCGCAAACACGCAGGTACCATGGCGGGAAGCTGCTGTGCCAGGTACCCGCGGACGCGGTGAAGTAGATCCTCCAATGAGCTTTGCCTATGCGTTATTGCGAGATGCCAATTTGCAGAAGTGCTGATGAATTCATGTTGGGCGGAGCGTACTGGCCTGGAGGCGGACTCATGGGACGGCGTCTAGCGCCAAGATCATGTCCAGATCGCATGAAGATGCAGAGGCAATGACGGTGTTGTTTGCTCATCTACCTACTCTATGCTTGACATTCCATGACCGACTAGAACAGGCGGGCCCCACTTGCCGAAAAGGGACCGTCAGCCTGAATTCATGAACGCGACCCGTTACTTCTTCCAAACGTCCGAACGTCGTTCTACTGCCTATCATCTAACTAACGCTTGATACGTGCGCACCCACTACTACCAACACCGTGGTGAACGACCTGGCGGATCCGCATGCACGTAAACGGGCTCGACGGACAAAGATGACGTCTTGGCAAGCAGCTCCGCTTCCCCTGTAATTTAGATGGCCATCTTGCATGGAAAACCAGTCGTGATGCGCCCACAGTGCAATCTGTTGTGGGGTACCCGCCCTGTAGCGTGTTTCTCAACACGCCCAGGCCAGTGTCTTGTTTCGAAATAGAATGTTTCGTCTCAAGACGTTACCAGACATGGCTTAGCGTCCGGGTAGCCCATGAAATGCCAAGGTGTGGATGATGGAACAAAATAGTCTCCGAGGTTGTCATAAAGTGGTAAATGCTTTGGTCACGACAGGTAGTTCGATAGCGGAGCCCTTGGAAGTGGCGTACAGAGCCTCATACTCTCAAACCAGGAAAAGTGGACTCGTATAGGTACCCAGGCACCCTTTATTGGCCACCTAGTGTCTCAATGCATGTTCATTGATGTATGGATAGAGATCTAGGTTCCGGTAACTTGAAATTTCCGCCCAGATACGAGGAAATTCGACACACGAGCATGCTCAAGAAAAGCCACCATGGAAGTGTAGCGAGATCAATACTGGGCATGGTACGATGCCAGCCTGCTTGATATATTCCTGGATCCGATCCGATCCGAAACCGAATTCTTACCTTTGTCATCTCCCTGCCTTTAAGAGGCCCTGCAAGTTCCGACAGTGTGCCGAACGCGTCCTGTGTGCAACTTCAACAATTCCTGTCAATCCGCCGCTCTCGCCGGAGGCTTGATCGATTCAGGAGATGAAGTTTTTTTTGAATCTTCCTCCACGGCCTTGAAGAAGCTCCAATAAGCATGTTGTGCCTAATATCCAGTCTTTACGCAGTTTATGCAGGCAACAAACGGTCCTACTACATAGCAATCATGTCTGTGCTAGCAATGCTCGTATTACTTGCCCTCTGGGTTATGACCGGAACTATGGATTCTATCAATATCGCAACACAGCACCATGGCATTTGGAGGGCCGCATTCGGTCCCGATGAGGCCTAAGGCGATTTATATAGGCGAGGGCATCTGTGTCGCAATCTACTAATTTACAACTGCTTGCATAACTGTTAAGCAGTACAGATAAGTCCCCTGATAGACCCACAGAGTCGCGAGCAAAGCCAGGCGATCGGCTAATCGGCTAGCTGTCTCTAAAATTAGTGACTTGAAGTCGAAGTAGTCATTACAATCTCAGGAGAAAGAGTCAATGACGAATAGGGAGCTTCAAGTGGTGCGAGACGGTGAAATGAAGCAGCCGTGAAATCTTGTGGGTAATTATCAGGACCCTTGCCATCATGAAGTGTCTACATACATGCCACGTTCCAGAAGATCAAGAGAGCGCATGGACATTGACCTTCCCAACTCTAAAATGGTCAAGCACTCGGCACTTGACAAGCGCTCCAAGCCAGTGAACATGCCTATCGATAGTAAGACCAACTGTTGCAAATAACAAGCTTGGGAATGGTTGGAAGGTTGCCGATCGTTTGATTGCTCATCTAGATATCTCGTGCTTAGCTTCATGTCCCCGAAAGTGAGCACTAGTACAAAAAGGTGAGCTTGGAACCGGGCACGGTTGATCCGAACTCCGGAAGATGGGCGCATGTCTGCGACATCAACTCGTATTAACACACCTGCTAGGAGACAAGAGTTCACAAGGGACGTATGACAGAGGGAGCATTAGCTGCTCCCATCAGAGTCAGCTTTCGCGTAAGAGATACATGCTCAAGCGGTTTTTGCATCAGAGATACAAGAAGAAAACGAAGTGCTTGAATAACCGTCTGTCATACATCAGGTATATCCTGCTACACTATCCACTTGTGTATCCTCCTTTTCTGCCAACTCTACCGAGATATCCGCTCTCACACCTCTCAGAGATCACTGACTGCAATCGTGTCAAATTCATGATCGTCTGACATTCTCAGGATTGAACAATATGCTACTGCTTCCATTTCAGCCATCCCTATCCCTTTTCCCACTAACACAGATCCAGCGCCCATTAGCTTCGTTGTTCGTTGAGTCGGTGTGGCAAGCATCATTCGTCGCTGGTCCATGGTAACTAGACCAAGGCTGATTGTAGTCGTTCCTGCAATTCGTGGACGAGAGCTTTGGAACATAGCACTATCAAACATCAAGTATTAGTACCAACGGATAGTAAGAGAAGAGACAAGAAAATTCAGTGAGTGGTGTTATTACGTACGCATCTCATCTCAGACTTGCGTGTTACAAAAGGAAATATTTTGTAAGTAGGGCAGTCGAGGTTGGGAGCACCTGGCGGGTTATTCGGCAAGCAGCAGACCGCGGAGACTGTGCTCAAGAGGGGGGAGATGGCGAGAAAGAGTAATCCTATCATTTTTATCGTTAGAACTTGAAGGCTGTTGTAGAGCTCAGTTGTCGCGTAGGCAGCGATGTGGGTGGGATGCCAATTTCGTCAGGATGATCCGGGGCAAGGCAATGCAGAGGCGGAGAAGAACTTGCAATCAGTGTAATAGACTACAAGAAATGACTTGCCACTGCCATGGACAAGTACTGGAGGTCTAGATATACTTCAGGGCACATACACCAAGTTACGCACAAGCGTCCTACGTACCAAGAAGTAGGCTAAGGCGGAACTAATTCGGCGGCGCGATTCCACGTAAGTGCTGCAGGCTGTAAGACAAGAAGGAAAATGACCAGGGTATAGACAGGAGTAAAATCTTCTATCATCTATAACTCTACAACGAAGAGACTAATTGAAAATTGAAAAAAGGCGTATAAAAGAGGAGATTTTACTCTATATTATGGAGGTATTTTTATATGTTTTATGAAAAATAGAGGTGAAGATCTGCTATCGATAAGACCCCTGCAATTTTCCATCTTACGTAAGAACCCTTGGTATGTTTGTGTTGTCACTGGCAATGTCAGTCTTGTATACGGTGCGTCTTAAGCTCCGTGCATGTATGTCACGAGCGTGATATACCTATTCATGACGTACGTTAGCCTCGTGTAAGTAAGTATCGCGGGAATCCAGTATCACGTGCTGACTGAAGCCTTCTAAGTTTGATTAGGTCACAACCGTGCCTAGGTGGTTCTCAACCCAACAAAGATATTAGTATCAGAGTCTAACTCAATGAGTGCTGCCTAGATACTATAGGAAATAAATGCCGTGGAGTGCAGGAAGGTATAGCACGAAACAGCCTAATACTACCTTGTAAGCAAGGCCCCAACGCGATCCCATTCTAACAGTGGTTAGCCTCCTGTATATCGTGGGCCTCACACCCGCTGATCGTACAGGGCATAATATATAAGTTCCTCCAAAAGCCATTGGAACCACACATGATCGTGTGGAAACCGTTTCAGGTCCTCGAGATGTTCTTCTACGCAGTCAAGAGCATTCCCGTCAACCTGCATACAGCCGCCTATGATCATGTAATCAGGGGCGCTTTTTCTCGTGGGTAGGAGGAATTCCGCGATACCATCGCTGCACCCAGTTGATTGCATCCAGTACTCATCGTGCAGGGCTTTCACCGCATCGACGAAAACCTCGGTCAGTGATTTGGAGTAATCCACCGTTGGCACATGACCACCTTGAACCAGTCCTAGTAGTCCGTAAACCTTGTCCCGTGGATCTTTGCACTCTTGTGAGGAATAGAAACTCATGTAGTGTCCCAGCCCTCGGTCTTCCGTCCCATGATTAATGCCCACTAAAACCAGTATCGCGGCGGCCGGGATACCTTCGCGCAATTTAAGCGCTGGACTACTGCCTCGTATGTAGAGTATGCCTGTGAGGTCGCTCTTCTCAAATATTGTAGTTTCGCACATTATGCGAACCCTTGGAGCAAGCAACACCTCTTGTACAATCCAGAGCCTTGTAAAGTATCGGCGATTGACCAAATCAGATATCCCTTTGTAGTCTGTACCCAGCCAAGCAATCACATACTGGCATCTCGAGTAGATAGTTGACATAAGCGGTATCTGATGGTTCTTCTCGAGTACGTTGGCTTGATCGATACAAAGCTGGTCGATCCACAGCCAGAGATCAAGAGCATCAATGTCGCTAGCTTGGACGTCATCGAAAAAGTCGCATATGGTCTGCCCCGTCTCTATAGCGCAACCTTTGAGAGATACAAGGCCTTTGGGCGCCGATTCATCGTCCCACGTGTAGGATAGAGCGACGTAAGGTGGTACTTCGTTCAAATCGAAAATTGAGATTTCGCATGAATGTATTGGTGAATCTGAAACACTACGTAGTCGGAGTAGGCGTATCTGTTGCGCAGTTGCGTTCAGAGGCTCGTATCGATAGGATGCTGAGTTTGGAGACGCTGCCCCAGCTGAGGCGGCCATCGCTCAGCCTTGCGTTCGTGAAAAAGGTCGATGCAACACGACTTGAAAGATGACAAAGTAAAGCCAGCGAGTAAGCGATAACAGTATACGATAAAATTTCAAAAGCTCTGAGGGGCGTAGTTTCGGTTGAAGAACAAGAAGATCGCGCCAAAGTACCTAGGTAGATGTGCGCTGAACTACGTCAAAACCTACAACCGTGAAAAGAGTCTAAATAACAACCCAAAAGGATGCCAAAACAAGAAGAACAAGCTAGAACACACGGGAAAACCACACCACGCTAAAGCAGAAATGTGGAAGAAGGACATCAGAATTCAAACCTACTATGCAGGAAACAGAAGGAAGAGTCAAGTTAGCTTAGGCAGCTTGCTCAGTAAGCCAGGCCACACAGCCCCGCCTCACTCCAGCAAAAAGCCACCGGATTCCATTGTCCCAAAAGGGGATAAGTCGGAAGAAACAAGGTACATGTGCAATGAATCTTGTCTACCTTGAGGCATATTGTGAAAGCATCCCATGGATCAGAATAAGGACATTGGGCGTGACAGGTGTGGGTATATATGTCAACTATTCCGGAAAAAGCTTGCATGCAAGTCCACAGTTGCATGACTTTCGTATTCTACAGTCGCAGATGAGGTATCGATTTCTCTACTAGCTGTGCCTACTCTGGAGCGCTTCGAAATGATCCTGAGCCATGATTCCGTCGCCAAAAGTTGAGCTTAATATACTTCAGACCATCAAGACCGCGGCATGGCAGCTCGAAACCCACCACTGTCTTCGTCACAACCACCCACTGCCTATCTCCAAACCTTGTCCTTGTCATGAATGCTGGCGTCCTCTATAGCACGCTTTACAGCCTGGTCCTCGTACACAACTTTGACCTCCCACATGTACGTGCCATTCATAGCCATGAGCATGCAACCGCCCTTGTTGCCGTCACCCTTCTCCCATCCCTCGGCGCTCTTGGTATATAGCTCCTCAGCCAGCAGGTTCTCCATGACGTCCCTAGCGATCTTGAGAGCAGACTCGCGGTTAGGCCAAGAACCGTGAAGCGTTGTAGTCTGCGCGAAGCCTTTCGGCTTGGTAAACTGTTCCTTGCCGCTCCTCTTGCCCTGCTCAAGCGGGCCAAGCGAGATGACAGTGTACACGGGTGCGGGAAGGAGTTCAAACACGGACTTGTTGATCTCGCGCATGATGTTCAAGACAGTGTAGATGCCGCGCTGGCCCTCGATGATGAAGCGCTCGAAGCCGCTGAGCTCGAATTCTGGATTCTTCTTACGCGCACCCCACATGTCGTCAACCTCCATCAGCTCGTCAAGCTTGTCGATGGCGCTCGGTGAGTTGCTGACCATGTCTTGGATCTTCGGGAGGAGGTACTTGAACGCTCTGACGGGGCCGATGATCTCGTGAGCGTCCATGTGTGGCTTGATTACGGCGAGGTACCAGATGGTATTAGGGTCGACAGGAGGAACGTCGAACCTGTCCGTTGGCTTTTGGAGGTCGGTGGTAGACGGTTTGACGGCGGCGGACGGGATGTAGGGTCCCGGATTGAAGAGGACTTGGTCGGTCATAGTAGATTGCGGTATTCGTTATCCGTTCGAACGCGCGTGTGCCGAATGAGAATTGATGGACTTGAGTGTAATGTGTGTGGAAAAGTCTACAGCAGAGAGGGTAGAGGTCGGTGAGAGCGCTGGAGCCTACCTAGGAGCGCTTGCACGCCGATATCGTCACGCCTTCACCTGCCCAATCCGGGCCGTAGGAACCCAAGGTGCGGGATAAGCCCGCTCGCTGGCCTGCACAGATAGGTCTGAAGGCTACACAGGGATCAGTGAGCTATCGATATCGTCAGTTTGAGCGGTATGTCGCCGCCCGGGTCGCTCATAAGCTAACAGAATGGCTGAAGAACTGAACGTGAAGTAACGCAGCATGCGAGCAAAAACAAGAGTTCATCGGAGTGTACATTGGTATCTCTTGATGATAATGAGATGGCGCGCCTTTTGGAATACATAGTCTTCTTTTATCCTCCCTACCTGAACGCCATAGCGCCGTACGCATGCATGATGTGACAACACGCCCATTATTTGGATGCCCAAATAATTACATGGCCTAGTGCGTCTTCGCCCTCCTGGCCTTACCAGGCCTTTTGCTCGCACCGCCTGTAGGCTTGCCCTTCATCTTCCGTGACGAAAAGTCTCGTCCGTCGGCGCTGGATTGCGCATCGTTGCTCTTTCCGAAGCGCTTCTTGCCACCGAATCCGTACTTCTGGTCCTTCTTCTGGCGCTTGGCGTTGAATGCTTTGCCATCCGAACCACGGCCGCGGCGGTCGGATTTGGAGTCGTCGGCGGTGGCGGCAACGTCGAAGAGGTCTTCCTCGTTTGTGGCTGTGATATCTGCGCCCTGTCGCTCTGTATTGTTGTTAGTAGTGGATCTTCTGCTCAGTTCTGGGTGATACATACTGCGCTTCAGGGTGCTGATTTTCTCGATGGTTTCCCTCTTCTCCTTTGCACGCTCTTGCAGCTTTGCGACCTGGACTTGCTTGCCAAATTTCTTCAGATCTCTCTGCTTCCTGGCCTCGGCAGCAGCCTTCTTGCCTGCTGCCGCATCGATGAGCTTCTGCTTGATCTTGCCCATGTGCTCATCACTCTTGACCATCTCAGCGAAGTAGTCTGCCGGCCGAGAAAACGACACACCCTCCTTCTTCAGCTTTTTCCGCGCATCCTTGACAGACGAGAGGCACTGCTTGTAGAAAGCGAGCTCACGGTTGAGGTCATCTTCGACGTCTGCAATTTCGACGGGCTCATCGGTCGTCACGGACTGGTGTTCTGAGAAGGCGAGCTTCGAGTACGGAAGTTGTATGCGATTCAGGGCGGCAGTCAAGGCGGCGGTGTTGTTGATTGTGAGGCGTTGGTGGGGGATAATGTCGCCCTTGTCTTCTGATGCAACGGAGTCGAGGTCTGAGAGCGCAATATCCTCCTCCTCTTCTTCTTCATCATCCTCATCTTCGTCTTCCTCGGCCTGCCCCTCAGTCTGCTCCTCAGCCTGCATCTCTTCTTCGTCTGAGCTGATGTCGCTGTCGCTATCGTCGATGTGCGCAAGGTCAAACTCAGGTCGCTCTGACTCTTCATCGTCGTCGCTGGCGTCTTCGTCCTCATCCTCACTGCCTTCCGTCTCCCAATCAACCTCCTTGACAGCTGGCGCAGACTTTGCAGACTTCACTTCTTCCTTTTTGCCGCTCTTTGACTTTTTCGCCTTGCCATTGACCTTGACCTCTACCTCGTCCAATGGTACAGGTACACCGCCGTCCTCAGCATCCTCATCGCCGTCTTTCTGGGCTGTCTCAGACTTGCGCTTTTCTTTGCGCTTCTGCACTTCCTTCTCGTGCTTGCGCTGCTTCTCGAGCTTAATGTTTCGCCCCTGGAGGTTATCGAGCGCGGCCTTGAGCTTACTTTTACCCATGCTGGATATATGCGCGTGCGACGTAGGAGGATTTAATAGTACGGGCGTTGTGGTATGAGACCAGACGTCAAAGCTTCCCAGAAATTATTCGTAAAGTTCGAACTCTGGGCGCAGAAACATTTTAGCGCCGCCGCTAGCTTGACCGCCTACCAAACAGGCAAGCAGCCGCGGCGAAGACCACGTGCTTCCTGGCGTCTTAGCATTCACTCTCTGCCTAGGTAAGCGCTACGCTCCGGCAATACTGGGTCGCTTGCCACTCCTGATACTTGCCTTGAAACAACAACCAAATATTGAGTCCGCCTGCTATAAATCACTTTGCCTTCAACTCCACACACATCCTCAAGAATGGCGACACCCCAACCACTTGCAGACCGCGCGCAAAGCGACACAGCGGTGTGTACATAGCAACATGACCATGAGCGCAAACTAAGTCTAAGAGCAGTCCGTCATTTCCAACAATGCCGAGGGTTCGGGTGAGCTCACAGCGGTCGTCGACGACCTCCTGAACCAACTGAACACCAAATTCACCACCATCAGCAGCGAACTCTTATCCAAGAGTAGGTAAAGATACACAGTGTAAATGATGACAATACTGACGATGCGCAGTGGATGACATGTCGCGGCGACTTGACAATCTGGAAGCGACCATGGCCGGAGATGGCACCAAAGGTTCTGGTTCGGGAAAGTAAAAACCCAAGAGAAAAGCATGGTGAGGTACAGGCGTTGTCCGCAAGCTGGTCATGGGTATTTTGTAGTGGTTTCAAGGGACTGGCAGCATTGGTTTTGGGTGTTGGTTTTGATTTTTGATACGACCCTCTTCTACTCATCGACCCTTCTCATCTCGTAATCATACACGACGCTCTCGCACCACGTTTGTTTGCTCCCAGAGCTTTTCATAGCACAATGTTCACGTTAACAGCCTATCTATCCTTGACTATGTTCGAACTGATAATATATACCAGACATTTACAGCTCGTTCTTCTCCTCTGAATCATCTGCGATGAACTTGCTCAAGATGTTGCTCCTGCTGACGAGATCGTCCATCTTCTCGGGTGCCAAGTTACCCTTGGCAATCAAACCCTGAAGGCGCTTGAGTTCCTTCGCAGCGTAACCCGAGTTGGCGCCAATCTTGTTGAAAACCTTGACGTAGTACTCAGCGTACTTGTCCTGCAGAGTTCCGGCAAGAGTCTTGGCCTCGGTAGCACCATCAGCCCACTTGCCCTGGAACTTTGAGATGATGCTGTTGAAGGCCTCGATGGTGCCACCTGTGGCATCGAGACTGCCGCCAACGGCACGGTGTGTACCAGCGTTTGTGTTGAGGAAATCGATAAAGGCCTTCTCGTCGCGGGCGCCCTCATATGGGAGGGGCTCGGTGGATCCCTTGGGGAAGTACTTGATTGTGGGGTAAGAAGACACGCCCTGCTCAGTAGCAAGAGCCTTTGCGTTCTCAGCTTCAGCATCAACCTTGGCAATCAGAACGCTGGGCTCGTTGACGAAGTCGTTGGCGAGGGTTTCCCAGACGGGGGCGAGGGTCTTGCAGTCTGTGTTGAGGTTAGCCATGGCTATCAAGAGAGAAGGGCCCATTAGACATACGTCCGCACCACGGAGCGGTGAAAGCAACAAGCACATTTTGGTCCTTTCCAACCTTCTCCTTGAAGGTCTTGTCATCGAGGTATACGACCTGGCTAGGGAGCTTGCCCTTGACCTTGGGCTTGATGCTTGTCTTCTCTTGGATGAATTTGCTCAAGCTCTCGAGATCACGTCCTCCGGTGTAGTCGGTTGGTTTGTCGCTTTTTCCGTCGAACCACTTGAGGGTAGGAAAGCCTGATACACCGAACCGCTTGCCCAATGACTTGTGGTTGTCCGCATCGACTTTAGCAACGGTGACCTTGTCTCCAGCGTGCTGGAAGACGGTGGCGAGCTCTTCCCAAACAGGAGCGAGGTTCTTGCAGTGGCCGCACCATGGAGCAAAGAACTCTACAAGGGCGGGCTTGCCAGACTTGAGGACGACTTTGTCGAAGTTGGAGGGTTCGAGGTCGATGACGGAGGATGCCGCGGCAAGGGCGGGGAGCAGCGCAATGGCCGCGGGTATCAAATTGCGGAACAACATTTTGAGGTTCAAAGTGAAGCTCAGAGATGAATTGGGGCTCCGAACTTATGTTGAAGAGCGGTGGGGAATCCGAGGCGGGAGCTGAGGTATGCAGCTATCAGGGTCTTGCAGTGGCGATCGCTTAGCTTGAAAGGTGTCCTGTTGCGCGTCTCACAAGGTTATAAATCCACAATTCGTCAGCGAATCGCGTACGCGCGAACCTGCTGCATGGTTACAGCGTTGTGGCTGATCGAAAGCTTTGCAGCAGAACGGCAGGAGGACTAAGGAGGTTTCTCGTTGTATTCACAATCCACGATGACGTCTGACCGGCAACATTCACATGTCAATACTTCCGCTTCCGCGCTTGATGCAGTGATGCAGATCAAAGCTAGCTCTTGTTTCCCACGTGCAATTGGACAATAGTCACGTCTCTGTTATCTGAGCATTGTCATCTGCTACTGAACTCATAGCTGTAGTAGAAGGGTATCATTGAAGGAACTCCTGTTGTACAAGGTTCAACGCGCTACGATGCATACTCGGCATATACATGACGTCCTCTTAATCCCCTCCTAATGCAACGACATCTTCCAATTATTTCCCCCGGTCATCCCATAACTCCCACTGACCGTCTTCTCCTCCGCTTCTCCCTTCTCTTTACTCTCCTCCACGGCCGTTTTCTTCTCCTTGCCCTCGTCACCAACCGTCTTCTTCTCCTGCACCTTCTCCTTCCTCGCCCTCACCTCCCCCGCAGCCCTCTCCACCATCTCTTTCAAAGCCCTCACATCCGCACCCCTAACCTCGTCCACCTTCTTCCCCTCCTTGAACAGCATAAATGTCGGCATAGCCGTGACCCCATATTGCCCCGCAATCTCCCTCTGTTCGTCGACGTTGATCTTGACAAACGCAAAGGCGCCGGGCGTGGCGTGCGTGGTGGATAGTTGGTTGTAGATGGGTGCGATTTGCTTGCAGGGCGGACACCATGTTGCGTAGAAGTCTGCGATGAGGTAGGTGTGGGCGTTTAGGAGGGTGCGCAGGTGGAGGGGTGCGGAGATTTCTGTCGGCATAGTTGTGTAGTGTTGCGGTGGTTTGCAGTTTCCGATAGGATTTGTAAACTTTGTGATATTGATTGATCGTAGGGTTGTTTGAATGATGAATGTTTGGGGCTGCTAGCTATAGTTTTGTAGTTGCTGAACCCTCAATGGCGCGATGTTGTAGAATCTTCCACATCCGTGGCTGAGCAATCGCATTACAATAAGACTTCTAGATCAATTATCTTATCTACCGCGATTACCACCAGGTGCGAAACCAAGCAGGCCGAGCAATGTCTTCGGCATGTTCTCGCCGGCGACATTTGTCATCGGCACTTTCAGAGACCATGACGTGCGCACGCTTCCCGCTTTGGGCAGTCGGTGATAGCAAGATGGAGATAACGAGGGTTGCTGCATGGTCGCTTTCCATACATATGTAATGTCTTCCACGTGCGCATATAATTAGCACTGTGACGGGTCTAGAGTCATGACGTGAAAGCTGCCTCCATGCCGTAGGAAGCATATGTAGTCGCAACTTCAAGAGCACGTGTCTTCATTAATATCCCAAGCAAATGCAGACCGGTCCGCAACGCCTCGCTGCGTAAACTGTCATTTGGCCGCTTGGCCCAGAAAATCATGTTGCCCAGTCCCAGAAGCTCAGCCACCGCCCCTCCCAAGTATCTCCTCCCTCTCCAGCACCTCAGGCTTGAACTTGATCAGGAAAACCGTCTTCCCTGGCCACAGTCCCTTCCCGTCCTTGCCCTCTTCCTCGCCCACACTATGCGCTGTGACGCCCTCGGTCGGAAAGCCGGCTCCATCGCATACGCCCTCAATTATGCCCGCCACGAATGCCGCGCAGTTCAGACTCGATAGCTCCTTGGGTAACGATATGTACTGATTGACCATGGGTTCATTGTCAAAGAGCATGTACTGCCCTGGGTCTGTGCCGGACTTTTCCAATGCGTCGGCTGGTCGCCCAAACAGGTAGCGGTACAGTTGTTGCGCGATGAATTGTAGGAGAGGCAGAATACGGGTCGGGCGAATCGAGGCGAGGGGGTTGGCTGTGCGTGAGAGGAGGAGGTCTAGGAGGCGCAGGCCGATAGGGTAGCCTTGGGTATTTAATCTACATGTTTGTTAGTACATGTTCCAAAACGAGAAAGCAATGGTTAAGCGCAATTGCATCCGTCGCCTATGCATTGCAGTTTTGGGTATATGGCATACCGTTGTTCAAGATCCCCCACATCCTTTGCTCCCTTCTGCGCATACGCAATCATCTCAATGAAGAGGTATGCAAACGCCGCCCTACTAAGCTCCGCATTCTTACTACGGTTCAGATTCCTGTCGTATATTGTCTTTTTGTTCGACGGGTATCGCAGGCCCGGCGCTTGGCTTGCGTTCCCACTCATCGCTATAGGCTGCCCTGGTGCTTGCGAATGAGCGCTCGACTGCGGACGAATTGTGGCTATAGAGGAAGACGAGGAAACGTGATTTGCGGAGACAGCAGATTGCGAAGAGGGTGGGTTGCGCGTCGAGTAATATGACGAGTGTAGCGGGAGGATGGTGGACATGGTCACTCGAGAGCGTTGCGGTACTTTGGCGGAGCAATGTGGGTCGCGGGTCGTGCGTCAGGCTTGTGCAGGTTGCATGTGAGGCTGGGGATGCTAAGGATAGCCACACTGTCTCCGCACGCGTCTACGCTGCTCTCATCCTCAATCATATGATGCCAGCCAGGTGTTTGTTACCATAGTAGAGCTGAAAGTTTAGCTCATTGACGTTTTCAGGTAGTGTTCTTCGTCATCTTTGAAATGGTAAAAGACCTCACGTATTCTGATAACCCAACCACTTCATCACTCATCTTGCAAGCTATGTATGATATGTCTGTATCATCTATAGGCTGATGGCTACATGGGCAATAAACCTCTATATTCTGGAATTAATGACCCAGCGTGGACCATCATCATCATCCCCGTTTCCAGATGGAAGTAGACGGGCACAACCCATTACTCTGTGTAGCCTCAGTCTCACGAGTCCCTAAGCCTCGCCGTTGTGACGAGCATCTGCACGGCGACAGACCGCTTCCGCAGAGCGCTTCGAGCGCCAACCGTCATGCTCAGCCCCAGTCTCGATATAGCCGTCCGGCATCTCTACCATATCCTCATACATCTTTGCTTTCTTCTTGTCGTTCTCGGGGTAGGTGGCACCAACAACCCTACGCATCTCCACCTTGGGCTTCATGTTCTCCTTGTACCACTCCTTGAACTTCTTCGTGATATTCATCTGGTGCCAACCCAACTCTTCCATGATGGGCTGAACATCGGTGCGGCGAATGTCAAACTGGATTGGGATGACGGTGACGGTGTTGTTGGGATCAGCAGCGACATCGCGCATGAAGGGTACGCCAGACTGCTCAACCTCGAGCTTTGCGAGTAGATCTCCGTTGAGCTTCTTCTGTTCCTGGAGAACCGCCTGGGTCTGATCTCGCTCCTTCTTCATCTTGTGTTCAGATGTAAGATGACGCTGCTTGTCTCCAATAGCACCCTTTGCCTTTTCTTCCTCTTTTCCAGCAACTTCCTTGGCGGTCTTGACCTTCTTGTTCGCGCCCTTTAGCTTTCTGCCCTTTCCGTCGTTTTGGTTCTCGAGTTTGACGTTCTCATACTCGATCGTTTTGAGTGTCTCCTTGAGCTGGCTGTTTTCAGATCGCAGGTGTGCAACTTCACTCTCAAAGCGATTGATACGGCGGACGGTGTCGTCAGAAAGGTTAGCAGCGCCACGCTTGGAGGTCTTCCGGTCCAGATCAGCGAGCATCTTAGCTTGTTCTTCAGCCTGCGCCTTCCACATGCTGCATTGCATGCTCAGCTTTGCAACCATGACTCGCAGACGAAGCTCTTCATCTCCCTTCGCTTTAGCATTCTCGTCGATATCACTGACAGCCCATAGTCCTCCTACGAATTCGGATTCTGCACCGTCCTTCCTTGGAGTACTGTCGATTACAGACACCGGAGTCTGGTCCTCAGGCTCCTGAAAGAGTGCATCGAGATTAAAGCTCATGTTGAAGATGGCAGTACAAGCACGCTGTAATCAGGGGAAAGCGCATGCCCTGTGTATTGCATGGAAACAGCCGTCGTTGTTGTTGTTGCGAACGGCAAAACAGGCGATTGGGTGCTGTCTGGATGCCAAGCTTCCCAGTGAAGTGAAGATCAGACATTAAGGGAAGGCACGCTAGTGACATGTTCACAGTGAGAGCAAATCATCCTAAAGTGGACCGGCTATCTCTCGCCGATGCTTATATTAGAATCGTAGATCCTGTCCTACAGCGTACGTTATCATACAGCCAAAGGTGCGATGCTATCCCGCTATCGTCGAGCGCTTAGCCGTTCTATGACAAGTGCTAGATCTTTGACTCGAAAGGGCTTCGATACCGAGTCATCCATTCCGGCCTCAATCGCGCGCTTCAGCTGCTCAGGTCTTGCATTTGCGGTGACAGCGACGATGTGGAGGTGTTTATCGATGGATCCGTCCTTCTGCGCAGCACGTATCATGTTTGTGCATTGGAGACCGTCTACGATGGGCATCTCTATATCCATCAAGATGATATCAATAGATGGGGGAGGCTCCAAGGATTTGGCGACGCATTTCCAATGTCTTGTGGTTTTGATGAAATCGAAAGCATCTTGCCCGTTGTCTGCTGTGTAGACGTGGTAACCATGACGTTGCAATTGTTTCTTCAACACTCGCTGGTTGACCAGGTTGTCTTCTACGAGAAGAATGCTCAGCTGATCTTTCTGTGGATGTTGCGGACGTTCGGATGTGACAATGGGAGACTGCGCCAGTACCCCTTTGACTGGAGCTGACCCATCGGGGATAATGAGAGGTAAGAGTCCTTCAGCTGGACGTGCTCTAGTCGCTTTGACGTAGAAAGCAAATGTGGAGCCCACGCTTTCCTGAGACGTGAACCCAATCTCTCCTCCCTGTAAAGCTGCTAGTTTTCTGCTAATGAAGAGGCCTAGCCCAGATCCGCCGTACTTGCCGTATGTCTTGGGGGAAGCTTGTGTGAAGCGAGAGAAGATGCGCTTCATGGAAGCAGCATCCATCCCACAACCTGTGTCCTTGACACTACACCACAAATAGAGGGTTTCTGCGGTTGTCTTCATCGCCGTCGTCGGTTCATCTGCCCGTGAAGGATTTTGAGTTACCATTGTGAGGTCCACAAAGACATCCATGGGAGGCCTGGGTGATGCGCCTATACGCACAGTGACTGTCTTGCATCCGGCTCCATCTTTGGTAAACTTGATGGCGTTGACAACCAGATTGACGAGCACTTGCATGATCCGACCAGGATCCGCCTCGATATGATCAACTCCAAGCCGGCTCAGCGAGGGATCCGGTATTGTTACAAGCGCCACACCAGCTTGCATGGCCTCAAGCTTGAATGTGCTTTCAATCCTTGCAAGAAAACTCTTTACTTGGAAAACGGTAGGGCAAATCTCCAGTAGGTTGGAGTCAAGCTTCGAAAGGGAAAGAATGTCGTCGATGATACGTTTCTGGTGCATAGTGCAGGACATGATAGTCTCAACCGCGTCAACCATGTTGCTGTTGAGCTCGTGGAGGCGCTTCGTAATGTCGGTCTTGTCACCATCAGACGTAGGCCTGTAGCTTGTCGCATAGAGTAGTATATTCATTTCCGATAATGAATGTGCTAATGACTCTGTGCAATGCATGACTGCACTGAGAGGATTGCGAATCTGTAGTAGTCAGAAAGCTGTTTGTCCATAGCTTACTCCCAAAACCTACCTCGTGACTCGTCATGTCTACAAAACTGTGTACTGTTAGATGATGCAGCCATACTTTCGATCCATCATGACTTACTTTTCTTGTTGCCTTCTAGCTTCTACGGCTTCTTCTAGCCTCCTGCGTTGCAAAGCTTCAGAGAGTTTCAAGTCGCTGATGTCCGTCATCGCAGTTGTTATCTGAAAGCTATCACTTCCCAACATCTCCGGAAAGGCAGTAAATTGCACCCAGGCTTGTTTTGAGAAGTCAGAGGCTCCTGTCCATAACCGGTCTAACCTAATGTGAAAGCTAGCTGACTCTCCAGTCCGCCAGACATCGTCCAAGTTCTTGTCAAACTCGGGAATATCCTTTGGGAATATGATCGAGCGGATGTCGACATTCTTGACCGGCACTGATGGATGTCCAGTCATCTGAAACCAGGTTTTGTTGACAAAAGAAGGACGTCTGGCTTTGTCGAAGATTAAAATCCCGAGTGGCGCATTTTCGATGAGATTCAGAAGACGAGCCTCGCTCAAGTGAAGCTGCTTGAGGGCTACGGCGCGCTTGACGATGGCTTCATGCTCGACCTGCTTCTGTGCATCGATATCCGTAGCGCACCCCGTGATACTGACAACCCGGGAAGAATTGTCGAATACAGGAACACAGGCAACCTGCACCCATCTGCTTTCCTTGCCTTCAGGCCGAAATCGTAAAGACATTGTTGCCGGTTGACCTCCGAGTAATGCTTGCCAGTGTCGTGCTAATATCGGCTCGTCTTCTGACTCGCATAGCTCGATAAGCCGTGTCTCGTACTGAATTGTGAGATCCTTGCTGCAACCACTCAAATTGCAAAACGCGTCCTTTGAGATGTCAGCATGGAAACGCTCGGGTCGGAGGAATTATCATACATTGCTTTGAGTGATTCGTCCTGTCAGAGCGCACTCGAAAACACCCACGCTGTGAAGTCAAAGTCAGGGGATGTTACCAGACGCAATGGATATGCCACAAACCTAGCTGCTTCCATTATTTCCAACATTCTCCTGATCTTTCCTGTTGCCCAAGCTGCTTCCTGCCGCTTCAACTGCACTTCCTTTGCAAAAACCTCCTTCTCTCTTGCGAGCCTTCTGTTGTCGTTTGCGTTTGCGAGTATCCTTGCCTCGGATATAGTAATCGATGCAACGTCGTTGCAGAGTTTGCGATGAAGCGTTCGTATCCATGACTGATATGATTTATCATAAGGCCTTCGTGGTGCCAGTCCGACAATTAATACGGCGTGAACGCTTGTAGCTCTGTCCAGAACACTGGGTAATATAACGGCCTGAAGGCAGTTATCGCCATAGCATCGGTTGCAGGAGGCTTGAGACATTTCCACTGGCAATGGTTGAAGAACCTCCGTACTGCGAGTGCAGACAGCTTTGAAAAGAGCCTTGACCCATGTTTTGTCAGAGCCACGATGTATCCTGGCTGGAAGTGGCGTTGGGAAGGAGCCAACAGTCCCGGCAAGCAGGAATTCCCGAGAGCTCACTTCCTTGCAGATGAAGTCTGTCTCTTTTTCACGCACCAACTCTGAGTCTGCATAGTAAATTGCAGCAAAAGCAATGTCTCCGTCTCCTCTAGATATACCTTCAAGCATTGAGGCACAAAAGGTGGGTAGGTCATCTGCATGTTTACACGCATGTCGGATGTGATCCATAGATTGTTCACGACGAGTTTGAATGACCTGATTGGTCCCATCATACGTTGTAGCATGAAAACCATCTAAAGCCAGTGGTAACTGAACCATTGTAGCTGAAAGAAAGAATTCTTCGAGACGGCCGTCTTGCGGAAAGAAGAAAAGGACGTCATGCTCATTGGCCAGATCCGATCTGTCCCTTGCACGTTTCATTATTCTTTCCATTGCTGGCTTTTGTGCAATCAATGCCGTGTTGAGGCTCATGGGTCTTCCTTGGTATAGTGGATGACAGTCGCGGAGCAGCCGGCCGTAAGCTGTGTTGTAAAGAATGATCGCATCGGGTCCAAGCAAGAATAGCTGGGGCTGCGGGGAGAGCATGGCAAGGTTGATGAGCACCAGCAATTCTCGAGGCCATGTTGAGATAGGTCCAGGTGCAGTATCCGCCCAGTTCAAGTTACGTATGTATTGGAGGTCGGAATCGATGGCTGCGTCCCCAGTTGGTTTGGAAAGAAAAGAAAGATGGGGTATATCCGCATACTGGTCGGTCGTCATGATTACGTCGACGACGCGACGATGCAAGTCAATGTTGTGTTAAAAAATGTCCACGGTGTCAAGGTAGACAACATTGGTTGCCGGTGCAGCAAAGGAGTAAGTGGGCGGCGATTCGGGCGTCCTATGGCCGTCCAGACCGTTGGGATTCCGAAAACATAATAGCTTACGGCCAGTCTTCGGGCATACACTGACCATCGTGGTAAGATGGTGCGCATCCATACTCCCATTTGGGGGCTGTGTTTCAGAGATTGGTGCTGACATGGTTCAAGCAGAAAGAGTTATTGCCGGAGTTCCGCCTGTCGCCTGTCAGTTGCCGTAAGTACTAGCGTTTGCTGGTATTAGCGGACTTGGTTGACTCATATTCGCGACAGAAAACTGTCCCTCAATTGTAACGAGTAGGACCCTCAGTGCTATGGCTACACATGCTTATTGAGGGTAATACCCAGGCAGCTGATCGACTACCACCTCCACAGCACAGTACACAGATTGGCCAGCCCACAAAGTCCGTCCGGATCTATTCGGCCGTAGCCCACCCTTCGGATTCGGTACGCGGATAATTCCGATGCAACGCGCTCGTCGATCGCGGCCACGACTCATCAAGAGCCTCACAGCTCCTATAGTCTGGTCTTCCTATGCACCCAGCAGCACACTTCCTATCTATCGAAAGTTCCAGAAACCGAAACACCCTGTTGCGTCGGCTATTCCCGAGCCCAGCTATACTGTAGCGAACGCCAGTGTCTCGTAGCATCTCTCTAGAAAGATGTAATGAAAATGTCGTATCTGCCAAGAATAGAACCGAGTCAAGTTCCATACCACGGGCAGGCATGCCAGGAGCTTTACATTGAATTTGCAGGCGTTGGGAGAAAAACCTCTGTGTTTGTCGGAAGTTCGTGCGAGTAGGCAGAGGTTCTGCACATGTCACATGTTGTGTTACCGAGCTTTCAATGTTACGGCAGCCCTATCCTTACCCACTCGCGATATGATCATCTGCCACATCGGACCTGTACCTGCGCTAGGCACATGGGTACTGGGACAGTCCTTGCTACTCCAACGCGGAACCCAGAATCTCTCCAATTCTCCGAAGTCCACAACCATTTTCCTCCCCCCTTTTGCTCCCCAAGAAACGCCCATTTCCCCGAACTTTTCATTCATGTTTCATCGTTCATGACAGATATCCTTCTTGACGCTGCTTCATTCGTTTCGAAGTTCGTCTTGCCACATGCAGCGCGTGTGCTGGACGAAGAAGACCGGACGCTCTAATTGGGCGACTCTGAGCAACTTCCAATCTCCAAGTTGCGGCCGTGAAGACAGCTTTTTAGCCGTAATTCTGGCGATAACGCCCGGGTTTAGGAACATAAATGTAGATACGGTGTACGGAGGTGCCTTTCAAAAGTTATTGCTAGCGCGGTAGATCTATCGGCCCGATATTTCTTGGCACAGTCGGAGTTTTTGAAGCTGAAGATAGCAGTATCTTCGCTTTCTTTGGTGTTTCTCAAAGGTTAGTTATACTAGTAATGGCTCCTCGTTCTCACACAGACTCATTCACACGTGCTATAATTGTTACTTTAAAGTCCCGCTTTGTGGGCAAATCAACGAGCCAGATCAGCGAGATCCTGGGTATTTCCCCACGCACTATCGACGCTATCTTCAGCCGAGCCTGCCTTCGAGGCTTTGAGCCAAATGGACCAACCCTAAAGGTTCTTCCTGAACACCTTGAAGATGCTCCTCGCTCAGGCCGCCCACGTAAACAAGAGGCTATCCATGAACCTACTGTTGACAAAGTACGCCGTGACCGTTATGGACGAGAGAAGAGCTGTGCTGACATAGCTGGTGATCTTAGTCTCTACGGTTACGACGTCTCTCCTACCACGGTGTGGAGAGTCCTCAAGGCAGCAGGATACAAGAAGACGAAGCCGACGAGGAAGCCTGGGTTGACGAAGAAGATGAGACAAGATAGACTTACCTGGTGTCTCGCTCGTCAGCACTGGACTCTTGAGGACTGGAAGAACGTTATCTGGTCAGATGAGACCTCTGTCGTACTGAACCACCGCCGTGGTGGGTATCGGGTGTGGAGAAAGGCAGATGAGGCTCTTACAAGATCTGTGATACGAGAGAGGTGGAAGGGATACTCTGAGTTTATGTTCTGGGGCTGCTTCACGTATAATTACAAAGGTCCCTTTCATGTATGGAGGCCAGAGACAGCCCAAGAGAAGAGAGAAGCAGCTCTTAAGATTGAAGAGATGAATAAGATCCTAGAGCCTATTATGAGAGAGGAGTGGGAGCTTACTATAGGCATGAAGAGGATAGGCTTAAGGAATAAGCCTGGTAGAGCTCCTCAATGGAGATGGACTAAGGAGAATGGCAGAGATGTCAACAAGCAAGTCAAGCTGGCTTGATTCTTATCGATTGCAGATCACAGACAATATAGAGGCTCGTGCACAGTGGCACGTCCCAGAGAATGGTCTGTGATCTGCAATCGATAAGAATCAAGCCAGCTTGACTTGCTTGTTGACATCTCTGGAGAATGGGAAGCTCACTCGTGGTAATGATAAAGGTGGCATTGATTGGTGGCGGTATCAGACTGAGGTTCTTCTCCCGAAGCTTATCCCCTTTGCTAAGGAGTGTATGAGAGAGAGGCCAGGTACTCTTGTTCAAGAAGATAAGGCTCCCTCTCATGCTCACCAGGCCCAGAATATTATCTATCAACGAGAGAGTGTGGAGAAGCTCTTCTGGTGTGGTAACTCACCTGATCTCAACGCTATTGAGCCAGCCTGGCCATGGTTAAAGAGAAGAACTACCAAGAAAGGAGCTCCAAAGAGTAGAGGAGAGGCCACAAAAGCATGGGAGCAGGCCTGGAGTGATCTCCCACAGTCACAGATTCAGGCATGGATAGAGAGAATTCCTATCCATGTTCAAAAGATTATTGAACTTGAAGGTGGGAATGAGTACAAGGAAGGCAGAGGCCTGCCAAGAGTTCGTGGAGACTGATCTGTCTGTATTTCGGTAGTTTCTCGGTCAAATAGGAGACCCCCCTGTCAGCAATAACTTTTGAAAGGCACCTCTGTACGCGATGGTGATATCCTTGCCGAACTCCAGACGTTGTCTAGACATTGGACGTGTAAGAAATGTTGAGAGGTTTGTAGTTTGTCAAGCTGACGTTGGATTTGTCGTCGGTGGCTACGTGGTACCTGACAACAATGTCAGAAGACGCGCAAGCAAATAGGAACATGTATACTTACAGTCTCATCAAAAGGGGCGAATTCGCATGACCTGGAATATGAGCATGGCTTCGAAATTATGCCTATCTGTTTCCGCTTCTTCGTCTGTTACCCATCCGCTTGGGATTTTTTTTCATTTTGTCAAGGACCATCGCGCTGACCTCAGTCTGTGAACGATAGCGGGCTTGTTTCCGAAGCGGTCAGGTACTCGAACCATGTTTCCAGTCTGGCATGTAGGCGTGAATATAGCGCGTGATCGGCTCTCCGCTCTTCCGTGCTACTGCACTTGCATCGGCTCCTTGAAATTGTGCACGTGATTCGTTAGATCTTTTTATTTGGCCCAATCGGTGCAATTATCAGGCTGAAAAAAAGGGTTTAAAAATGTCCGCGATTTGACTGTCCTCCTTCTCTTCCCGCATGACACATGCGTTTTCTACCCCTGCGATAACGGAGCGATGAAGTCGGATAATTTCATGTTATCAATCAGGCCACGTACAACGTCGTAGCAAACAAAAAAAGTCCGGAGTAGGCTCGGTGACGTAAGGAGATGTTGGAGAGGATAGGTCTTTGTAAACTTGGTAGGACGTAGTTGGCAAAGGGAAACCACATAACCTGATTATGCACTGTAGTTGTTGTTGTAGCTGTCAGGCAACATCAGCCCGTCTGTCGGGACCTAATCAGCCGGACAGGAGGAAGGCAGAAAGGAGCCCAGCATCCGGGATGCCCAAGTTAGTCATTCCACAATTTCCCCGCCCCCGCAAACCCAGCTGCATGCAACAATACCCACAGACTCCACAAAACTCTTTCCTGTGGGCCGGTGCGATACCTGCTGTACGCATGGGAGATATCTCCTGAGGTCTGACGGACCCGGATCCGGTTGACCAAGCCTCTTGTGCGAGCGGCTGCGCCCCATGAGGCCGATACATCCGGGCCTGGCCGTATCCATTCGCCTCATTGCCATGTTGGTGGCACGGCTTACTGTGGAGTATTTCTGGTCACATGTACCCTGGGCATGCGCAATGCTTTCAACCCAAGCGGAACCGAGGTCGCTAGTTCCTTGCTGAAGTGGAGATTATGTCTGCCATTGAGAGTGCATTTGTTAATACCGTTCTTGATCGCGAGAATCAAGACTATAAGGAATGGGTCTCAGGAACTGGGAGGACCAGAGAAACGATCCAGAAGACATGCGCGCAGCAAGATACTACGGCCAGGAAGATATTCGGATTGAGGATGTGGACGAGCAGAAATGCGGCGCGGGACAAGTTCGAGTACGTACTCTCACTACAGGCAACTCCTACTCAGTATACATGTCTAATGCGTCGCAGGTCGCCCCCGCCTTCGTAGGAATATGCGGCACAGATCTCCATGAATATCTCGGCGGTCCAACCTTCGCTCCGAGGACACCACACCCGTGCACCAACGACACGATACCCATCACCCTAGGTCACGAATTCTCAGGAACCATCACTGAGGTGGGCTCAGGTAACTCGGCCTTCACAGTAGGCCAGAATGTAGTCGTTCAACCAACAATATTTTGCGGTACCTGCGAAGCATGCAAAGCGGGATCGGAGAATGTATGCTACAACGGCGGCTTCATTGGACTCTCCGGAGGCGGAGGCGGCCTCAGTGAATCTGTTGTCGTGCCTGAAGGGTCAGTGCTGAGCCTACCGAACAACGTACCTCTCGATATTGGTGCTTTGGTCGAGCCCTTGAGTGTTGCATGGCATGCTGTATCCGCGGCTCCCATAACGCCCGACTCGGTCGTCATGATCCTGGGTGGTGGACCGATTGGCCTTGCCATTGTGCAATGCCTTGTTGCAATTGGCACACGAAAAATTATTGTCAGCGAGATATCAGGCGCACGTCAGCGTTTTGCAAGAGAGTTTGGGGCACATCATGTGATATGCCCCAAGACGTATGACGTTGTGCAAATGGGAAAGGTGCTTAGCGACAGCGATGGGCCGGACGTGGTGTTCGATTGCGCGGGCGTACCTGCTAGCCTCACGACGGCATGCAAAGCTGTCAAAGCTCGAGGCACGGTGGTGAATGTGGCTATCTGGGAGAGAGAAGTGCCGTTCAACCCGAATCTGCTGGTTTTCCGAGAAGCAAAGTATACGGCTGTGTTGGGCTATCAGAAACAAGACTTCCAAGCGGTGATTGACCTTTTGGCTACCGGTAAGTCTTGCGATCAGCCAGAATCAAATGTGTGCACAGTTGCTAATGTTTGTGCAGGAAAATTGCAGCCGAGAAAGATGATCACTAGCAAGATACAGCTTGAAGATCTCGTTGAACACGGCATCAAGGCCCTCATCAACGATAAAGAGAGTCATGTCAAAATATTGGTAGAGGTCGGCGGGATGAGCCGTATAGACTCCGCTATACATTAGGAAGCTTTGGTGCCAATACAGTTGGCATACGGTACCCCTGCTATAATGAGATGTCCTATATGTCTGATGTTCCTGCCGAAGACCTGCGTGTCAATTCTCTAGATGTCTATACCCCTGACATAATTATGAATAAACGATGAACCCGGAAGTTTGCCGCGCATAGAGCTGTTAGAGGCAAACAAAAACGTTGACTAGATAGAGTGAACGAGTGGGGTAGTGGGGTTGGGTACATGTCCGCTGCATTAGAACGACAACACAATCCCAGGGTCTAACTAAGCAAGCATGCCGTTAGATCCGCAAACCGCCCCTCGCATCGCGACAGCTGCGTTTGAGCCTCAACTCACCACTGTGTTCCTTGATCAGGGCATTGTATCGATATTCTCTAATGTTTTGCATCCGTTGATCTTTATACTAACGCTGTACATACTCGCTAACCCTTTAATTGCCAAGCGTCGTGGACGGTGCGGCTGAGGCATTTCCGATGTAGGTCGCGCGTTTCGCCAGGACGTCTCAATGACTTGGATCGCGCTGGTGATTTTTCTGAATTCACCTATCGTAGGTATTAAGCAAAATGTCCCAGTACAACCACATGCCCCCTCCAGGACCTTACGTCCCTCCTAACCAGAGCGCCCCGGCGCAGCAGCATGCCTCTCAAGCACCCACGTCCCACCAGTACAACACGGGGAGTTATGGATGCTCAAATCAGGCTCAGAAGGGGGTTGGAGGTTTTGGACAAATGATGAACCAGCGATTGGAGCAGGCGGTGACAACTGGGAAACCAATGTTGAACAAGCTGGGCAATGCTATCAGCTCAAAACTCGGAAACAAGCCTACGCCAGGCCCGCCTCAGCATCTGCAAAACTATCAGAACTATCAGAATCAATACGGACAACACAACCAAGCACAAACGTATCAGCAACCTCATGGCCAGAGTCTCAGCCCTCCACCACCGCCGCAGCAGAACTGGGGCCATCCCCCTCCACCTCGCCCGTCGAATGCCTCTCCAGCTGCCCAGCATTCCCCGTACCAGCAACCGACCCACCATACGCCGACTTCAGGACCCCCGGGGCAAATCAACTATTTCCCGCAGCAGACGAACCAAGCGCCTGCCACGCAAGCATACACGCATCAGTCGCCGCCCACTACGCTCGGATACAATCCGTCGCAGTACAGTCAAGGCGGGAGCCCGGGTGGGCAGATGCAAACACAAGGACAACTCGGACAGGGGCAGGATATGCAGGGTCACCTTTCAGCATCGTTCCAAACACATAATCAAGTCCAAAGTCACCACACTGGGCAACAGATGGGTGTAGTCGGAGGATCACAGGGCGTCCAGAACACGTCTTCTCCCCATACTTCAAGTGTGTCACCAGTAGTACCCGCGCAGCAATGGGGGCATCTAAGTACTGAGCACACGTCTGGAGTTGTCAGTCAGTCACAGGCTGATGTGCCAACAAAACCCTTGCAGCCATACTCTCCTACTCCAACCCCGAACCCCTTGGAACAAAAAGAGCAAAAGCAGCAGCAGCTCTGGAACCTTTGGAACAGTGCGACTCCTGTCAACACTCTGCCCCAGGGACAGTTGCAGACGTTACCAGGCACGGCCAATTCGTCAAACACACACGATTCGAATTCTGCACCCCAGATACCGTCGAACAAGCCTGTGCACTCAAGTCTGCAACCAGTTTCTCCATTACAAGACAATGGCGCACATTCTGGCCCAACCGAATTCATTGCTGAGCTGCCTGGCGATATGGGAAGCCTGACTCTGCTGGAAGCAAAGCCCCAGACATGTGGGCTAGGCATTACAGGCTCACAATACCAGGCCTATCGTCCTTCAGGGTCGCAGACGGGGTCACCCTCGCCTGGACCCAACGCAGCCCACCAGACATCAAATGGCAGTAACAAGCCACTGGCGGACCCGTGGAGATTTACAAACATAGCGACTGAAACTCCGACACGGGAATTTTATATTCTTGCAGACTTGCTTTTTGATGCACTGGACCGGAAGTTTGAACCTAGGCACACGGGCCTGTTGGAAGCGCCAAAGATGCTTGGGGGCTGGGTCAGGTTGACGCAAGATGCACGTGGTGAGTTTTAAGTGTGGGCAACGTTCGTCAGTGACTAACGTGGTGGCAGATCTCTTCTCGTACAAGTCTTACAGCGCTTTTGCCAAGTTATGGAGTCTCGAAGGCATCCCGCACATGATGGTACCTTGCGAGGCTGCTTTAGCGCCAAATTGGAACTTTGACCAGGATATGCATGCGCGCGATATGCAAGTATGCCAGAACCCGCCGACATCATATTCACGATATCCAACGTACATGCCAGCGCTGAACCGGGCAGGTTGGTACAAGTTCTTCTTTCTCGAGATGATGCACGCACCGGACGATATTGAAGCCTTGGTACCGGCACTTTGCGCCGACACTTACAAGCCGGGAGTGCTCCAGCACCCTGATCTCAACAAGCGCGACAGAACAGACATGGGCGGACTACAAGCTAGAGCTGCCGCGGTGAAGACATTTGCGATGCAGCGGGTGTGCGAAGAGACGAAGGCGGCCATGGCAGAAGATCCGGATGTTTCCCCCGGGCACAGGCACGCAGGCATGGGTTCATGATAGTGTAGCGCAGACGAAAGAAGATGCGGTAGCGAAAATGTACAAGATGTCGATGATGTTGCAGCTGCAAGACCTGGAACAAGGGCCCAAACAAAAAACGGCGGTTCTCCAGCCTCGTGTGGCTGTTTGCGCAACCAGAAAAAAGACACGACAGCTGCATAAGCGAAAGACTTTTCCTGCGGTGAAGGCGTTACATGTGCATGGAGGCGGGGCGCCGGGTGGTTGCTCGCTCGAATCTTGTCACTCCTGTTGTGCCCAGGTGTGCCGATCGCCGGCTAGTTTCTGGGTAGCGTTTGACAGGTCGTGATTGCAAAAATCTAGCAACGGGTACCTGCGCTGAGTCCCGCTGGCCGTATCGTTTGCGCTTTTGTATGCGACACGAGACATGGTCATGTGCGATAGAGGAGTTCGCATGTGCATGTGTGTAGGGGAAATGCGGCTGTGCAGTATCCCTATATCGTGCAGCTCTCGACCCAAGCATGCGGCCGGCAGATTACATCCCCAGTGTTTATGATATCAACCATAGAGACGCAATCTACGCAGGGGCTCCAAGCAGCCTGTCCGCGCGTTGGGCTTGCCCGATATGGCCTAGAGCTGCAGGTACAGCTTGCTTTTGCTCCTTTGGCCTTGCTTTAGCAGCTGGCACCCAAGCCGGCGAGGCGCGCGGGCGTTGCACCAACAAATAATCTCTCGGCTGGTCGCAATCCAACCTCTTCGTTTCTTTCTTAATCACCGCTCTGCTGTGCTCTATTCTTGACATTCCACTTGTCTCAGCCCACTTTACTCCCAATCTCGTATTCAAGTGTATTAAGACTGTTACTTGCCCGCCTAATTACGAAACCACGTCCCGATACTTTGTTGTGGGTCTCTTACACTACCCATCACCATGCGCACTTCAACCTTGTTCGCGCCGCTCTTCCTGGCGGCCACGACCCTGTCCCAGGCCGTTCCAGAGGGCATTTCACCCGATTCACCTGCACCTGAAGGCTGCAAGACGACCATCGAGACTCCCTTCAGGATCGGCACCCTCGAAAACCCTTCTCTGGATAAGCGTGAGACTGCTCAAGAGGTATGCAGCCACAATGCGCACAATTCTGTGCATCTTGACATCTTATGCTGACATGATTCTTTCCCAGGCTTCTGATGGTGACCTCTTCTGCACTCTCGAAGATGGCATTCTGCACGACCAATATGGCCGCACTGGCGCCGTTGTGGCTAACCGCCAATTCCAATTCGATGGTCCACCACAAGCAGGCTCAATCTATACAGGTGGCTGGTCTGTCTGCGGCAACAACTCTCTTGCCATTGGAGGCAGCACACGTTGGTGGCGCTGCATGAGCGGTGCTTTTGGCAACCTCTACGACGAATCTATTGGCGCTCAGTGCCACGAGATCCGCATCCAGGCCATCTTCCCCGAGACATCTACCAGCAGCAGCCCCATGAGCAGCACCACATCAAGCGCTTTGTCGGGCTCTACTAGCATGTTGTTCGCAACTTCGACTGATGGTCTATCCACCGAAAGCCGAAGCATTCACCCGACTGACAGTGCCGGCAACAACACTGCTTTCTCCACTGCGACGCCCTACAACACCGTCATTGGCGGCGCGACTGGAACTTCAGGACGTCACTCGTCCACATCCAGCCCTACCGGAGCAGCGAATGCACCTCCCGCCAGTGGTGTTGCCTCTGCTTCCATGGCCCCCTTCGCCATGTTTGGCGTATCCATGGTCTTCCTTGGAGCTGCTCTGGTGCTCTAAATTGTCCGATGATTCATACTTAATCAAGAAGGAGAGGAAACCCCAACATCTTTCCCGCATGGTATTCCCGGCGTCTAGCTAGCATTCCTGCATCGCATTGCATTTGTTCACAAGTTCAGACTGCCCAATTGCGCGCATTGATACACAACTTGTACGCGTACCCTGGAGTTTTTTTCTCTTTTTTTTATTCTGGCTTCATGTTCTATAACATTGCAGCAAAGGTTATGATTTGATGGAATAGCTTTGCGTATTTTTCTTTAGCATATTGATTTGAACGCGAAGCATGCCTGGTTCCCAAAGAACATGGACGTTTTACGTTTTTTTTTACCATACAAAGCCTTGAGGAAAAACTAGTTTCAGGGGCCTTAATGATAATTCACATTTCAACATGACTTGACCCTTGCTGAGTTCTGTTGAGTGAAGTGTGCAGGGTTTTGGATTTTGTTTTCCGACGTATGCTTGATTGACTTGATGTCTCCGCGGAAGAAAGGGGACGTGTGTTGAGACTGGGCTGTAAAGCATTAAGCCATGGCTTCAGGGATGCGGGGATTGATCTAGGTGATCTGGGATGCTAGAAAGGAGATGTGTACGTATAGGTTCGTGGACTACTAGTAATGAGTTTACTAAGATCTAAACAGAGTATACACTCCATGCACAAATCATGTATCTACAAGAAAGAGACGGTAGCCCATGTATCTCACCTCTCAGAACCCACTCAAGTATATAGAGAGAAGAATAAAACGAAGCCATGACCTCACCCCTTTCCCCATCCACTCACTCAAATATCACTGCCCAGCTCATCAAAGCTATCATCCGGCACAGCCATGGCCTCATTACTGGCCGCCAGCAACATCCTCACCTGCTCCACCACCTTCCTCTGACTCTGCCACCTCTCCACATGACACTCGATCCTAACCCTCAACTCATCCGACCACGCCACGGGGTTCCTCGGCACACTATCCGCATTACGAATCATAGCCGGCAACAAGATATTCATCTGGAAACCCGGTAACGACATGTACGCCTTGAATTCTCCAAACGCGTTGTCCAGTTCGTGTAGTTCATTTTCCATGCTGCGGTAGTTTGCGGCGAGCGTTTCGAGGTGGTGGGTTTGCGTAGGGGAGAGGGCGGCGGCACGGCGGAGGAGCAGGAGAAGGGTTATGGCTTCGTCTTCGATGGGCTGGAGGTTCGTGTTGTGGTTTTCTGAGGGCCGGCCGAAGAGTGGGGTTAGGAGGCGGAGGTGCCAGGCTGTATTGCGGTCGTCGCGGTCGTCGCGGTTGAGGTTTGCGAAGAGGCGATCGCGGCGGATGGCGCGGAGACAGTCTTCCATGTGGCTGTATGTAAAGGGCGAGTTGCGCTTCTGTGTTGGAGGAGTTAGCAGGTGTTGAGATGTTGAGAGGGGTGTATGTACCTTTTCCAACATCAGACGGAGTGCTCGCTCTGTTTTCAGGAACCGGAACATCGTGTCTTTCCAATTAATCCGTATGGATCCCTTGCGCATGGAGAAACAGACCTCGCTCACCAGTCTTTGGGCGGAGAAGTCGAGATCGAGAACAGCATGGTCGAGCCTGATGCACCATCGCAGTGTACCAATGAGTTCATCGCTCGAGCAAAGACAGAGTCGACTCAAAGCATCGATCCACAGTCTATCTGAATCCCAAATATCGCCTTTTCTCGCTGCCGCCCCGCTGATATGTCGGAACTCGTCGAGCCAGCTATCGTCGATTCGGAACAAGGCCTGTCTGCCGCTCCATACTGGTGTATCGTTCTTCGCCGATGCATCAGGAGTTGGTCCTTGTATGCACTCGAAGCGCGCTCTCAGCAGGTGTAGCCTCTCATACTGTTCATCGTCGAGCGCGGTCAGAGGATGCGAGTATCTCGACCCCATGTATCCAATCAGCTCCGTCCGGTGTAGATGATGGAATAGGACCCTCCCATCAATCGCATCCCTAAAACTCCTACACACCAGTCGCCAGTCGAGCACATGATCGACAGGAACGTACTCAAGTATCTGCAGCAGTAGTTCGGCGGGAAGGTGCGCTAGCCTGGTATTGCTAGACGGGGATACCTGGCTCGAGTCGATTGCGCTGAGAAGAGCGGAAATGTCGTCCTGGTTGAAGCCAAGGTTTAGGTGGCGCACGAGATACCCAGGGAGTGGCTGGTGATGTTTGCCGCCAGGAGGGGGGGAAGACGACAGCGTGACGGGCGCTGAGGTACGCGACTGCGACATAGTGGAGAAAAGGTGCGGGGTGGGATAGGATGAGTAAGGGAACGTGTGTCGTGTTAGTGTGGTTTTAAGGCCCGACACCAACCCAACATGCACGTGTGTGGCTTTTGTGGCACGGGCAAATCAATCCTTGGATTGTGTGATTTAATCAAAAAATTCCATCATTCCAGGAAATCCCTTTTCAGCTTGGCTTCGGTTACGCTTTGTTGTTAAATTATTTTTTTCTGGCCGTTCGGGTCTTCATGCGGCGAGATTGGCACTCGCTGTATTATTAGAGCCGCATGCCATCGGCTGTCGGCTTGCCTAGACATGCAAGGTGCTTTTGATACCACCATGTCGGGTCCAAAATTGCACACATGGCAGGTATCGCGTCTGTCAGCAGGCGTGGGGAAATTTTATCTTGAAAAGGAAAGTGTGCAGATGTTTGCATGACAACCTCGGGAGTCTCAGTTGTTTCAGCGCAATGTTCCGATGACCTTCTAGAACTCGTACTCCAGGTTTACACGACTTAGTAATTATTCTAGTACGTATATAGAAGCATAGGACGGGTAAATTCCGGGACTAATCTTAGTGTGTTGTGGCCTGAGGCATACCTAGTCTACCTTATCTTGGATGATAACTCTTATAATGCTATAAACATAAACCGCAGTAGCAGCTTAGTCTAATCTAGAGGAACGCATTTCGTTGGTGGTCGCAGTCGAGTCAGTTTTTGCCACCTTTTGAGCCTCGGATAGGGATGCTAGAAATCGCGCAAACCGCCCTTTAAGAACTACGCCTATTAAGCGACAAGTCTATACGGGAACAGTAGTGTCTAGGACTACCTCTACAATTTTCAGAGGATATCTATCGAGTACTCTACCTATAGTAGGCGATGCATAGGCCAAGCTGTATAGTAACAAGGGGTCTAGTAAGAGTTTAATAATCTCAATCCTAAGCTCCTCAGGAAGTCAGCCAAATAGGTCTTGTTTAGTATTTGCTGTAATGGTCGCTTATGGTACTCTTGGTGGTGCGCTCAAGGTGGGTGTCTGGAGATAAGACAGAGTCACAGACTCGGCAGAGATGGTGGTACTTTATCAAGTAACCATAGCCGAGAAAACGTCATAATGCATACAGAAGGATTCCTGTTGTCCGAAGCATAGTTCATGGTAGAATTGAAGATATAAAAGAAGACTTAAATACAGAGGAGACATGTAACAGGGTGAATAATGTAATTACTGTTACGATTGCAAGGAGAAGGACAAGCAACAACGGCAGGACAACGTTGAAGGCGGGGCACAGCGGGTAAGCTTGTGCCGCGCAGTCACGTGACCTGCCCTCCAACCTTGGCATGACCGCCATGGAGGGCATGACCTCCACGGAGGGTGCGACCTCCATGGAGGGAAAGGCCACAATGGAGGGCACGCTTATTATATAACAGTAGGCAATGAGCCCTTACGGTTCATTGTGTTCAACTTCGAAATCTAAGGATTAGTACTTGATTCTCAACTCCCCGTATATTACATCGATCTACCAATCGTGCTATACAACCTCGTGTTCATCACATCACTCCATCCCCGAGAACCAACCCAAGATCATCTTCGGACGACCTTCACAATTACATAAAAATAAGGAAAAGTCAAACACTTTCCGCCCATAGTAATAGGACGAGATTAAGTCCTTAAATACACAGGTTTTACAGTCAGGATACCCAATATTTTTATTTCGATTTCTAGAAGAGTTAGCGAATACACTTCTTCATCAGTTTATATTTCAACCAAACACGTTTGTATCGCAGGTAGATGTTTTTATTCACCAGAAAAACCAGTATACACGAATTCTGTAGTTCTCTCGTGAAAGAAGGAGACGGAATTTTCAGAAGTCCTCCAGGAACAACTATTTTGTACACTACTAAGAACTCTAGCCTCTCTCTCCATGTCATGTCTACGACTGTTATTTCAGAACAATAAAGACATGTGTCGGATCGTGAGTATCGGTAGAGACGTCGGCTGCTGGACACTTCGGCCCGACTTCGGCCCACCTTGCGCAGAGCTTAGGTATACCTTCGTAGCAGCTGTGTTCGTAATAAATCAATCACCATCACCGAACAGAATGCATTCCTAGTTATCGTTATTTCCTTTCAGCACTAGTGCTATAGACCTTCCAACACTGATCAGTGATTGCTTAAGGCGATCACAGACAGCAAGGTAGAAGAGACAGACCGCATCTTCGACGAACTCCCTGACGCACGACGTTATACTCCCGGGAGAAGATTCTGTGCTAAGAACAGAGCGAGGCAGAGATAACACAAAGCACTCTTAACCTCCCTCTACAGCTGCTGGTTTAGCTTAATCCGCGAACACAGAGCGCGTCAGCAACGCAATACAACTCAACCGTACGAGCGTCTCCGGACGATCCGATCACGTACAACAACAAGCGCTGGCACGACCAACCAGCGAGACAACAACACCGACAACGCGTCAACACCCGCTAGCAAGATGGCGGATAACCAAAGCGAAATAAGCTCTGCAGACTCTGCTGAAGCTCAGAATCAACTACAGAATGAGCAATCAGAACACCTCTCAGACTCACCATGGGCCAAATTTACCGCGGAACAACTTATGGAAAACTGTCCATACACAGTTGCACTCAAGGTCATCAATACAGCTCTCTGGGGTGTACCCGCACCGGCGGACGCAAATGAGACACACGCAACAACGTGGGTCGCTAAAGCTATCCACGACTACAATGTGTCAATGGCCTGGGACGATGACCTCTTCATTGACTACAAATGGGACTTTGAAGGATGGACGAAGGAGCTATTTAGCAAGGTTGAGCGTGGTACACTAAGGTCTCTTAAGAGTGTGCTACGACACCGGGGAGTATACACTGGCAACAATCACGCCAGGGTGGCGGACTCTCTCTACAACATTCTAGGTATAGAGAATACTCTTGAATGGGAACCAGCAGAGTTTCGAGCCATGAAATTCGACCAACAGTCCGAAGCGTACCAGCGCCAGCAGAGCAATAAACGCCAACAGGACACTCAGCACACAGTCTATCCAGCTGTACAACAACCACCGCAAGTACAACAACCGCCGCAATTACAACAACCGCCGCAATTACAACAGCCACCGCAAGTACCACAGCCGTCGCAATTACAACGACCGTCGCAGGGCGAGCAACAAGAGCAGTATAGAGTGAGACAAGGCGTCCAGAGCCGTTCCCAAACAATAGAGCCACAACAGCCGCTACACATGAGCGGTACGCTAGAAGGGCCTCAGCATCGACAACTGTGGGAGCAGGCCGCGCAGCCGCAACAAGGGCGTGCGCAACTACAGACACGGGCCGCCAGCGACTGCATATCGCGAAGTCACGCCATTTCCGCAACAGCCAACGAACCGCGTCCCTAACAGACCACCCGAACTACCATACGACCCGTACAAGACGCTACCGCCGCGATGGTCCCGCAACGATCGACTCGACGCTAATACGATCACGCAGTTCTCTAAGCTATGGGACAATAGCAACAAGTATACAGGGAATGCGTACGATCTCCTAGACGATAAGATCAAGATCTTCTTCAGCATCTGCTGGCAGGTAGATATCCAAGAAGAGCAGTTTCACGCAGTGTTTCCCCGTATCCTTACCGGGCGTGCAGAGACATTCTACATACAGGTTGTAGAGAGAGATGACAGCTTTGCTGATGCGTACATGGCAATCAAAAACCACTTCGACCATGACGTCCATCACCAGCACTACTACACAGACTGGACGACTACAACCTTCGCTCGCACCCGCACAGAGAACCCCGACAAGGGACTACACGAGGTTCTGCAGATCCTGCTTGACAAGCTGCAGCTATGCCAGCGTGCCCTTGGCAAGAACTTTGAGGGCGAGGATGCCCTACGTACCACTGTCATCAATGCCTGCCGAGGAGTACCAGAGCTTGAGATGGCACTGTTCAAACCAGCCACAATCTGTGAAGGACTCTTCTCAGACCTACGTTCTGCAGTTGAGACACACCTTGCACGGCAACACACTGCCCAGATGGTCACAGAGGACCAATATTACTTAGATCGCCGATACAACGGCAATAGAAGAATCCGAGGTGGATCTCGAGGTGGAGGAGGATTCAGAGGCGGATCCAGAGGAGCATATCGAGGAGGCGAGCAGCGCGACGACAACGGACGAGGATTCAAGCCACGCTGGAGGAAGAAATGCTTTGTTTGCCAGAAGGAAGGATGCTGGTCTACCAACCACACAGACGAAGAGCGCAAGGCTGCCCGTACACAGTTCTTCTCTACGCTATACTTTACAGGTACACAGCCCCCCAAGGACTTCTCCGTACATCTTGCAGAATACGAAGGGATCGAGCACACTAGCCAGTACAATCAGAGAGGCTGGAGAGAGGAGGAAGACTGCGAGGATGACGACGATGACGACGTCGCGGAAGCATACCTTGAACAGCAGTTTTTCACGGAGCAATGCCTTGCAGATCAGGCGTTCTTGCACCACATCTCTGGCGACGACGTATACCGCCAAGACGCGCCATCAGCGCCAGCGTCACAGTTCCTGCTTGAAGACCGCTACACAAGATCTGTGTACCAAGGGATCCTACCGGATACAGGCGCTGCCAACGTATCCACAGTTGGCAAGGAGCAGTACCTTGCACTCACAAGGGAAGATCCTACAGTTAGGATGGATACGTCTACAGCAGGAAAGGCATCTATCAAATTCGGCAAGGGCGAGGCTACATCATCTATTGGCACTGCACAGGTCTCTACAGACATTGGGACGATCAACTTTGAGGTGCTTGACGCACCTACACCATTCTTATTGTGCCTTGCAGACATGGACAGGTTAAAGGTCTACTTTAACAACACCACAGATGAGCTAGTCCAGGGTGACGTACACATCCCTGTAATTCGCAAATGGGGACATCCTTGGTTCCATCTGAACAAAAGAGAGAGAGCAACTGTGTTCCTGACAGAGACAGAGTTGCGACGGCTCCATCGACGATTTGGACACCCAGCTGTCACGCGACTTGTTAAGCTCTTAAAGGATGCTGGCCATAACGACTTCGAAGAAAGAACCCTAGAAGAAGTCACTAAGTTCTGCCACCACTGCCAGCTCCACAGCTCCGCACCGCGCCGATTCAAATTCACTCTCAAGGATGATCACCACTTCAACTATGAGATCCTGGTGGATGTGATGTACCTGAGCAACAAACCTGTACTGCATGTGGTCGATTCCTCAACAGCGTTTCAAGGCGCGAGGTTCCTTAGCGCTATCTCAGCTAAAGAAACATGGCAAGCACTGCGGATACTATGGATCGACACGTATCAAGGACCACCAGACATTATCACGCATGACGCAGGCACTAACTTTGCAAGCACAGAGTTCCGCGCAGAAGCAAAGATCATGGGAGTCACATGCAAGCAAGTACCTACGGAGGCGCACTGGTCTATCGGCAAAACTGAGAGGTACCATGCACCTCTACGCCGCGCATGGGACATACTCTATGCAGAACTCACTGACACTATGTCCGACGACGCGATTCTCCAGATGGCTGTGAAGGCTGTCAACGATACTGCTGGCCCCGATGGACTAGTCCCGACGCTACTGGTCTTTGGAGCGTACCCACGAATGACTGCAGAGTCACCGCCATCCCCGTCAATGGTCAAGCGCAGCGAGGCTATTCAAAAGGCGACGAAAGCCCTACGCAAGATCACGGCAGAGCACCAAGTTGCAGACGCCTTGAACACCCGCAATGGACCAGCCACTGCAGACATGCTCGCGCTCCCACTCCAGAGCGAAGTCTTAGTATGGAGAGAGAGTGATGGCTGGAATGGCCCGTACAAGATCGCCAGTACAGATGGCCACAACGTCACTGTTGACATGGTCAATGGTCCAACGACATTCAGATCCACTGTCGTCAAGCCATACTACAGACCGGACCACCTTTGGAGCGACCCCGATGCGCCACACGCGCCGAATGAGCCGCATGAGCCGGTAGCAGTACCACCGGCAGTGCAACCACGCAGGAGAGGCCGCCCTCCAGGGTCAAAGAACAAGCGGAAGGCGCACGCGTACATCACCAAGAAGGAGCAGGACGATCTTGAGCTAGCTATCAAGCTACGAAACGATGGAGTGATCACAACCTCAGGCGCCCCCTTTGAAGCGTCTGATGACCAAGAGATCAGCGACCTCGTAGGTCGTGGAGTCTTTAAATTTGAGCAATACGACGAGAGGCTACACAGCAAGATCCGGATCTTCAAGTCACGCCTAGTACGTGAGGTCAAGGGAAAGACAACCAAGCCCTATGAGAAATCCCGCCTAGTTATCCAAGGCTACCAGGACCACGGCAAGGAGACTATTCTGACGCAATCTCCAACCATACAGCGATGTAGCCAGCGCCTGATTATGTCGCTGGCGCCCGAGATGGTACAACGCGGAATGAACATCGAGCTCCGTGACATTACGCAGGCGTATCCCCAGGCGCAGACAACCCTGAAGAGGACGATACTCGCACATCTTCCTACTGAGCTAGTCCATCGATATCCAGAAGGCACGCTACTCCATGTGATCAAGCCGCTGTATGGAATCGCTGAGGCAGGAGTCCACTGGTGGACAACGTATCACGGACACCATTGCAAGGAACTGGACATGGCAACATCGACGTACGACCCATGCCTATTGATCACGAACAGAGACGACGCAGGCATCTTCGGCATCGTTGGCATGCAGACAGACGACACTCATGCTCGGGACACCAGCGTTCTCGTCACGTGAAGAGAAGAAGATCCAGAAGGCAGAGTTCAGGTCAAAGCCAAAAGCAAGGCTGACACCAGAAGTGCAGTTAGACTTCAATGGATGTACACTCACGATGGACGCCAGCAGAGTCTTGACCCTTAGGCAGAAAGGACAAGGAGGAAGGATCAGGCTTGTGAATATCAGGGCACCCGACCGCGCGCAACAGTACACCGAGCAGCGCGCCCCGCGGAGCGTACATCGCATCAACATGCCAACCAGAGGCGTCATTTGACCTGTCCGTCGCTGCTCAAGCTCAGCAACCATCAGACGAGGACATCAAGGCACTCAACAAACGCCTGAAATGGCAGATGGAGAATCTTGATCGTGGCCTGCGCTACGTCACTGTCAATCTTATGGAGGCCAAGTTGATGGTCTTTGTGGATGGCTCCTTTGCCAACAACAAGGACCTCAGCTCACAGCTAGGCTTTGTCCTTATGCTCGTCAACGAGTCTATTGACGTCAACACCTTCACAATACAGGGCAACGTGATCCACTACAGCTCTACAAAATGCAAGCGCATCACACGGAGCGTACTGGCCTCAGAGATCTACGGCATGGTCAACGGCTTTGACATAGGCATTGCAGTTGCAACCACGCTGAGGATAGTTACAGAACGACTTAGACTACCTGCAATTCCCTTGGTTATCTGTACAGACTCGTACTCCTTGTACGAGTGCCTAGTAAAGCTTGGGACGACGAAGGAAAAGCGTCTCATGATCGACATCATGGCGCTGCGCCAATCATATGAGCGTCGCGAGATCACGGAGATCCGCTGGATCAATGGTGAAGACAATCCTGCAGACGCCTTCACCAAGGCATCGCCAAACCGCGCTCTTGAACGCTTTATTGACGGCAATAAGCTGACAGTCCGAGTAGAGGGATGGGTGCAGAGGCCGACAAGCTTTGATGGTTGATGCTACACACAGTTACCATCAACACATACTGTCACTACCGATACAAGCAGAGTTACTAGCTACCCAGAAAGAAAAGACTTCCAGTGTCGGATCGTGAGTATCGGTAGAGACGTCGGCTGCTGGACACTTCGGCCCGACTTCGGCCCACCTTGCGCAGAGCTTAGGTATACCTTCGTAGCAGCTATGTTCGTAGAAAATCAATCACCATCACCGAACAGAATGCATTCCTAGTTATCGTTATTTCCTTTCAGCACTAGTGCTATAGACCTTCCAACAACATGTATCTATCCTCTGTCTTCTATTTTAAGTCTTTTTTAAGTATAAGATAGCAGTGCAGCAGTGCAGAACTCTAAAAATAAAACAATTCGTGCATTAATTTTAGGGAAAAGCAGGTGCTGCTCATGCATGTTCTTCTCCTGTTTATTTTTACGACAAGAGGAGCGGCAGAAGATATATAAAGAGAGGGAAAAGAGGTGCCACTCATCGCATATGCTTCCTGTAATTCTAAAGAGAAGAAGGGCAGCAGGGGACGTAAAATGATAGGGAAAAGCAAGTGCCGCTTATGTGGTGTTCTTTTCGTAAGTTTTAGAGAAGAAGAGTGACAGAGGACGTATAAAGAGAGGAAAAAGAGGTTCCGCTTATCGCATCTGTTTCCTGTAATTTTTAAGAGAAGAAAAGCAACAGAGTACGTATAAAGAGGGGGAAAAGAAGTGCCGCTCATGGCATGTTCTTCCTGTAATTTTCAAGAGAACAAGAGCGGCGGAGAACGTGTAAAGGCAAGTTTAGGTAAGGAAGTGCTACTCATATGTTCAAGATCCCTGTAATTTTTAAGAGCGGAAGAGCGGCAGAGGACGTATAAAGAGAAGTTTACGTTAGGAAGTGCCGCTCATGCTATATGTTCTTCCTGTTTTTTAAGAGAAAAAAGAGAGGCAAAGAATATTACGAAAGCTGTTGATTGGCTTTGCACTAAGTGCGTAAAGGGAAATAACGATAACTAGTAATGCATTCTGTTCGGTGATTGTTCTTATTTACGAACATAGCTGCTACGAAGGTATACCTAAGCTCTGCGCAAGGTGGGCCGAAGTCGGGCCGAAGTGTCAAGCAGCCGACGTCTCTACCGATACTCACGATCCGACAGCTTGGATTTTTTGCATCCGACACAGTGATCATGATTTGAATCTAAAAACCACAGGACTTGATAGCCCAAGACTTGGAGGTTGGAAATGTTTGGGAAATCTTAGAGACGGTAGGAGACATGATGAGCTCAAGGGTGCATTTCAGAATTTTCGAGATATCCAAGGATTTTCAGAAACGGCAGAGAACAACAATAAGCTCAGGGTTAAATTTCGGGATTTTCTAGATATTTGTCAAGTTTTAGAAACAGCAGGAAACATGATGAGCTTAAGGGTGAATTTCAGAATTTCCAAGATATTCGAGAATTTTCGGAAACAGAATGAAACACCCTCTTGCTGCAGAGCATACTTTTTTGAGTTCCGAGGAACCAGAGAAAACAATCTCCGTAGTAATTGAGTACTTTACTTTTAGAAAGTCGTACATAAAAACCCCACTTAGGGCTTTTGGTACTGGTGTATTTTAATCTTTTTCACAAACAGAACAACATCCCATGGTGGAAGGTGCATTTTTAGAGCTAAAAGGCAAGGGGGAGAGCGGCAGGCACAAAAGACGTGCGATTTTTGAGGCGAGTAAAAGAAGAAGGAGGAACAAAGAACATCTTAGTAAATGCTTATTATTTTAGAAACACACACACACATCCAGCTCCCTTGTCTGTTATTTTTTTTTAGAGAAGAGAACAGAACGGACACCCCATCGGTGGGATATTTTACTGTTTGAAGAAAAGCAAGTAGAAATTAACACAATGTGTGATTAGAAGACTATGTGCGGGTTGGACAGGTCTTATACCTGCCAGAGGCCCAGCCTAATCACGTGCTGATACTGATCACGTGGTAACACTAATACCGCCGTTCAATGTTACTGACCGCAATGCCATGACATGACACGTCACGTCATAGTCTAACGCCTTGCAGCCTCGCGCATTACAGCCTCGCGCCTGCATTCAACCTTGGTACCTGCTCGAGCAAACAGCCCTCGAAGAACTTTGAGATACCAGACAAATCGTCAAGAGTCGTGACTTTGGAAACATCTGCATGCTATTAGCATCATGCGCTCGTCACTGCTAATTAGTTTGGGGAGGCTGGCTTACATTGATCTGGTCGCACCAGCACAATCGCACCAGCGGAGGGATCAACACCGTACTTTTGGTATGCGTGGCCGTGGCCAGAGTTGTAGTGCTCGTCGTCGATGTATGTCTTGTGTAGATCTGGCAGGGATGTAAGGACAGAGTGAGAAGGCTTGTTGAGAAGACACATACCTCGTATTCCCCACTTCCCACTCTTAGGCCAGAAGTAATCTGGTATGTGCTCTTGCTTTGTTTCGGTGAATTTGGTGGTGAGGACCAGGATAGACTCGATCACGCTGTCAATGTAGTTTGTGGCCGGTGTGTATCTCCGCGCTATTGCCTCAAGGGTGTTTGCGAGCTACAAGTTGTGAGCATGATGAATAGTTAAGTGGATGATGCTGTCCTACCTTGCGCAATTGCGCATGATGATCTGGCTGGTTGATGTCACCTCCAAACACTACGACCCTCCATTTTGCATCACTTTTGATCACACTCTGCAGCTGTATGGCCTTGCAGTCACAGAACCGGATAACTTGAGCACTAGGGAACCTCATGCCAACTGTAATGCCCGTTGCCAGGTTGACCCTACCCCCAGCACTTTCCCCGCTAGTAATCATGGAATCTTCGTACTTTGCTGTGAACCCCGCTGTATACCTCCCACTCTTGATAAAGTAATCCGCAAACTCGCCCTCATACTCTTCTTTCCTTCCAATCTTCTTCGTAAGCTCCTTGTCGAAAGCAATTAGATCGGCGGCTGTCTTGCCGCGTTCGGTAACATATGTTGGGATCAATGAAGGGGGTGAAAGACCTGAAAGCACGGAGCCGAGCTTCCAACCAATGTTGTACCCATCTTGTATGGATACATTCATGCCTTGGCCTGCTTTGGGGGAGTGGGTGTGGCATGCATCGCCAGTAAGGAAGACGCGGTTGTGTGCATGAAAGGCCGAGGCGAGGCGCTGGCCAATGCTGTACGCACTCCACCAAAATACTCCAGCAAACTCCATTGAGTACGGTGCAAAGATCCTTCGAGCTTGATCTTGGAGGTCGGCCAGCTTCACCTCCTTGGGCTGCACACCTGCAGGTAGCTGAATGTAGAACCGAGCCAATTGACCGCCCTCACGAGGGATGATGAGTAGATTACCGGAAGTGCTGTGGATCACGCATTTACGGCGAATGTCAGGGAAGTTGGTTAATGGGTAGATGTCCATAACGCCCCACACAGTGTCGGATGTGTCGCCCAGCATGCGGATATCGAGAGCTTTGCGTATAGTTGAATGCGCACCATCGCAGCCCAAGACGTATTTTGCCTCCCATACCTCCTCTTTCCCAGCTTTCTCCGCAGTGACCTTGACACAGTGCGCATTGGGGTCGTGCTTCCTGGTTTCGTCAATTTCGAGTCCCTTGACCGCCCATCCATACTCGATCCCATTGCTTGTACCCTCTTTCCATCTTCCTTGCTCCTTCAACACGCTTTCCATCTTTTCAAGCATTATACCGTTCATGCGAGCTTGGTTTAAGATGACATGCGGCAAATGACTCAGCCCTTGCTCTGTATCGATAGTCCTGCTCTTTCGTCTGATGTCGCCTTGCGCTTTTCCATTGGCATCTTCATCGAACCCCCAAAAGCACACCTCAAGAATGTGGTAGGATTCACGTAGGAGTTCTTCCGACAAGCCGAAAGACTCGTATATCTCTACCGTGCGCACTTGTACCCCGTCTGCTTGGCCGATTTTGAGGGGCCCGTCGCGCCGTTCCAAGATAGTGAAGGGGATGTTGTAGATTGCAAGCCAGGTGGCTGCAAACACGCCTGCAGAGCCGGAACCAGCTATCAGGACATCTGTTTGGGGCATTGTGGTAGCGCGAATTAATATCAGTGGTTATGATGTTGATGCACGTCAAGGTGGTAACAATGTTTGGTGATTACGGTTGCTGGGAGCTATGTTCACAAGTGCACAAATGGAAAAGAAGCATGTATGATGGCAGTCAGCACATTAAAGTATACGACGGACATGACGGATACACAAGTAAGCGGAGGTCAAAGCTGCGATATGTCCGGCAATGTGTCGGTCATGATGCGGGGGAATGCGACCCGCCAGCCATTAACGTGCCCGTGCGCGAGACGCCCGGATTCGCGAGACGCCCCGCCGAACACCAAATTGTGAAATCAACACTAACTTCAACGCGTCATAACTCTACCAATATGGACCCAATCCAAGCTGCAATTGCAGCATTTGAATCGCGAGAGCTAGGAGAACAAACCTCGTATACAAAAATTGCAGCTAAGTACAACGTTGATCGATCAACACTTAGCCGAAGACACCAGGGCTCTCAAGCACCACAACAAGCCCGTACACTCTAGAAGCTAGTACTCAATCCACAACAAGAGCTAGAGCTTGTGAGATATATAAAAACGCTCACAGAGAGAGGCCTTCCTCCTACAAGAGAGATGATTAGGAATTTCTTATCAGAAGTAGCCCATCAGCAGCTTAGCGAGAGCTAGGTTACTCGCTTTATTAACAGACACAAGATCCATCTTATCTCAAAGTGGACCAGCGCTATGGATCGTACGCGCCACCTAGCTAATTCTAAGTTAAAGTATAGACTCTACTTCGAGCTACTGCACCGAAAGATCACCGAATACTACCTTAAGGCTCGAGATATATACAATATAGATAAGAAGGGCTTCTTAATTAGCTTAATAGGCAGAAGCAAGAGGATATTTAGCAGGCGTTAATAGGAGAAGAAGGAGGTTCGAGCATCTCTCTAGGATAGATTACGCGAGTTTCTAACAATCCTGGCCTACTGCTGCGATGATAGGAGCTCGCTGCCTCTAAGCCTTATCTACGTAGCTGCAAATAGAGCCATACGATCGAGTTAGGTAGAGGATATTAAGGCAGGAGAATATAAGGTCTTTGTCTTATTATCTCTAATAGGCTAGTCAAACAATAACGTAGGCCTAGCTTAGCTAGAGCAGGTGTTTGATCGCTATACAAAGCAGCGATTAGGGAGATAGCGATTGCTTATCCTTAATAGCCATAGATCTTATGTTACGATGGAGTTTATCGACTACTGCGATCGCCACAGGATTATCCTTATAATCCTTCCCCCCTATTTAACTTACACGCTCTAGCCGCTTAATGTAGTGCTGTTTAAGCCACTCTCTTAAGCCTACTCTAACGAGCTTACTAACTATCTTTATAAGGCTCAAGGCCTTATTCTAATTAAGAAAGGGGACTTCTTCCCGCTCTTCTAGAGCGCCTAGATATCCTCCTTTACAGAGAGCCTTATATTAAAGGCCTTCGAAGCCACTAGGATCTAGCTAATAGATGCCAACTGTCATGGATCAAACCCGCGACCTCTAGTAAGCGAGGTGGCCCGTGCGCCTTAAGCGAAGGCCACAGCCGAACACCAAAGTTCGACCCGCGCAGGTCTTCGAACCTGCACGCAATATCTCACTTAGTACTTAATACAGATACGGTCATCTCAACTATTGACGTCCCTCACACCAACGTTATCCTTCGTAGATTTGCTAGCACGCTAGAAGCTAAGAGAAGCTTATCGTTAGGGCTCTCTGATTATGACTGGAGAAAGCTCGATTAGTTAGTACGAGCTGCTGTCAATAATAGCTATTAGTATAAGGCAAGAAAGCTGCGCTTAAGCGTTCACTATCTCTCTGTGCAGTATAAGCTTTTACAGCATAAGAACGAGGGCTTAAAGGAGGCTCTTTAACATAAAAAGAAGTATAAGAAGAAGGGCAAAGCTCTTGACCTTCAACAGCGCTAGGAGTATCACGGTGGCGCAGTCTACTGGTCTCCTCGCAAGCTGCGTAAGGCTCGAGCTAGAGAAGCAGTACGGGAGCGAGATGAGATAGAGGAGAAACTCCAAAAAGCACGGTCCAAGAAGCAGCGCGAGGAGGCTCGACTGCAGCGTTAAGATGAGCTCGAGGAGAGGCGTGTGGAGAGGCAGACACTCAAGGAGATGAGGGAGCTTGAGCGAGCTAAGAAAGCAGCTAAACGCGCGCGCTAGAAGGAGGAGAGAGATGCTGCTAAAGCTCTACAATTATCCTAAAAGGGAAAGAGAAAAGCCTTACAAGTATTCTCAGCAAGCAGCAAGCGTTAAAAACGCGTTAGGGCTGCTCGCGCTGGTGCTCAAGTTCAAGAAGAGCCTCCAGCTCCTCCACCAAAGCTCACACACCGAACACCAACTTTTAAGGAATTTGGGACCCTTATAAAATTATACGATTTTTACATCATTTTAACGGCACGGCGGCCTGTAACTACCTCAGCTAAATAACCGCTTTCTGCTCTCGCGGAGGTGGTTAGAATGGCTAATGTAGAAACTCCAGAGAGGGCGCCACGGAGTGCCCAACCCCCCCATACACGATCAGAGGAGCCTGAGAGCCCTATTAATACTGACCTGCGCGGCAACAAGAGGAGGCAGCGAGCACATACTCGTGCTGAACCTTCTATCGGTAGCACTGCGCCCACCTCCTACAATCAAGCTGTCTCTGAAGCGGTCCGCCAGCGGATTCAGGCAGCCCAAAAAGCTACAAACCTCCACCACTCCATCATAACGGATCTAGCGACAGCTGTCGACAGATGCCTTGGGAAGTACACCGACCCAGACGGAGCCCGTGTGGCTAAGGACCTTCAACAGAAGGTGCTAAGGGCTATTAACACCTCCCTAATCACGCCCCTAATCACGCCCCCAAACTCAGGGAGCGACTCTGACACTACGCACCGCTCCTGGGCGGACGTAGCTAGGACCCTGAAAAATCCAACCCCCCCAGCAAGGGGGGCCGCTACGACGAAAGCGGCCACGGCTGCCCCAAAGCAGCTAGCTCAAACTCCTAGGCGACCTCTAAACACTGACAACCGTATCCTTATAGCGGTTGGAGCGGAGGCTCGGCTCCAACGGGCATCACCATTTGCGGCCCGCATGGCTATTGTAAAGGCGATTAAGGAAATTACCCCCTCCGACATACCTACGGCAAAACATATCAAGACTGGCTGGGCGATTACGCCCCGCAACGACAAAATCAAGGCCCTGCTTATGGGGCAGGAGAATCGCGAACTCATGATCCGAGCGGTAGAGGGCGAGAGCGCAAGACTACCTGAACGATGGGTGAACTATGCAGTCCAGGGCGTAGAAAGCTCATACCGCACTATCACAGGGGAAAGTATACCCACCACAATAGACGATATAGTCAGCGAAGCTCTGTCCCAGACAGGGATCGAACCGGCGAGCTGCCGGCCCTCCAGACATGGACCCACGGAGGGAAGGACAACCTGGATTATATCTTTCACCAGACCCGTACGATCGTTTCGCCTATTTGGGACGGGCGACTACGCGCACGAGATAAAGAAGAACTCACCTGCAATGCTGCACGACCCAGGCTGCCTAGGGTACTGCAAAACCAGCCGCTGCACAAGGCCAGCCCGCTGCACGACATGCAGCAAAACAACGGCAACTCACCAGGGACCACACGGAGAACAATGCAAAGACACACCAAAGTGCGCCAACTGCCACGGCCCATTTCCAGCAACCCACGACAAGTGCCCAGCAGCCCCAACGAGGGCGAACGGCCGACTCATCCAACCCACAAAGGGGGAACTAAAAGTCATTAGGGAGGCGGGTGACCGTGCTTCTGAGGCAATGCAGCCAGCTAGAGGAAGACAGACAGGCAGCACGGTCGAAACCTCCATTGAAATCACGGACGGCGACATAGCTAATACTACTGAGCCTGTGGGAACACCTACGGACGCAAGTAAAAGAAGCCGACAAGACGTAAACAACCTAAACACAGCCACTGTTAGAGAGCCCGCAACCACCCTAGGGACTAGGAGGTCTAAGAGAACAGCTGCAACTACGCAAGACCTCAACCTAGCGCGAATGTCTGCTAGAAGCGTGCAGCCTAGCACCGCTGACCAAGACCCTAATACGTCATCGTCTGAGCACGCTGACACTGAAATGAGCCTCGGATCTAGTGCGTAATGAGGGCACAACCCGCAAATTCACCCGGCGAAACCACGCCACACCGACACAGACAAATGCAGGTATGCTGGGTGAATGTGGCCAGAAGCTCGCCTTGCCACATTACAGCCTTAGAACGTGCATGGGAAGCAGACATAGACATAGTATGCATCCAAGAACCCTTTACTCTCACTGGAACCCGGACCTCTACACACCCAGGATTCCATATGATATCGCCAGTGATAAGCTGGAACAACCCCACAACGTGGGGAACTGACCGACCACGGGTGCTCACCTATACCCGTAAGAGCCCAAATATAAGGGCTACTCTTATACACCCACGCATCAGCCGGGATGTGCTATGGATCGAGGCCAACGGCTACCGCATATTGAATGTTTATAGGCAGCCACAGAATGACTCGACATTTCAATACCTCACAGCTTTAACGCCACCCCGTAACTGCCTTATAGGGGGTGACTTAAACGCCCGCCATGAACTTTTTGAGCCCGGCTCCACGTCGGCCAATAGGGGGGCAGAGATCGCCCGCTGGGCCACTCAGAACGACATACCCTACATCGGCGAGGCAGGTAACCCAACACATCGGGCGGGACACGTGCTAGACGTATCCTTCTCAAATATACCCTTCGCTAGAACGACAGTCCGCGAAGATATGTATACAGGGTCAGACCATTTCACCCTAGTGACTGTCCTTCCAAGCCGAGGGAGAGCGGTGCTAGAACAGCATCACTACCGGGTCCACGAGAGAAACATAGATAGGTTTGCCGGGCTAGTTCAACTCTACACAGTAGGCGTACAGCCAATTAGCAATAGCGCCCCAGCGGACGTAATCGACGCAAGCATAGCTAGAATCACCCA